AAAGTAGGGCGGTGGGGGCAGCAGTGGAGAAAAGCGGCTGGAGCCAAGATTAAGTCTGTGCAGTTTGTTTCAATGGCTTAAAATGACAAATTTATCTTACTGTTCTGGAGGTGCCAAGTCCAAAATGAGTCTTACTGAACTTATCAAGAAATCAAGGTGTTTGCAGGGCCACCTGCCGAGGCCCCGGGGGAGAGCCTGAGCCTTGCCTCTGCTGGCTCCGGGCGGCTCCGCACACTCCTCGGCTTGCGGCCCCATCACTCCAGCCTCGGCCTCCGTGGTCACACTACCTGCCCCGCTGCCTCCCTTTTCCAGGGGCCCTGGTGATGGCATTGGGCCCACCCATATAACCCAGGAGCATCTCTCCACCTCAAGATCCTGCACTTAATCATGCCCGCAAAGCCCTCTTGCCCTGGAAGGTGACAGTCACGGGTTGTAGGCACCAGGACGTGGCCACCCTTGGGAGACGCTGTCCGCCCTCCTGCAGGCTCCCTGGGCCCGGCTTCCTCCCACGGCCACATTCAGGCAGGAAGAAAGGCAGCCCTCGTCTCTTTCAAAACCTTCCCAGGGCTGTTCAGCAGAGGCCTCCTCACCTTTCATTGTCAAGCGCAGCGAACGTTTTCTATAAAAAGCCAAAGAGTAAATAATGTAGGTTTTATGGGCCATATATGGTCTCTGCAGCGTATTATCTTTCTACTGTGATTTTTCTTTTACAACTTTTTAATAATGTAAAAACCATTCCTGACTCACGGGCCATAGTTTCTCAACACCTGGCATAGAACTATTCCCATGCCCACCTCTAAAACAACCTCCAGTGAAGGTGGAGTGGGTTTATTACGCTTGGCTTAGACCAATTACCCAAAACTGGTGTTCCAGAAACATCTGCCAGAGGCACGTAGGCGGCACTTTTGGCTGTCAGGTCTCCACGTTCTGTCGCAGTGGGGAGAAGCCAATGGCGGCTGGCTCTTCCCTACCTGTGGGGAGGGCAGAGCCCACCTGCAAGCCTCTGTAGAGTTGGGTCTCTCTGCTCCTCTCATGATCCAGAGCAAGCAGAGGGGCGCCCGTCCTAATTCATGGCTCTTCTGAGCTCTGTTACCAGCCAGCTTTAAAGTGCCACCGGGTGCCTTAGAGCGGAATGGAGGGCTGGGCATGTACCAGAAGCAGGCAGAGCCTCCACCCAGGTCTCCAGAACCACCCCAGGGAGCACCCCAATCAGGGGCACTTACTGTGTGCCTGGAGCGCCCCCAGGCCCTGCAATAGTCTCATGTTGGGAGCTCAGCACCCATGTTCACGCAACCCACGTGGTGAGGCCTGGGGAGAGAAAGAGGCAAAGTCCCCACCTTCACAGGTAGAGTCCTCTCCGGCAGAGACAAGCACAGATAAATACACAACTAGTGGCACAGGGTGCCAAGGTGAAGCATAACAGCGAGTAGGTTTATGTAAGTGACCAGGGCACACCTCGCTAGGTAGGGACCTCTACCCATGGCCTAAAGGATGAAAAAGAGACAGATCCATTTCAAGGAGCCAGGGAAACACACTCCAGTGAGAACAGCACATGCAAAGGTCCTGGGGCACAGAGGAGTTTGGCAGACCCGCGGAAGTGAAGGGAGATATATGTGGCTGCAGCAGAGGGGGGGGGTGCGAGGGGCAGGGGAGGGCGCTGGGGGAGGGGAGGCAGAGGAAGAGGTTGGCATGAGAAGAAGACGAAATATCAGAGGCCAGATCACGCAGATCCCGATAGAACACTTTTTTCTGAAAGCCATGGGACGCCATTAAAGGCTTTTTAGCAGGTGACTTGATTAAATTTACAGTTTTTTTAGACAATTAGCATTATTATCCTTGTTGTGGCTGGAACACCACACCAGAGTCTCCATCCCTTTTCAGCGTGAAAAGGCTGCAGGCACCCTTATCCTGTCCCCAGCCCGTGGCTCTGAGGAGGAGCTAAAGTCGCGGTCACTCCCCATCAGATCCCGTGGAAGCGCCCTCTGCGCCAGCTGCCCCAGCTTCAGCACCGAGTTCCACCCCACCTTCCAGCGGGAGACTCTCCTGCGACCGCCAGGCCCTTCCAGAGCCTCCGGAGGGGGACAAGGATGCCGCACGAGGAGGGCGGGGTGCTGGGGGCAGGTGGCGGGACCACCTTAGTTGATTTCAGCTTCCCTGTGAGAACTCAGAACCCTCTCCGCCCTCACATGGGGGTGGGGGCAGCCACCCCCGACACGCACCACCCGAGTCCAGAGCCGTGGCCTGAGTGCCGTGGGGGCCCATCCCTCCCTGGTTAGCCTCAGGTCCACCGCGACCCCGCCTCGGTTGACTTGAAAGTCTAGGTGAGGACTCAGCAGGACTGGCACCAGCGCCCCCTGCTGGTCCTGCTCTTCCACAGCAAATCTTTGTGCATTCAGGGCAGAAAAACCAGCTGTTTTCTGGTAGCTTCCAGTTTTCCTCATTTTAACCCACATGCAGCATTTTACAATTGGGGAAAAGTGAAATACTCTGTCAGCTGTTGGACTATCCTGTACACATATCCTTAAGTAATTGTCTGATGAGTATTTTTACCGCATTAGCTTTCTTTTTAAGGTAATAGAGAAGAAAGGCAACGGGTTTTAAGGATGCCTAACAGTGCACTCTGAAGGCTCAAGCGGGGCAGGAACGTGTACCTAACCAGGTCAACACGGAGCAGGGCCTCCAGAGAGACAGATACTGGGGCGCGAGGGTCAGGCACTGAGGTCGGGCGGCAGGAATTACTCCAACGGGGAGTAGCGACTGCTGTCCGCGGTGGAGACGAGGAGCCTGGTCGGACGCCAGGCACGGACCCGAGGAGGATGCTGGTGGGGTTTAGTTTGAGGGCCTGTAAAATGTTCTGCGGAAAGGACGCCTTTTCTCATGCACACCCAGGTGCCCCCAGGGCTGGTGGTGACCCTGCGTGTCCACCTCCAAAGCCCTTGCCCCTCCCCTCTGCCTCTCCCAGGGCTATGGTGCCCGGAAAACGCGAGGTGAATCCTGGCGTGAGGGCAGACCGGGGAATATGAGCTTCGGTTCCCAAATGCACAGGCTCCCCCTTCTGGGGAGGCTGCAACAGGTGAGTACGAGGTTTGCCCGATGACCTGGGTGCCCAGGGCATCGGTCCCCTCGATGAAGGACTTGTGGGAAGAAAAATCGGGGGCGGGTTTCCTGTGCAGATGTTCCCGGGCCTCACTCCATCCCTTTGGAAGCTGAACGTCTGGGCGGGAGGGCGGCAATCCTAAGAGCTTCCTATTTGACTCTCATGCACACAGAAGTCTCAGAATCAATGTCATGGGACTCTACAATGGTTAAGGAGCACGCTAGGAGAAAAAAGGCAAGTTACACGCAAATTCAGTGTATATAAAAACGATCCATTCGTGTGCGTGCGCACGCACTAACAGGTACCCAGTTACCCAGAATTAACAGCCATTTCTCAATCTTGGCACTGTTAACATTCGGGGCCAGATTAATTCTCTGGTAAGGGCGCGCTTGTGCATTGCAGATCTTTAGCCGCGTTCCAGTAGCGCCCCCTAGTGGTGACAATGGAAAGTGCCTGTAAACGTGGCCCTCTGTTTCCTGGGGAACAAGCCTTCTCACCACTACCCCAGACCGGAGGGATGTTAGGTGGGTTTACTTCGTTGTTATCTATCTGCCCACTTTTTAGGTTTTTTCCCTAAAATGAACATAAAGTGCTTTAGTCATGTAAAAATTCAAAAGTTTCTTACTATCCCATTGACTGTGCTCTCGGGTAAAAAAAACCACTCATATGAAAAGATATTAGAGTTTATAGTAAGTAAACTAACTTTATTATGATGTTATAGTAATTATAGAAAAACATACACAAAGGCCTCCCAGATGTCAATATTCTTACGACGCTTTAAAATATTTATAACCTTAGGCATGGGAATTCTGGTTAAGTATATGTCTTACAGAAGCAATTCTAAGTATAGAAAATGCCCTACAAATATGGTTGATTTTTATAGGTCACTCACAAAAGCGAAAAGTTATAGGTGCTCTAAAACCAACAATAGGAAACCGAGTTAATTATGACACATTCACTTGGTAGACTATACAACAGTATTAAAACGATATTTACAAAGAACCTGTAACAGCATGGGAGAAAGGCTCTGCCAGATTGTTAAGTGGGGCAAAATGCACACAAAATCAACGATGTCTCATCATCCCTGGCAAGCGTGGCTATGACAACAATGAAGATAATCGTCTGCAGCCATGGAGCTAAAAGAAACACCAAGATACCAAAGTGTGATGATCGATTTACTAATGGCATCCTGGGTGAGTCTGTTCTCTCTACTCTTCTGGAATGTCCAAGTTTTCTATAAAAAGCCTGTATGTACTTACAGTGAGAGAGAGAGAGAAAAAGAGTAAAATATATATTTTTTAAAACTTCAAAATGATCACAAATAAAAATGTGCCAAAATTTCAGGTGAGAAATATGTCCTTATATTGATCTATGCACAAATTTCCATATGAATGACAAAAATAACTTCGTTCAAAAATGAAACATGTTCAGAAAGTACTATATACGCTAAATGTGACCGTGTCCACGTTCACCAGCGCCAGGAGGGGTAAAACCTATGGGCAGTCAGCCCACACCGAGGGTCCGTAAAAGCTGGAATGCAGTAACACGAACGATCATAAACAGAAAAGGCTTTTTATGAGAAACAAACTGCATAAAAACTTTTCCCAAACTGGGATCACACTCTTCAAAAACAGAGGCCCACCTTTGTGAGATAAAATAATTTGGGTTCAGTTAGAACTCACGAGCTGGGAGAGCTTTCAGCCGCCCGCTGACTTTGACCTAACTTGTTTACCTGCTTCCCCGCGGGGCGGGCGGAGGATGGGTCCAGGCGCAGGAAACCCGAGCCCCGCAGACAAAAGGCAGAGCCGCTGCTTTGTAAGGCAGTATTTGCCCAGCCTGGCCATTCCTCCCCCCCCCCCCCGTGCCCCGGGGCGCTTGTTAGCTCGCTCCCCCCAGATGCAGACTATATCTTACAATAGACCTCAAAGAGGGAGGCAGCTGCGTGCATGCGGTAGAAAATGGAAAAGGGCATGGCGAGGTTGACCACAATGATCCAGGGTTCAAAGCCAAAGACAATTTCCTCCAGCCCGTTGTCGTACTCGGGGCGGCAGCCGAAGGCTGGCGGGATCCAAAGCTGCAAGAGAAGGGGGGTCGTCTGTGCTGCCGCCTGGGAGGCCCCAGCCAATCCCAGGTGCCCACCAGGACAGGGAGACGGAGTCGCACCTGTCACAGTGAGAGCAGGCAGCCTCCGCACCTGCTTTTGCACAGTCCCCAAACGTGCCTTTCTTTCCCGAGTCTTCAGGGCTTCGCTCCTGCCTCTTCCTCTAACAGGGACTCCCTGGCTTCCCCCTGCCAAACCCTACCTTCCCTCAAGTCCCGAGGTACCACCCCTCCCAGGAAGCCCTCCTTGATCTAACCAGTCTGGGCAGGAACTCCCTCTGTGCTCCCAGGGCCCCCGGTGTTGGCCGACAGGAGAGGTCGCCTGTCTGCCACTCCTGCCTTGCCGAGCCAGCGTTGGTGCTTGGAGAGCCCCGCCACGCAGGCCTGAGCTATGAGCTCTGTGGTCTCCTCTCTGGCTTGTCCTTGGCCTAGAGAGGCAGCCCAGACCCCGCCCCCATTCCCCTGGTCAGGGGGCGGAGCCCATGCTTTGGAGCCAGACCTGAGTTCAAGCCTCAGTTTCCTCATCTGTAAGATGGGAACACTAACGCCTGTCTCAGGGCTTGGAGGACAATAAAATGGCAACTAATTTGCAAAACCTAAAGCAAGAACCTATTATTTTTGTTGCTCATGGAATCTACACACTGGTCCCCCCTTCTCAGTCTCCCTGTCCCTGTTCCTCCACCTTCCCCCAAACTGTCAGGCCCCCCGGTCAGCTTCTCTTTCGCACTGCACACGTCTGTGGCCCTCTCCCCGCCACGCTGCGGCAGGCAGACTCCCAGGGGACCCCTGTGACCCCCACCTCCCGGGAGTCACATCCTCATGGAGCCCCGTCCCCTCGAGTTAGGCCGAACCTGGTGACTCAGTTCCAGCAAACAGAATATGACAAAAGCAATGGATGTCACCTCTGAGATTAGGTTGCAAAGGACCCTAGAATCCACCTTACTCGTTGCCTCTTGCAAGAGTAGAAGCCCACGTTGTGAGCCGCCCTGTGGAGAGGCCACAGGGTCGGAACTGAGGGAGGTCTCAGGGCAGCGGCCAGCAAGGAACTGAGTCCTGCCAACAGACTCAACAGCGGGTTTGGAAACAGACACCCTCCCCACCCAAGAGTCAAGCCTTGAAAGGATGGCGACCCCGACCGGCCATTTGCGGCCAGGGAGACGCTCTGAGCAGAGGCACCCCGCCGGGACCGGATTCCCGACCCAGAGAAACAGTGAAATAAGAAACGTGCATGATTTCAAGTTGTCAAGTGCGGGGGGTAATTTCTTATGCGGCACTAGGTAACTGATACACGTGGCTTTCGTTAGCATCTCCCTCTGGAACTCCTGCTCCTTCATATCTTTGTCCCATTGTGTTACCCGAGTTCTGTGACGTGTAGGGTCCTCCTGCCACCCCACTGGCTCTTCCCTGTCTCCTTGGCTCAGCCTCTTAATGTTGGCTGGTCCCCGGGCTCCTTCCTGGGTCCTCTTCTCTGTCCACAAAGCCCCCAGTTATTACACACAATATGCCGGTGTACAGACCATAACGTCCCACTCTACGTCCCCAGCCTGGCCCACCCTCCAACACCCCAGGCTCGTGGATCCCACTGGCTACTCGGGTGTCTAAATCCATCTCAAATGCAGCATTCCTGCCCCCTTCCCCCATCGCGCCCCCCATCGCGCCCCCCCATCGCGTCTTCCTCCCGGTTGCTCGGCCAAAACTCCAGGCATCACCTCGTTTTCCCTGTGACTCTCATGGCCACCTCCCTGCCACCCAGTCCATCAGTGAGTCCTGACGACCGCGTCTCCAGAACGCCACCCGCAGTCCCCGCCCCTCTCCGCGCCCGCCCGCCCGCCCGCCCAGGCCGCCACGCTCCTCCCTCATGCGCACGGCTGCAGCGGCTGCCTGACGGGTCTCCCTGCTCCCACGCTTGCCCGACAATCCACTTGCCACCCCGCGGCCAAGTGAGTTTTAATGTAAATAAGATGGTGTCTTTTCCCTGATGAAACCCCCAAAGTCGTCACAGCATACTCAACATCTGCCCCTACGTGGGACTGCAAAACCCTCTGTTAGCAGATCCCTTCCTTACTGACCCCCCAGCCCGGCCCCCCGACTGGTCCCCCACCTACCCAGCCCCAGTCATGTGGCCCATCTTCCTCTTCCTCAGGTGAGACAGGCTCACTCCCACCGAGGCTTTGCACTGGCTGTTCCCCCTGCCTGGGACACTCGTGACCAGCTGTCCCCTGCCGGCCAGCTCCCGGCTCTCATGCCACCACCTGAGAGAGCCATCTGGCCAGGCCAGACCGTCTGACTGCAATGGCCGCCCAGGCGCTGTCTCGCTCACCCTCCTTCCTTATTCTCTGCAGCGTATGTGTCCCTAAAGGTCTTTCCCTGTGTGATTGTTTATCGCCGGTCTTGCCATCTGGTTTGGAAGCCGTACAGGAGGAAGACCAGAGGCCTCGGTGATGTCCCACACAACCAGCCACGTCTGTGCCTGGCCGTCACCAGGCACTCGGAGGGAGGAAGGCAGGGAGGGACAAGCAGAGGGACGACGAGAAGAAAGGAAGGAGAGGCCACTGGACCTCATTCCTGGAACCAGATCTCTCCCTGTGCTGTCACGCGGGCTGTAGTTCTTGCTACTGACCCCAGTGGGAAACGGAGCTCCATCCTCCCCTCGAATGTGGCGCGCCCTGTCACCGCCTGACCCGTCCAATATGGCAGAGCTGATGCGGGGCGATTCCCACACCCAGCCTGGAGCGACTGGCACTCGCGCCTCTTAGAGGGTTGGCCCTGGGGACGTGGACCGCCGCACAAGAAGTCTACCTGCCCTGAGACCGCCACGCTGGAGAGTCTACATGCAGATGCCATAGCCTGGAGTCCCGGCTGAGCCCAGTCTTTCGGCCACCCCCACCCGAGGCACCAGATCTTGGACCTCTCACGCAGATGTCCCGCCAGCTTCAGTGGCTACCGGGAGGAACAGGAGCATTTCCCAGCCAAGCCCTGCCAGGATTTCCAAGCCACGAGGTCACAAGACACGATGAAATGGTTACTGTTTGTTCCTACCTTTGGGATTATCTAACTCAGCAGCAGAAAACCAAAACAGCTGCCTGTTGGCAACGCCCATTGGATGTCACACGACTGAACGCGTCCAGGACTAAACTCTCAGGCTTCCTTCTGCTCGGAGCCCCTCCTGAGCTTGCTGCCCCCTCAGAGTCCCCAGGCTCCATCATCGGCATCACCAGCTACCCAGGAAGCCAAGTCAGAACCGGGGCGTCATTCTCAACATCTCCCTCCCTTCACGCTCTCCGACGTGGGTGACGCTGCCGGGCATGACCCTCAGCAGGTGAGCCAGTCACAGAGACAAGTCCTGTGGGATCCCACTGACGTGAGCTACAGGGAGTCGCCGAACTCAGAGGCAGAAGGACAGTGGCTGGGGTGGGGGGAACAGAGTTGTTGGAGACAGCACTTCAGTTTTGCAGGATCAGAAAAGGGTAGAGGAGGATGGCGGCGACGGTCTGCTTCCCCCCTGGCTGCGGAGCGCTGACCATCAGGAGAGCAGGCTCCGCGGACTGGGCCTCCCCACGAGCCCGGCAGCCCATCGCCGCGGCCGCCTGTGGGCGCCAGCGGCAGCTTCCCCTCCTTATCTCAAGCCCTGCCACCCCTCCACGTTCTCTAGAACAAATCCCGACCGCGCACGATGCTTTGGGCCCCTCTCTCTTCTCTCCATCCCTGCCGCCTCTGCCCTGTTTCGAGTTCTCATTATCTTCTATCTGGGCAGCGGCGGAGGCCTCTGGCCCGGGCTCCCGCCTTTGGTCTTACCTCTCCCCGTCCTGCTAAGCGGATCACCCCAGAGCACAAAACGAAAGGGCCCTCAGCATGCAGACCGGACTCGGCCGGGCCTGCGAAGCTCTGCTCAAGCCGACCCATCTGACTGGACCCCCATCCTACCTCTCACCCTGCTGGTCTGCTGAACGAGTATGAGTTCATGCTGAACTCTTTGGTGCTCCTCTGATGGGCCACGCTTTCTTTGGTCTCTGTGGCTTTGCACATTCTGTGCTCTCTGCCCCAAAAGCTCTCTGCCTTAACTACCTGGAAACCTTCCAACCACTCCTTGCGGCTAAAACAGACAATACCAAGTGACTGACCGTACCTCTTCGTCACCTTGCTACCTTTCATCATAGAGGCTGGAAAGCACACCATCCAGTTCCCCAGGCTCCCTTGCAGCTCAGAGTGGCCAAGGGAAAGACACTGCCTGGCACCAGTTATTTCCTCCTTCTTTCTGTCTTGAGACCAGACGTGATGTCTGGTGCTGCTGCAGCCATCTTATGGCCATGTGGCAAAAAGCACCATACCAAGCAGGGTTGAGTGGAAAGGCGAACAGTGCCTGGATCCCAGATGACCAGGCCAACCCCAGGAGCCAACCTCCAGAATTCTTGTCTGTCAGCCTAAGGATACTGCTGGTCAAGCTTTCTATAATTTGCAGCAAGAAGCACCTCTAATTAAAACGGCCTCACCTCAAGCACCCCCTACTCATTCAAGTCCCTCCCTGGATTCCTGCTCCTATTACACCTCGCACATACCTTGCCCCAGCACTCGCCACACTTACCGTATTATGTTTTTTCCTTGTCTCCCTACCCCACCATACAGTGACTGTTTTGAGGAAAGAGGTTGTCGCTTCTCACCTCTAATCTTTAGCTCCCCCGCCAGCTCCTGGCGCATGGCAGATACTCAGGAAGTGAGCCTGTAGACTATAGACTGACATTCCAGCCTCCATTTGTTAACCTTACACCAAATTATTTTGACTACAACCTGCCTCCATTCCTTACTGGAAAAGGGCAAAAGAAGTAAGTTTGCTGATTTGTAAAAAAATAAATAAATAACTTGATGCGGATTACCGAAATATTGCAGAGGAACAAAAAGGCTGCAATATTCCTCAGGACGCTCCTCTTGGCGTTGCCCTGCAAGAAATGGGGGTGCCTGACCGGGCCCCGGGCCCCTTCCCAGCTCAGCCCTGCATCCCCTTTGCCACTGCCTTCTCTCAGGCACATATTTCCATTGACGGCAGGTGGCATCTGGCCGTCCTGGGAAGCCACATCATCCCCGACTGCAGCTCTGCTCTTGAGGCCGGAAGAAGCCAGGGATGTGTCACTGCCATTGCAGACGGTGACCACCCGCAGGGTCCTGATGTCATCGGAGAGCTTCCCGGGCTCTCGGTGAGTGGACTCGATGATGAAAAGGTTCTGGATGTATTTCTCGACAATGACCAGGATGGAGTAGGGCAGGTTGTACCAGGTGTACGCGGGGCGGGCCTTGGCACAGACGATGGCCAAGATGGAGCCCCAGGAGAGCAGCCAGGAGCCGGAGGCAGTGGCCACCAGGAGGTCCGCGTCCAGTTTGCGCGCCGGGTTTTTGGACTCATCTAGCGACTGCTCATCGAGCCTGTAGATCCAGATCCCGGCCAGGCCCGCGGCCCCCATGAGCATCAGCAAGGTGGTGGCGTACAGGTAGAACATGATGAGCGCCGACTCGCTCTTGGTCTTGGAGCGCCCGATCTGAATGAGGTACACCACCACCACCGCTATCGTGGCGGCCAGCGCGGCCAGGCCCAGGGCCGAGCCCGCCGTCACCCCGCGAAACCTGAACTGTATCTTCGGGTGCTGACGGCCGTCGACTCTGCGGCCGATGTTTTTCCACAGGACGTAGAGCATCGTGGAAGCCAGGATCTGGTACTCGATGTTGAAAGGGTAGAGGTAGTAGATGCCGTGGGAGAGGGCCGAGCAGAGCGTCGCAGGGCTGCAGTTACACGGAGGCGAGTGGTCGTCCAGCTCTGGGGAAGGAGGCGGCCACGGGGACATGGAAAAGCACAAAGACACATTTTCACGGTGGGTCCACGCTTGGCTTTTCCCATCAAATTAAAAGCTTTATTTCATGGCTATTATCATATTTGATATCATGGCTCAATTGACAGCCATGAATATCCCCCAAAGAGAATTAATTACATGAATCACATTTTATCCATACATTGGAGTATGACGTCATGCCGCTATTATAAAGGGTAGGGTAGGCGGAAATTTACTTATCAACATACGAAAACATTACCAAGCTATTGTTGAACTAAAGCAGCTTGCCAAAGGGACTTTTAGTAAATTATAGATCTATAGATGATGGAGAGACAGACAGACAGACATAGAAAAATCTGGGAAGACATAAATGAAAATGTTAACAATGGTTACCTCTGGGAGGAAAAGCGGCAGCTCATTTTTCTTTTCTATTTTTTCAGTAAAAGGCACTTTTGTGTGTACATTTTCCCCGGCTTTACTGAGATATAGTTAACACTTAATATTGTGTGAGTTGGTAACACGTGTGTATGTGTGTGCAAGAGAGAGAGATTCCTCAATGTGCTACAATTTAGAAATTAAGTGGATTTTGGTACCTCCATAAAATGGAGTAGGAGATAGTTAAGTAGTGTTTCAATGATACAAGAAAATAATCATGTTATAAAAACAGTGGGAAAAAAGTAAGAACAAATTCTATATCCAATATTTTTAATGCATATCGTAACCCAGTATTCAGTTGAAAAGTCCACTTAGAAAGTAGAAACAAGCTTTTTAACAGAATAGAATTGTAATGGAACAGAATAAGACAGAATGAATGGAATTAAATATGTTAGAAATGTGAGAGTGTCTCTGATATATTGATTATTACTTCATAATATCTGTGTATGTACATACAAGTGCGGAGCATTTGGTTTGTGATGTAAAGTTTGTTTCTTACCATAGGTTGTAGTCAAATAAAGATTAAATATATGCAGTGCAATCTCAACTATAAATAAATAAATAAATAGCACACTACAAAGAAATAGCCAAATGATAACTGCATTTAACCGAATTTCTAGGTAGGTATCATTGTGGATTTATTTCTATGCACCTTATCATTGTTGTGGTTTATGACGTGCACATATTACTTATAAACTCCGATGGAGAAGCTCTGTGGTAGCAGTCACTCCCCTTGCTTTCGCAGAACACTACACTTCCCCGTAACCAATACAGTACAATGCAAAAGAAAGGGAAGAAACCAGGAGGAAAGGTTCGGATTAACAGAGCGTTAGAGCTGACAGAGTCCTTTCTAAAAAACTACTCGAATCCCCTCTTTCACGGAGGTGTCTAGAGCCAGATTGCTAGGGTTCAAACTCTGGCTTGATCATTTACACGCTGTGTGATCATCAGCCTCTCTGCGACTGAATGGCTTTGTTCACATCACGAGGTCCCCACTGCCTGCCTCGGAGTGTGGGGACAAGAATTAAGGAGCAACGTCCAGGGACCAGAACGGTGCCGGGCACTTAGCAAATGCTTAACAAAAGCTGGTTTTTGTGATCGTTGTCATTGCTGGTTCTGTTCTTCACACCAGTGAGGCAACGGAGCCCAAAGAGAGCAGGATGCTCCCGAGAGGGGCTGCTGGCGGCGGGCGGTGAGGGGATGAGCAGGGGCCCGAGCGTCGCCAGCGCACCCCCCGGCTAGTGGAGACGCGCAGCGCAGCGCGGCTGGGAGGGCTCTTTGGCAGTGCGCGGTGCAGGTGCCCTCGCTTTACAAATGGGGCAAGGCAGGTTCAGAGAGGTTGAGTGGCTTCCGAAGGCCACACAGCCAGTGTGGGAAGAACACACAAACCCGAGACATCCAGTTCCCAGGGCGTTGTGCTGTCCTCTACCCAACACTTCCCCCAACCCCCGTGTCCCCAAGGAGAAGGGCTAGGGCACAAAGGCCAAAGGCCTTTGGAAGAAAATGGGAAGATGAGTGCTAAAGTCGCTCACATAGGAACAAGGAGCCGTAAGGACGGGCCAACATTATAAACAGAGTAGACTTAAAGGAAAACTTCAAATGAGCTAAAACCAATTAAACAAAACCTACCATTAGATGTCTAAGGATTTTTAAAAGCTATACTTTTAGTGGAAAGAGCTGGTAATATGGGCTTAATTAAACACAGCCAGAAAGAACCGTCAATCTTGCACAGTTGTAAACAAAGACATTTGTTTCCGTGCTAACCTGGACCATGTAAATGGCGATCCTGATGATAACCCTTGGGTCTGACAAGCCCCTGAGTCACTGAAGAAACCTTTAATTATGTCCGGCACACTCTACTTATGGAACCAGGGGGAAGGCTCAGGAGGTTTTCAAAGATTTTCAACAACAGAGGATTGTCTGGTCCATGCTGAGCCAGGTGGCCTCTGCGGTTCCTTGGAACCTGGGCCTCCTCTGACTGCTCTGGTCCCTGCAGGTTTCCAGGATGTTCCGACATGGCGGCGGGGCACCTCCCACCCCTCACCTATCGTTATGTTCCCGAAGCCCAGGGTGATGAGCCGTTCCTTGTGCTCGTTCAGTTGGTGCTTGGACTCATTCAGGACGCTGTTGGCCCACAGAAGCAGGTTGGTGAACACCGAGTGGATGACTCCAAACCTGAAAAACACAAGGTCTCAGTTCTTGAGCAACCCTGGGAAGCTCCAAGCCCCATGAGGTGAGATGGAGACATTGCACACACACAAAGGCCTCCTTCTCAGCCATGGCTCTGGTTTCACCTGGCAGTTCAGTTCTCTGGGTGGGTCCTCGGCCTGGGAGGAACAGTTCCACAGGAACTGTCAAAACCACAGCCTTGGCATTCTGCCTTAGTCTTGAGCATGCCAGTATTCAATTCACTGTCCGTGGGACAAAAAGAAACTGGATCTCGAAATTAGGAACACAAGGATGGAAATTTGTTTAGAGTACACGACCAACCGTACCATACCCCAAACCTCTTCGTCTAGAAGGGAAGAGGAGAGATCAGTGAAGGAATGAGGAAAGGGCTCCACTGGAAATCTGGAGAGTTGGGTACGCCCTTACTGTTGGTTGGCCAATCCAACAATTGTCATCATCCCCTCTGTCTTGCCATTTACCTTGAAAGACACTGGATCAAGCCAGAGACTTGCTGTTTGGCATCCCTTGCAGCTAGGCATGGCCACTGTGGCCAGCGGGATGTGAGGTACTGAAAAGCTTTTGCTTTTGTAATGAATGGGATAAGAAAAAGAAAAGCCAGCCTTGGCTTTTCTACTGTCTTTTCTATTGGCTTTTCTACTGTCGTTCTTCCTTTTTTTCCAGCCTTGGATGTAGGCATGAAGGCTGGAGTGTTGACAGCTTGAATGTGACTATGAAGCAACCAGCATGGGATGAAACCCTAAACCGCCAAGGAGGGCAGAGTGAAAACATAAAACGCCTATTGTTGAGCTTCTGGAGTCTCCAGTAGGTTCAGCAATGAGGCCACGGTCACAAATAGAGTGAGTAGTGATGGCGTTTGAAGAGTTAGTAAGCGGCAGGGCTGTCTGAGTCTGACCCCAGAGTCCTGCCTTTGTCTCTATGCCCTGTGGCCTCCTAAGGAAGAAGTAAAGCGGTGACGTGGAAGGTGGCCGCTGGACTCTGGGGAACAGAGGAGAGGTGTGTCGGGAATACAGCTCCAAGGGGGTCACCTCATGCTTCAAAACCTCCGAAGTCCCCCCGTGCCTGCCGGCTTAAGGATACACACATTGGTAGCTTCCAGAGTAGTTAACAACGGGGGCCTTGCATGTAGCAAGTGCAGCAAATAAGCCTGATTGGAGGGACATTCCTTGAAACTGATGGGTAACTGATAGCTCCTTAGCTGGAGAGCAGAGGCCCAGGGGAAACACGCCTCCTCCCTGTCTAACCGAAAACATGCTGGTCCAAGATCAGCCTGCAGGAAAATGGTGCAAACGGGTCCTCAACCCTGACCTTGTCTCTCCTCTGAGTTTTAACCCCAGCCGACTCCCCTGCAGGCAAAACCCTGCTTCCTTTGCCAGCTGCGTGATGCCCAGGCATCACTGGGGAAGGAAGCAGCCTCCCCGGGGTGGGGGGTCCAAGCCAGGTGTTCGCCCACCTGTTGGCCCCTCACTTGCCAAGTTGCTATAGATGGTGGCCAGCCTTCCCGGGAGTGCGGGGAGACGTTGCACAGTCTGTCCCAAATGCAGACAATGCTGTTTGCCTCAGGCCCGCAGGCTTTCTTTTACTTACAATGCACACAGCTCCCCTTTCTTCTCCTCTTTCCTGGTCCGAATGGCGGCTCTCCAAGTCCCGACCCACTGAGCCCAAGGAGGTGATCAGGAGGCCACCCGGAGCCGCAGACTGTTCTGCCCACGGGCTCCCTGCGAGCTGGCAGCCTCCTATTGGTTTGATCTGGAAATTGTCCTCCCAACTCAGGGAGGACGGCATTTCCTCATGGCAGGCTGCTTTCTCATGCTTGGAGCCAATCACCCCAGACCACAACAAAGAGAAGGCTTCGAGGAGCCATTTCTGATCTCAGTTTATGTTTTCAGCTCCACTTTCACAATTACTGTTCCATTAAGCCTCACCCTTGGGAAAAGAAAAAAAACTCCAACTCGTATGAGCAGTTCTTGGATCAGGACAGAGTCCCTAAATGTACTAAGAGTATGGGGTAGTGGGATACTGTCTCAAAGACTAGAAGGAAGCGGTAAACCCGGGCGGGCAAGTTCCTGAGCCTTCGGGGATTGACCGGAAATGTCAATGGAGAAAGCCGGTGTCAGGCGGCATCAGGGAGTGGCGGAGGCTGTGGCAAACTGAGGGGACAGGCCCCGTCTGGAGGCACAACTCCCTCTCAGCTCTGGCTCTTTGTCTCCATGCACACGGGGGATTGCCAAATCTTCCGCTGTCTCCAGGAAAGTCTAAACCTAACCCGAAAGGTGGTAAGGAACTCAAAAATGTTTCACACTCGGCCCTTGAAGCAAAAAGGGGCGCATCAAGCCGTATGCGTCCCTGGTTCAGACCGCGCACTGTCCGGTTTAGGAACCAGGCCCAGAGACAGGCATAGACTGTTTCCAGTCACTCAACGAGCAAGGCCAGGCAGGACTGTGTCCTGCCCCTCAGGGTCCCCTCAGACGGAAGCCCCTGGCGGTCAGTGCCCAGGCACATGGCCCAGCGCAGCACGGTCCCAAAACACATCGTGCACAACACGTATGTGTACCCTTCCATTTTCTAGTAGCCACGTTTTAATAAACAGTAAAAAGGAACAAGTGAAAATAATTTTAATAACATTTTTGTTAAACATAATATATCTAAGATGCTATGATGTCGACACATAATTAATACCAAAAAAAAATCTGATCGGGGTATTTTACATTCTGTGTGCCATTCTAGTCTCTGAATTGGGTGTGTGGTTTACGGTCCCAGCACATCCGGTTTGAACTAGCTGCAATTCAAGCGCTCCGTCGCCACGTGCGGCTGGCTGGCAGCTGGCGGCTGCTGTACGGGTCAGCGCAGGTCTAGAAAGAAAATACAAAGACCCCGTTCTGCTTGGAGGGGATCGGTCCCAAATGTCCTGAGGCCGTGCTTAAGTAAATGACTAAAACGAAGAGAAAGGCTTCACGCAGCAAACCAGCTGCCACTAAAGTCTCCGGGATGCCATGGAAGTGGCAGCCAACATTCAGGTCCCACCCAGCCAGGCACAGGCGGGCTGCCTGACCTGGGACTTCTCTTTCGCTTTCTGAGCCTCAGTTTCCTCGTCTGTTACATGGGATCATGCTCAAACCTATTGTCGGTGACCGACAGGGCTATGGCGAGAGAGGACCTCATACGTAACACACGTAAAAGAAACGGCTTGGTAAGTGCGGCAGCTCACTCTGTCCAGCCAGAAGTTCCTGGGGACAGACAGGGGCTCAGCACGCATTTGTGGAAAACACCTCACCCTACTCCCCAACAATTCTACCTCCAGGGATTTAACTCAAGCAAACAATCTGAGACGTTCAGAAATATTTCTGATTGAAGATGTTCATCCTGTTCCTATTTATAATAATGACCAAACATTCAGAAAGATTACTTGAGCGGCAATAGGTGGTATGGATGGTGTCCCCTCAAAATTCACATGGTGAAGCCCTCATGGGACTGTATTTGGAGATGAGGCCTCTAAGGAGGTCATTACAGTTAAATGGGGTCATAAGGATGGGGCCCTAATTCAATAGGACCGGTGTCCTTCGAAGAAGAAGAGCCACCAGTGACCCGCCCCCTCCTTCTCGCTCCCTGCCCACAGGAAAAGCTGTGTGAAGACACAGCGAGAAGGCGGCCGTCTGCCAGCCAAGAAGAGAGTTCTCACCAGAAACCAGCCCTGTTGGCACCTTGATCTTGGACTTCCAGCCTCCAGAACTGTGAGATGATTGCTGGAGCTCCCTATCTGTGATACTATTCCGACCGAGCTGCCCAGCACAGCCGGATATTGGTTAGATGAACTATGGCAGCCGCTGCTATGCAATCAATAAAGATCATGGTGTAGAGACTGGGGCGGGGGAGGTTAACAGCAGCATGAAACAAAGAAGCAGAGCAAGGGGAGCAGGGCCAGGGTTGTAAAAAGGAGAGAGGAACAAAATGTATCTCTTCATGGAAAAAAAAGACTGAAATGGAACTGATTAATAATCTCTGGTAGTGGCTGTTTTAGGCAGCTCCCGCTGCTATAACAAAACAACAGGAGTTTCTTTCTCACAGTTCTAGAGGCTGGAAGTCCAGGATCAAGGTGCGGGCAGGGTTCGTTCCCTGTGAGGGCTCTATTCCTCATTTGCCGCTGGCCGCCTTCTCCCCATGTCCTGGCAAGGCCTGTCCTCGGGATGCACATGGACGGAGAGCGAGCTTTGGTGTCCCCTCCCCTCCTTATAACGACACTAGTTCCTTCGTAGGGGCTCCCCTCCTGCGGCCTCATCTGAACCTAATTCCCTCCCACGAGCCCCACCTCCAGGCGCTGCGCACTGGGGTTTAGGGCTTCGACACACGCATTTGAGGGACACACACACTCCGTCCGTAACAGTGGCACAGGGAGAGTTTAAAGGCTACTCTATCCTTCCACGTTTTATTGGGGGGGGGGAAAGTACAATTTTTGAAGAATGACTGTGGAGCAGATAAAGTTAAACCCATGGCATGGAACAAGAATACCAAGTGGTCTCAGGCTGTGAGCAGGGCCCAGCCTGCCGACGGAAGGGACAGCTGGGGACACACGCGCTGTCCTCCCTCCCAGCAGAAGAGACAGGGCGACCTGGGACTGGGACGCTGACCAGGGGGAAGTCCCCTCACCTGCGGGAACCTTCTGCCTCACCTGTAGTTACCATAGTTACCTTCACAGAACCTCAAGGAGATTAAATGTGAGGATGGGTGAGGGAGTCTTTGTCCTGCTTGAAGGGACCACTAAAGCCATCTTCTCTGGGTCCTTGGCGCCTGGACCTCATTGGTCCCTAATTGGTCCATGTGACCTCATTTGTCCATTCCCCTCCCACTTCTGCCCCTCGCCCTGCCTCTCCCTCCCTTGCTCTGCCCCCAGCAGGAGGCGTGGCCTCTTGTGCGAAGGCTGGGGTTAAAGATCGCTGCCCCGGCCACCGCATGGGGCTGCACAGGGGACAACACAGGCTGCCAGTCAGTGTGGGCTCTGGGGGCTCCGCTGCGGTGTCCCCGCCGTTATCGCTGCGCACCCCAGCGGGGCTGGCAGCAGGCCCTGCGCACCGTAGGGGCTCAGTAAGTGCCTGGCAGCCTGTGGAAGCTGACGCTCTGTGCTTAATGAGGTGGCTGTAAGTTACTTCTCTTTCAACAGTCTATTAAAGTAGCTCTATCCAGCGGTCACACATACATCAACTTTTTCAGCCTGCGGGGCTGGGGAGTGTCCTGTCCCTTACTGACCCTGTCCGTGAGGAGGGGTCTCCCTGCAAAGCAAATGCCGTTCCCTGGATCCACCTGGGTGTGTGCCCACAGGCTTCCTTACATGACACGAATACCTTGCTTTATCCGCCCCATCCTCTGGTGGACTCTCCCTCGAGAGAACAGAGGACAGGGAGGCTAACAGACCCGACCCTAACGGGCACTTCCCGGTCCGTGCCAGGCGCCGGCGCTACACCAGCTACCTCCCCCAGTCCTGAGAGGCAGCTGTGCTCGCGTCTCCATTTTACAGACGAGGACACCCGAGGGTCGTGAGGGGGAAGTGTCTAAGGAGTGGAGTCGGAACTCAAGCCCACGTCACCCTCCTTCCGGGGCCGTCCTCAGGAAGGGCCTCCTCCCCGGCCACGCGTGGAGGCTCCGCTTGTCGGGATGCAGGTGAGCGCTGGTCTCGTATTTGCAACCCAAGCAAGAAGGCACTGACGAGTTTTGTTCATTCCAAAGGAACGCCAAATTCAGCACGTAATGCAAGGAGCCGCGGTCCTTACCTTTCCAGTGTTTTGAAAGACTGGATGATATCCTTTGCGTGGCCCCAAAGAAAATACACCTGGACGGAAATAAAGGAAGAAGAGAAAGACACATCAGGGGGAAACCGCCATTGTATCTGCACACTCCCAAAGCGGTGAAACTTAGGGAAAAGGCGTGGTGGATGCTGGGGACATCCGCGGCCTCCCACCCCAAGAATGGCAAGTCGCTGCGCTCATCTCGGCTGGCAGGGCCATTCGCCGTCGGGATGTCTGGGGACCGGCAGCCTGCCTGTCATCGCCCCTGTTAACCTGCCCCCGTCCCCTGCCGGCGACCAGACACTGAAGGCTGAGACTGCAAATGCAGGGCAGACTCGGCCGGGCCGGTCATTTCACTCCAGTCCATCTGCTGCCCAGCCCCCTGGCCCCGCGGCCCCTGGCAGAGCACAGGGGACGGGCTGAGCGGGGCAGCTGGGCCTGTGCACGAACCCCTGGCCTTGGCAAGTCCGGGAGCCTTTCTGCACCTGCCTCCCCACCTGCGAAACGGGGGTGACGACAGAACCTCCCTAGGAGGGTGCTGTGAGCAATGAGTAAGACGGACGTGACAACTGCTCGGAGCAGCCGCCGCAGCGGGTGCGTTTTCCGTGGGCGCTGTCCGCTGTCAGCGGCTCATTGGTGCCCACGGGCCCGGCGCTGGGTGAGCCCCCGGAATGGCCTGGGCCTGGTTTTAGAAACAAGCACATACCGAGCGCCTGTTTTGTGCCACAAACGGGTGGGCACTTTATAAATTTGTCTTTGTAATCTTCATCTTGCAGTGAAGTGCTATAAAAAGATAATCAGACAGCACGAAAGAAAAAAACGCGCTTCTGCGTACTCTCTCTTCTGCATTGTTTTGCCTCAGACTTACTATCTTGCTTAAGAAAACATGTTCAGGGCAGGATTCCTAAAACATCTGACACTCAGAAACAACAGGGAAACTGTTAAGTAAATTTGTAATTATTAATAAACTCTAAGTTAGCAACTTAACGGCTGCTTTTATAAGGCGGGGCGGGGAAGAGGGAGGGAGGGAGGGAGGGAAGAGGTAAGGAAGGAGGGAGGGAAGGAAGGAAGGAAGAAGGGAGTCAAGAAATCTTGTGAGCAATGGCAGCGTCCCTGGGCCGAGCTCAGCGTCTCGCAGGGTAGCTGGTGTGGAGGAGGAGCATCATCCCCGTGACTCGGCCGTGACTTTGGGCAAGTCACTGGTCCTCTGTGCCCCCAGCCCCTTCCTTGGAAACGAGCAGGACGAGCCAACACCTGGTCTTGGGGACATGTGGAAGCGCAGCAGGAAGCGACAGAGGAGAGGCACTTTGCAAACCCGGAAGTTCTACAGAAATACTAATTACAGCTTCTATTATCTGAGTCACAGGGACCTCGCCACTGACAGCCGCTCCCAGGGATTTCTGCTCGGGAGGGAGGCGCGCTGGAGCCTGTCGGAGCCCGGCTCCAGCGCGAGGTTCTCCTGATTCTAAGCTGCACGTTTAAACGGCACACGTCAAACCTGTACTTCTTAGCCACACCAAGTTGACCAAGGCGGAGGAAGAACCTCACACATTTCTAAAAGCTTTTAATCCACAGGGAAGCAAACAAAATAAAAGGGTTTCGATGACCCAGAGGCGTGACTGTGACAGCACAGGGTTTCTTTCGGGGGCTATGAAACTGTTCAAAAGTAGAGTGCGGTGTTGCCCGCACAACCCCAGGAACATACCGAACCACGAGGTGGTGCGCTTTCAACGGCTCACTTGTGTGGCTCTGAATTATCGTACAGCTCAATGAAACTCTAAGGTTAAAATTGCCCCCAGCCTCTCCTGGTGGAGTCTGGCCTGGTAGAGTTTCTGACTCTTCATCAGTCCAAGTTCTGCCTCACGGGATTTCCACGAAGTCAGCCAAGGGGCCATTGGCAAAGGGCCGCTTCCCAAGGGCGGAGCCCCGGAGTGGGCCGAGGCTCCCTGCGCTGCCCCGCCAATCCCGCCTGGGGTCCCCGGGCACCAGGCAACGCAAGCAAACAGCGCGTGGTCTACCTGCAGCAGCGTGTGCACCGCGTGTGTGACGGGGAACACCCCTTCAGTGGCTGAGAGACACTCGGAAAATCCAACGAAGTACCCAATTTTAAGGCATCCCAGGATGACGGTGATGAAGGCAAATAGTGTGATACTTCCTAAATGGGAGGGGGGTAGAAATAAACATATAAGTATTACTGTTCACTGATCTCATTTCAAAATAAATTATTTTTAACTCCTCACATATGTGGTCAAATGATTTTCCACGAGGGTGACAAGACCATTTGATGGAGGAAGGACAGTCATTTCAACAACTGGTTTTGGGGAAACTGGATCTCCACTTGCAGAAGAACAAAGCGGGTCCCTTACCTTTCACTATGCACAAAAATTAACTCAAAAGGAATCAAAGACTTCAATGCAAAACCTAAAGCTATAAAACTCTTAGGAGAAAGCATGGGGGGAAATCTTTACCATGGTGGGCTTGGCAATCATTTATTGATTATGACACCAAAAGCACAGGCAACCAAAATAAAAATAGATCAATTGAACTATATCAAAATGAAAAAAATTTGTACATCAGAGGATGCCATGAAATATTTATAAATCATATCTAATAAAGCATTAGTATCCAGAATCTATTTTTAAAATACAGTTCAAAATACAACCCAATTAAAAAATGAGCAAAGGACTTGAGTAGATGTTTCTCCAAAGAAAACAAGTGGCCAGTTAACACATGAAAAGAGGCTCAACATCACTAATCAGCAGGGAACCGGAAATGAAAACCCGCTCACACCCAGGGCGGCTGCTGCGGGGAGGTGGGGAGAGACTGACGACATTGGCAACGATGTGGAGACATTGGAACCCTTGTGCACTTTTGAAGTGAATATAAAATGGCACCGACACTGTGGAAAACATGTAAAAATGGCATTGCTAGGTGATCCAGCAATTCCACATCTGGGTGTATCCCTAAAAGGACTGAAAGCAAAGATACCAAGGGACGTTTCTACAGTCGTATGCATGCGGCATTATTCACAACAGCCAAAAGGTGGGAACAAGCCAAGTGCCCGGCAACAGATGAATGGATAGACCAAACATGGCCCATCCGTATGGTAGGTCCATCCTTAAGGAGGAAGGACATTCTGACACAGGCAACACCATGGACGACCCTCGAGGACATTATGCCTTGTGAAATAAGCCAGGCACAACCACAGCTGCCGTGTGAGTCCACTGATATGAGGCTCCTTAGAGTAGTTAAATTCACAGAGGCAGGAAGTAGAATGGTGGTCGCCAGGGGCCGGGGCAAGGAGGGAGGAGGAGCTGATGTTCAGGGGGTACAGGGTTTGGCAAGATGGAGGAGTTCTGGAGATTAATTGCACAACGTGAGCATGCCTAACCCTTCTGAACGTACACTTAAAAATGACTCAGTTGGTAAATTTTGTTATGTATATTTTGTTATGTATATATTTGTATGTATATATTTTGTTATGTATATATTTGTATAATTTTGTTATGCATATCCCATAATTAAAAATAATACATATCATAAATTCTACTCTTCGTCTATTAAGTGGAAGCTCGGAGGCTGCATTGTGTCCCGTTTGTCACTGCGCCTACCCCATGCATGTCCCAGGGTCTGAGAAATGGTACAAACTCAGCAGACGGGCTGATTCAACACAGGGCCTCCAGACACTCCTCCCCTGCCCCTCAAAAAAAAGATCAAAGTAAGAGTCACTGATCTGCAAAAAAAAATCTCAGTTCTCTAATCCTAAAATCCTGTCCTCTAAAGAATAAACACAAAGGGTTTATAGGTATGCGGGAACTCACGATGCTATCTTCGCAACTCTTCTGTAAATCTAAAAAGGTTCTAAAACTGAAAGTTTATTTTTTAAACATAGTTTAGGGCTCTATCTCAGTGTTGTGGAGAAGGGCTATAATGCATGACATGAGGAAAGGAGACTTTCTTTGATGGTCTATCCACATGGTTTTAGCCAAAAAGTAAACACAAACCAAAAATATGCACCTAAGAAAAAGGCTAGAAAGGAATGTACAAAATACATTAACTAGAAACTTGTAACAAACAAAAAAATAAGCAAGAATGGAGACTTGATACGTCGAAGTTCCTAATCCCTCTTCTGGGCCAGCACTGGCCACCATTCACGCGTTCTTTCCCACGAACCGGAGGAAACTGGTCCGGGAGTGACGTGCTTCCTGGCGCGAGAGAGCGAAGGCGGGGCCGTTGCACGAGCTATAACGTTACAGCCCAGCGCGAGAAGCCGCTGCTGCGCGGTAATGCGATCGCCTGGCTCCTGGCCTTTGCCCAAAGCCTTATAGAAACAGCTCTAAGTCACTTTTTTTTTAGTCCTGGAAAACCCCCAGCGAAAGCAGAAACTTTGTAAGAGTGGAGATTCAATCCCAGCGCTTTGAAATAGCTGAACAAATGCCTGGTTTCCGCTGATGGCAAAGAGACAGAGCAAGATGTGAGCAGGTGCTTGCGGTGGCAGGGTGACAGGATGGCGCTACGGGGACCTGGGCACCAGTCCAGGGAGCTCAGACAAGTCACTTCCCTGCTCCCACCCTCAGTTTTCCCATCTATAGAACGAGATCGGTCCACAGCAGCAGCTCTCAAACTGGATCACACAGCAGAATCAGCCACAGGGCTTATTAGAACAGAGAGAGCTGGGCTCCACCCCCAGCGTGGGGTGAGGCTCCCAAATTTGCGTCTCTAACAAGTTGCCAGGTGGGGCTGATGCTGTTGGTCCAGGAGCCCACCCCGAGACCACATCTCTGTTAATGACATTTCAAGAGTTGCGATGAATACATCAGGTGCCCTCTCATACTCTTGAAGTCCTTTCTTCCTTCATCCACCCACCATCCATGGACTCATTCATCCACATGTTGATACATCAGATCTGTATTTTGGGGGCTCCCCTTTGTGCAGGAGGCATTGGCCAGGGCCTCAAAGGGAAACCAACAAGACGGGTGGGGAAACAAATGTATGCAGGTATCACATTGCAGCAATCAGGGTGTGCGCAAAGCAGGGAGGGATGGGCTGGTGGCGGACTTGTGGTTGGCAGCCTGGGAAACCAGAAGCCGGGGGAGGAGTGGCCAGTCCCCAGCAAGGAAAGGACTGCCGCTCAAGGACCCATTTCCAGCCCAGGTGCCACCTACTTGTCGGGGCAGAAGATGGAAAGATATTTGACGAGCTGCAACATATAATTCGTTCAACAACTATTTGTCGAGGACCAACTATGGTCCAAGCACTGGCACGAGCGCTGGGGATTAAAAAAGTCCGTAAAAGAAAGTATCTGCCTTCAGCGAGTTTCACATTCCGGTGGGGAAGACAGAAAATGAAGAAATAAATTACCAGAGCAGAGTCAGCAAGCGCTAAGTGCGTGAAGAACGGCAGAGCAAGGAAGAGGATCGAGGTGGACGACGGACGGCCAGCAAAGGACCCTCTGAGCATTGGAGAAGGATCTCACCCACATAACTCCCCTGACAGAGGGCTTTAACCAAACAACCAGTCCTCATAGTGAGGGAGGATGAAGAGGAGAGGGGACGAGAGTGAGCACCCAACTTGGCAAAAGACTGTAGAGATAGACGGATAGGTAATGGAGGGAGAGCAGGAAGGAAGGAATGAGGGAGGGAGGAAAGTGGATGGATGGATAGTCCAGTAGATAGATAAAAAAGGAATGGAAGAGAAAACAAGGTAGGAGACATTAAATCCCAACGGATGAAGATAAACTGGAAATGTGTAATTTACATGCTCTATAAAGACTTGTGATACAGAGTACACTGGGGTCCGGCTGGGTGGAAAGCAGAGATGCAAAACCTTTCAAATGTCTCTTGGTAAAGGGATGGGTACTAGGGGATAAGAGGAGCAAAAGGAAGGATGCAAATGATTTCTAAAGGTCTTGTCTCATTGGACTAGAGAGGAAGTGGGAGGACCCCAGAACAGGAAGCCAGTGTCTTCCAAGCCCTGCCTGGTGGGGGAGGGGGCATGGTCAGAGCCACGGCGCAGGCTGCCCTTGCCCTCTTGCCCTCTCTTTCGTGCAGGGCCGGAGCAGTGCCTGGTCAGCCCACCAGACCCAGGTTTCCGCTTGGCCACCACAAAAGTTATCTCTGGGCCGCAGGCTCGGCTCCCTTCTCTGCTGCTCTCTGCCAGTTCCAAGAGCCTTCTGTGCGGCAGAGAAGACAGAGCAAGGTGAAAGTAGGGGACTGTGCCTTCTCTGTCACATGCTAATATCACGCCATCTGCCCCTTTCTCACTCTGTCCGAATGTTGCCAGCAAGAGGGGCTCAACCCGCCTTCTGAAGCCCTTTCAGCTTCCCGGTCTGGGAAATGGGGGTGACGACACCCTCCTCAAGAACTGCCAGGAGCCTGAAAACATGATGCTAGTCACAAAGACGGCATATTATATGACTCCATTTACAGGAAATGCCCAGGCGAGGCAACTCCAGGGAACAAACGTGGAGCCGTGGTTGCCTGGGGCTGGTGGGGAGCAGCAGCATCGGGGGGGCCGGCTAAGGGGTGCCGGGCCCCTTTCTGAAATGACGGGAATGTTCTGAAATTGGCTGTGGTCACGGTTGCCCAGATCTGTGAACAAACGAAAAGCCATTGAGTTGTGCACTTTTAATGGGTGAATCAGAGAGTCTGTACGGACTAGATCTCAATGAAGCTATTTTGTGAGAACTGGTCGCTGTGGGGACGCACTGATGTGGGGCTCGCTGCGGCTGAGCAGGGACAGAACAAGAAACAAAGGGTGTCTGGAGGCGGGGGCGGGGCAGAGAGAGCTGTCCCATTGAGATGAGCACAGCTCCGAGGAGGGGAGCCCAGGCCCGAGATCAGGAGCTTGCCGGATCCGTGCTGAAGCCTGCAGGGCGGTTTCCCGGGCGTCCTGGCCGCACTGCCAGGCTGCGGTTCCCTGAGCGCGGGGACTGGAGCATCTCTGTGTCCCGCAGCCTTTGTCCGCCGCCCGTGCCTCCACCCTGTCTCTGCCACCTCTTCCCACGTGTACGAGACACATCTCTGCAGCGACCTTCGCCTCCTCGCACACGGGGCGGACACTGGGTCCTCCGCCCCTGTCGCCACAGCTCACGAGGCCACCACCGCGGGCTGACCAACAGAAGCAGTGCACTCTGCCCCCTCGCTTCCGGCCCTAAGCGGCAGTGAGCAGAGTGCCCTGCGCAGCCCACGCCGGGGCTGCACGCTGAACAGAGGGCACTGTGCCGCAGACACGGGTGTGCCTCCTTTGAAGAAGAAAGCACTGTGCGAATAGCTGACCTCACACAAAAAAGAATGGCTGTGACATAGGACCGGGCCAACGCTTCTAATGTAGCGGCGTTCCAAACACACACACTGAATGTAGCTGTTGTTCTTATTGTTGTCATTCCCATAACTTTGTGCTCATAACACTTCTGTGGGTTTGAGACAGGACAGAAATGAGTAAAAAGAAAAAGCGACCTTTAACCACTGCCGTCGTTTGAGATGCTGGAAGCAGGGAGAAGCAGGGCCTGGCCATCAATGGGATAGAGCAGCTCTGTACTGGGTGTCTTTCGCCACAAACGCCGGGCTGGCAGGAGGTGCCCCGGCTGCTGTTTTTCCTTCCTTTAGCAAGTAAAGGCGCTGGGCTCATAACCCAGCGTGCCTACCACACTTCTAAAAACGGGTCAACATTTTTCTGTTCCAAAGGAAGTGTGGAAAGAGTGAAGATAGGGCAAATAGAAAATGGAGTCATTTTAGTCAAGCTGCTAAAATATTAATACGAACGTTGAGGTATGAAGAAACAATTCTTTTTCTTGTCTTACATAGCGTGAGAACTTAAACTTTTGGACTTTCCAGTGTTGCATTAATTTCTAGATGTACACCAGTCTGCCGGGCATCGTTTTACTTATCTATGTGTTCACTGGCTGAGTCCTGTATGTGCCCTGACCGGGGATCGAACCCACAACCCCGGCCTATGAGGACGACACTCCAACCAACTGAACTCCCTGGCCAGTGCCCAGTGTGTGTCGACGTCAGGACATACATTTAACCTTCAGAAAGCCCCCCATGAAGGACTCAGGATGCGTCCAGACCTCCCGCCACCTGTTCTCCAAACCGCCTGGCACCCACCCCCCCACCCCCCGCCTGCTGACATCTGACAGCCGTCCTGTGCCAATTCACGGGCACCCCGTGCAGGGATGATTATCCTCAAGGATACAACTTTCACTTTGAGAGCTCTGGCCCTTTCTTCCTCCTTTGGAACACCTCTGGATTTTCGCCTACCTGTGTTCTAAGTTTGCAAACTCTAAGACCCTTGAGTCAATCTTTACGATTTATTTCCGGCCAAAGCCTCCTGACTCTTTGCGTCCAGCCAACAGAAGTCTTCGCTTTCTCACACCCAGTGGGTGGAACAGAATAGTTCCTGCTCAAAGCAAAGCCTCACAACCCCCACCAAGACCGAAACATTTTCTCCAAACACCGCAGTGCCCAGGATCCCACAGGGCGGCTCCCCCAGAGCCGCAGACTTCTGAGACTGTCGCTGGAGCCAGGGCACAGTTGGGTGAAACTGGTCTTTCCAGCCAGGATCCCCGGGAAAACCTCGGTCTCTCGGCCAGGGTGGAGGCACTTCCCTTAGCACCGCGGCGTCCTGGCATTCTTTGGGGATAAGTGGCCCCTTGCTTCTTTGATGAGCCACAGCTTATTTAGAGGGATGGACAGTGCTTTGCAAACCGTGTTCACACGACATCTCCCAGCCCCTCCCTGAGATTCTTATTTTACTGATGAAGAAACTGGGACTCAGAAAGGTGATGGTGACAGAGCTGAGACATCAAGTCACGCCTTCCACGACCAGCACCATTTCCATCATCCACATGTCTCACGTGAATGGATATGTTCTTATGGGGCAACCTCCTGGGTGTCTTAAACAGCCGCCATTTAGCGAACGCCTACTATGTGCCCTCTCTCTGTTGCCGCATGTATTCTACCACTGCTCGGTGTCTAGCAGACATCGCAGATGGCAACCTGGACACTGCATCCTCACTCTGCTCCTCCCCCGGCTTCCAGCCCTCAGGAATGGCCGCCCACTCACCCACGTACCCCCCCGCCTGTGCTTGGGGCCTCACAGGAAGGAGGGCGAGAGTGAGGAAACACGGGAGAGAGGAAGGAAGCGGGGGTTAGGCCGGGGAAGGCTGACAGAGAGAGGAAGGAATGGCTGAGGAGGGAGGAAGAAGGGAAAAAGGGAAGAGGAACAGGAGGAGGGAGGACGCAGCAAGGGAGGGAGGGACAGAGAAAAGGCCCTTCCACTCCGGAAAGCTTCGGTCAAAAGCCCGTGTTTGTAACATTTCTTCAGCCCATGTAAGTCACTATCCTCAAAATAACATTTCCTTTCCGTGTGTTTGATATGGGACGGGATGTCCGCCACTCACATGAGCCTCCCTAAGACAGCCTTTTCAGAACAGAACTCTGGGCCATCCTGGAGTTGTGTCCAGTGATTTCCAAAGTTGAGATGAACCAGACACAGGCCCTGAGCCTAAGAAATCTAAGATACCACCCGGGTGACAAGGCTCCCATCCAACAAGCCATAACACAAGGCAGACACGGACAAGGACCAAGAGAGCTCTCCACAGAGAGCCGGGATGGCCCCTGGGAGGGAGCGGGGGGCACCGGTGGCGTGGGGGCAGACATCGGCGGGAAGGTGGGTGGGAAGGAGGACAGCGGCCTGCTGGGCACCCCCTGTACCCGGCGGCCGCCAGGGGCCCTACCAAGCGTGATTCCCGGTCCACGCGCGCTGAAACTAGCGGGTGGGCAGGCTAAGGAGCTTGCTCAAGGTCATGCCACGAACCTGAAAGCCACGCTCTGAAAGCGAGATTTTAAATTCAGATCCAAACAAGAGCATTCAGGCAGGTGCGTGACGTGTCTGTACCCGGCCTCCCCCATGGAGGTTTCCCAGACAGTGGCCTTCTGTGCAGACGCCCGCGGCCCCCTCCCCTTGACCTGCACCGCGGCCATCTCCCTCTCAAGGGTGAAAGCTCCTTGAGGGGGTGGGTAGGGGGTCAGGTGGGCTCCTGTCCGGACACTGTTTCTCAATCACTGTGTTGTGAGGGCCTAGCAGGTGTGACTGCCTCCCCACCGCACCCGAACATTCCCTTGCTCATTCATCGCTTCACTCGTCTCAGCCGCAAGTTCTGAGCACCTACTCTGAGCCAGGCCCTAAGGCGCCATCATCATAGATCCCCTTGGTAGAGGGGACAGAAGCATCAACAAGTAGAACAGTGTCTACCCTGGCCAAAAACACCATCCTCCAGGAGGATGGGGGAGAGATTGGGGGGAGGGGCCAAGCCCAGTCTTGGAAAGCAGGGCTAGGACAGAATATGCCAAGTCACCGAAACACAAAATACTGACAGGAACGGAAAGCCTTTGAGACTGGAGCACAGAAGGAGGGGGGTAACTTGGAAGAGGCCACCTGGGGCCACATCTCAGAGGGCCCGGGGTGCTGGGGCAGAGAATGTGGCCTCCGTGCAGGTCGGCGCAACCCCCGCAGGGCCCTGAGCCAAGGCCAGGTGTGGACAGGTCTGCGTCCCCGCGGCTCCGACACCGGCGGCCGGAGCCGGACAGCGGAGGCTCCTGCCGTCACGGAAGAAAGAGAGAGAACCGAGGGCAGGAGGGGAGAGCCTGGAGGGATGTAGCCGAGAGACCTAGAGGGCACGGAGCTGCGGGTGGGTGCGCAGGCCGGCCCGGCGCTCTCGGCGGCCCGCGCGCCCGCCCAGCCCGGCCCCTCGGGACTCACCGCGGAGCCAGCGCGCGCTGGCGTGCGTGTCCTTGAGCCGGATGAGGCGGCGGTGTGCCGCGCTTCGGCCCACGTACCACAGCATCCAGAGCAGCTGCAACAGCATGAGCGCCGTCAGGACGCAGAGCAGGTCGCTCTTGCCCACGCCCGAGGCGTGCACGGCCCAGGCCAGCAGGAGCAGCAGCCCCGCCACGAACACGATCAGCCCGTACTGGCTGCTCAGCGCCTCGGCCAGCTTCTGCGGGACGCTGGCGCGGACGGCGCGCCGCCGGGGAACCGGGGACCCCGGGTTCGGAATCTGGGGCTGCGGGCTGGGCGCGGGCGCCGACGACCCTCTGTCCGGGGCGCTCCGCGCCGCCCCGGGAGAGGCAGGCGCCCCGTGGTCCTCGGGCATCGCTGCGTGGCCCGCAGGGAGTCTAGCCCCGGTGGCTGCAGCCCCGCCGCACCTGCTGCCCCTGCCTCGGCCTTGCCCCGACGCCCCCTCCCAATCCCTCTCTGGATCGCCCTCCGACCCCTGCTTTCCCCTCTCCTGTCTGTCTGCCCTCGGTCAAGGGACCCACACGGTCCGCTTACTACCGTCCCCCACCCGGCTGACCCGGCCTGGCCCCGGCTACTCGGAGCTCCCCATAAGCACTGCCCGCTTTCCCCTCGCCTTGTGGTGCCCCGGGCAGCCTTCCCACGCCCCCCGCGACCCACTCGGGCCGCTCCCCGCGCCTGCGGCCTCGGACTACAGCCAGCCCGACGCCCGCGCGTCCTCCCGCTCCCGACCCAGGGCGCCTGGCCCGGGATCCCCGGAAGCCCTGGGCAGCGACGGGTGCCTCCCGTCGGCTCCCGGGCTGGGGGCGGCGCGGGGTCGCTCTGAGCCGGCCCGGGAGTGGGCGCGGGGGCGGGGCCGTGGCCCAGCCGAGCACCCCGCGCTCCGCGGGGGCGTGAGGTCTCCCCTGCGTCCCCGAGCGTCTGCGCTGCGTCCCGCAGAGACCCAGGTGCGCCTGGAAGTGGCCGTGTGCGTGGCTCTGCCTGTCAGTCTGTCTGCCCTTGTCCCTGCTGATTTCCGCGGTCTGCGTTCTCTGCTCGGGTCTCTGGCCGGCCGTTTCGAGGCTCATCACTTGCCCCTGGATCTATATGAATAGGGGAAGGGCGTGTCTTTGTGTGTCTATGTTTGTCTGTCTGCTGTACCTGTGTGTCTGCTGGGAGACGCCCCGGTGCGGATAAGGCAAGAGCCACTTCCCAGGAACAGAGATCCTCTCTCCCTCCTTCGAGGGAATGGGAGCTGCTTCTGGAGGCGAGGCGCTGGGGAGGGGGGTGCCGGGGCGCTCCGCGATACCGCGGACGCCAGAGCCCTTCCCACGGACCCCCAGCCCGCCCAAGGCAGACCCCGTCCGCCCGAGTGCCCGCTAAGACGCCGCTAAGGGGAGGGAGGTCCTGGGAGGTTTCTGCAAGAGTGTCCTACGGGCTGGCCCGGCGGAGGGCGCGTCGGAGGGGGGCGCCGGGAGGGAGGAGCAGGCAGCCTCGTGGGCAGCCGCCTGGGCAGGAAGGCCGGCCTCGGCGCCCAGAAGACGCCCTCTCCGCTGGCTTAACGGTCCTTGGTTGCTGTCCTGAAATTCTTAGTTTTTGAACAGGACAGAAATCCACGTTTTCAGTTTGCAGTGGATCCAGCAAACCGCCTAGCCAGTGCTGACGGCCAGAGGTGCTGGGCGGCCGGGCCGGGCACCGGGACCTGCCTGGCCTCAGTTATTTTTTCACTTCATCCATTCCTGCGTCCGGTCAGCGCTTCTTCAACTCTGAGTTGTTTGCCAGGTTCTAGGCCCTGGGCCCTGGATGATGCACTGACACTCGGGGACACACACTCAGCAGGCCGTGTGTGGGGGGACCTCCCTGGGAGGCTGGGGGAGCAGAGTGTGAGGCTCCGCCCGCCTTAGGAGCTCGGAGCGCCGGTGAGATCAGCAGGCCACCGCTGTGAGCGGGGCTGCCTGGACCAGAGGCTGGGGGAGACGAGTCTGCCAGGAAGGGTGGGGACTTCCCCGAGGAGGCAACGCCGGCGCGGTGTCTCTGTAGCCTGGAGTAGGAGCTGGCCAGGTGCTGTGGGGCAGGGCGGCCAGGAGGGGGTGTTCCGGAGAGAGCAGGTAGCTCGTGCATGCGCAGCAACGGGGGCGGCAGGCGGGTGGTGACCAGGGAACGCGCGCGTCGCCTTGAGGTCCCCCGAGCCACGCCAGGTGGGCACTCAGCACGTCCACCGGGGGGCTGGTGACGGAACGCGCAGGGGGACAGCTGCTGCGGGAGCGAGCATGTGGCCTCACCTCCCCGTCGGGTCAGTGGAGGCGCGGGACTAGGGGCGCGTCCTCGCCGCTGTGCTTAGCCCCCTGCCTGGTTTGTGCTCCTTGTCAGCACACGCCCTCCTCTCCTGGGCCGTCTGCCTGCCTGTGGCCCGGCTCTCCGCCGGCGACGAGAGCCCTGTGAGGAGGGCGCAGCCGGCCCTGCCCGCTGCCGTACTGTCCAGGACACAGAGCAGTGGTCACCAGCACGTGGTAGGTGCTCAATGTGAACTGTGCTCCACCCCCCCCCCCCCCCCAGTACCAGTGAGTGTGCCATTATTGGGAAATAAGGTCTTTGCAAATGATCAGGTGGAGGCCATTAGGGTGGGACCAGATCCAATATGACTGTGTCCTTTAAAAGGGGGGGCATCTGAAGACAGGCTCAGAAAGACTGCCATCTGTAACCTGGGGACATCTGAGGCCACCAGGAATGGGAGCAAGGCCTGAAGCAGAGCCCCCCCCCCCCCCCCCCACGGTCCCCAGAAGGAGCCAACCCGGCCGACAGCTTGACCTTGGACTTCTCGTCTCGACAGCTGTGAGACCACACCTTTCTGTGGTTTGAGGCCTTTGTTATGGCAGCCCCGGGCACCTAGTCATTCTGTGGTTCCCCATGGACTTGTCCACCTCTCCATCCCTCTGTTACCATAATCAATTTTTAACTGTTTTCTCAATTCTTAGCTCCTTAAAGGCAAGAATTGTGTCTGATTCATTCTGCTGTCTAGCATCCAGCGTTTTTTGTTGTTGTTTGTTTGTTTGTTTGTTTTAAATCCACTGAGAAACGTGTCCTGAGCACTGCCCACGTTCCAGGTATGGGGTCAGACCTGGGGGCAGGAGGAAGCTCACAGTTTGTGCCCGAGGCCACAGGAACCTGGGAGGGAAGGGTTGGGGCGCTCCAGGTCCGGCAGATGCTGCAGGGGCTCCCTGAACGCCCAGACTCCCGTCAAAACCTCCTCTGCATTTAGCCTGCTCAAGAGATTTACAAAGCACATTCACACCCGGTATCTCTTTTTCAGAAATCAGCTCGAGCCAACGTGGATTTCTAGGGGGCGGCAATGTCAACCAGTGGTTAGGTGGGTGCGTTCTAAAGCCAGGCTGGGGGTTTGATTCCCGCCTCCACCCCTTACTGCTGTGTGGCCCTGGACAAGTTACTAATCCCCACTGGGCCTCCACATTGTCATCTGTAAAATGGAGCTTTTAATAGTAACCATTTGAACAGGTTTCTGTGAGGATGGAGTGAGTGGATACATACGATGCACTTTGGGAAGTGCCTGCCAAATACAATGTACCTAAGACACTTGGTTATTTACAGAGCACCCACCATGTGTCAGACACTGAGCGGAACTTAGGAGAAACACCTGCAGAACTGTCCTCCCAGGAAAGTGGCTCCGCAGCCGGGGACTGTGATGCCCAGGGCCCCCTGCAGCTGGCGGAGGCCAGGTGACTAAGTTCTGGTTAGTGGGGTGCAGGCAGAGGGGATGTGGGCGCTTCCAGGACGGCGCCCATGAAAACCTCCTACAGACCCTCCCCCCGCTGGAGGCGACAGCAACACGGGGGCCCCTGCGCCGAAACCGGCAGGGCCTGCCAGCCGGAGTCCCCCAGTGGGGGGAGGCAGGTCCTCCCCACCAGAGCAGGACCTTACGTGGATGAGAAACGTGGGAAGCCACCACAGCTCTGAAACCTGCCAGCCAGCCTCACCTTTACCTACTGTGATGCACAGATAACACGCGACCCCTGTCGGAACGTCGGGTGGGCCCCCGCCCGGGCTCCCTCCCCAGGCTCCCTCCACTCTTTCAATAAGCAACGAAGTGCAAGTTGTGGACATGAGACTTCATTCTCTGCTCCAGACAGTGCCGCGGCCGACTGACAGTGCGTTTACCCACTGTGCCTCCTGCCACTGAGACTGGTGACAGGTCTGAGCCCCACAGGGCCCTCAGTTTCTTAGGAGTGCCCCCGGCTGAGTCGTGGGCAGAGACGGTGGCCTCCGATGGCACCCAGGCCCCTTGTCCCCCTCTGCAGGAGCGTGTTTACTCTGCCCACGTCCCGCTGTGAGGGCTGACACGTGGCTCATCTCAGGTCAGGGGCTGGACACCCCTGACCAGGCAGCCGCTTTCCAGTGACAGCTCAGTGCCACCCGGATGACAGTGAGACGTGCTGTCCCCAAGACAGGCACTCCCCCATTTCATGGAGGATGACAGCGGGCGGTGCGTCAATGCCACAGATGACACGGGCACGGTTGCCCTGAAGGGCAGCAGGACCCCCGGGGCAATTAGATCTTCCCCCTGGTTGCCTTTGGTCCTGGTTACACAACCCCCGTGTGTCTAAGAATAAAAGCTGGGCAGTGTGCGCGTTCCCCGGGGCGGCCACAACAGCAGGCATTTACTGTGTCGCAGTCCCAGCTGGGGGTGGCTCCACGGCCAGGGCTGGCATCGCCTGGTGTCGCCACTCACGTCCTGGTGCCTGGCAAAAGCAAACCCCCAGGCCGGGCTCAGCCGACTGCCGCCCCGAGCTCCCGTGGGCCCGCTTTACATGCCCCGAGCCCCCCACAGCCTCGCGCCTGGGCCTGCGGGGGAGCGGCCCCCGGGAGGGCCCACCCACAGAGCAGGCACGGCAAGCCGCGTGGCCTTTATGACGTCGCCCTAGAAGCCAGCGGCATCGTCCTGCGTGCTCGCCTGGTGAGGGCCGTCAGGAGCCCACCCAGGTTCTAGGGAAGGGGATAACGGTCCTCCTCTGAGTGGCAGAGGTGCCAGAATATTCGGGGCCTGCTTCTCAAATATTCACAGCAGGTCCTGCGCTCAGTACCAGCGTTAACCAGGTCGGCCTTGGCGACGGGCCTCCTCGGTTGCTGAGCGCGCCACAGCTGCCATCCCTGCCCCCGTGACCCTGTACGTGGGCCCGCGAGCAAGCCCTGGGGTGATGGGCAACGAGGCTGACGGCGCCCGCGGGACTCGGCTTTCTGCCCTCCGGCTCTTCGGGCGAGGCTGCTGGTGAGCGCCCACACGGGACACCCATCACACCGGAGTCTGTCCCGAGAGGTCCCCCCACGTACCTCTTTCCCAAACCTCCTTGTCACCAATCTTCCGGTTCTTTTCCTTCCAAGCCACCGACGGTCCAGCCGCACCGGGAGCCTGTCAGCAGCCGCCCGTGACTTTGTGTAGGTGAGTACCCGGGACGCCTCCCAATCCCAAGTGGGCAGCCGGCATGCACCCCCGGGGACGGTTTGCCCCCGCCGCCCCCCCAGGGCCACCCGCGGCCGCTGTCCGCGTGGCTGGGCATGCCGTGGTCGGTGCCGTCACATGGTGCAGAACCAGCTCTGAACGAAGCCTGCGCTTTTCTGTCCTCGGTCATGAGAAACCCCCAGGGTCCGCAGGTGTGGAGGAGACGGCGCGGCAGGAGCAGGACTCACAGGAGCCTGCGTCACCTGCACAAGCCGCTCACTCGGGGCTCCCAACCCTGCTCAAGTTCAAGGCTTACATGCCGTTTCCACTCAATAATGTTACTGCCAAGCACGTGAGTGGGACGGAGAGATTTTCACAGCCCTTTTGGGAACCAGTTACTCTTCTCTTCAACTCCCCACCTTCCCTTGACCCAGAACCTCCAATTCTGCTTCTTTATGGTTACTCCTTAGTTTACGCAAACGCTACTAACTGCTACTGCATTGAATTACCTCCAGGGATTGCATGTAAACAGTCCCTAGAAACCACCAAACTTTCCCTCCTCAGGAATACTGAGCTGAGTCAGTCTTTCGAGAAAATCATTTTGAGGGAAGGCACCCATCCTCACTGCGGCTGCTGAGGAGGCAGGTAAGGGCCCCCGTTGCCTAGAGCCCTGGCCCCTCCCCACACTGTCCCCCTTCCGAACGTGTGGCTCTCCAGGGCCCCCCCACCCCCAATTTCTTTCCGATGCGTCTTCCTTTTGCTTCAGTGAAGCCAGGGGCCCTCGTTGCACAGTAACCAGCAGGGGCCTCACATCCTGCGAGAGCCTCCTAGAAAGATCGCCGCCTCCCCAGCCGCGTATTTGTCCTAGTGCACGGTTAGATTTCGTCACCGTCATGTGCCCTGACAGTTAAATGTTCCAGCTTCTGCAGAGATGCCTGAACCCCAGACGCCAGAGCGGGAGAGGCCTCAACCCTGCGCGGGCTGTGCGCACAAATCGGCAGAATTCTTCCAGAACAGCCCTGCCCTCTGAGTGGGAGGCCTGAGCAACTGGTGTGCGGGCCGGGCTGGAGACTTGGTCTTGACACCTGGGACTGTCAAAGCCAGGGGTGGTTTTGAGAGTACACACCTTCTGCCGTCTCCCTGCCTTTCGTGGGGAAGATTTTCACCTGATTTACTAGTAACTGTTACTCATTATTCTTAAGAGGGGGTGCTTGTTTAGAAGCAATAGCATTATTGGTTGACACTTATTTAATAGTTATAATAGGAAAAGGCTCATAAATAACTTGTATACTAGTTATTTAACAGAAATAAGGACCAGGCATGATCCTGTTTAGACAAGTTTATTAAAATGTCTCTTTTTAAGGAACAGGGAAATCTTACCATCCTAGTTGACCGCAGTATTGGCGTTTGGCTAACTGGATCCTAACAAACTGTATTCATCAGAAAATCTCAGCCTTAGATTTCTATCCAAGTAGTGAATCTATTCTGTAGGAAAAGATAGAGGTAGATGGATAGATAGATATAGGCAGGTAGATGGATGCATAGTTTATTCCATTGCAGGCTCTATCCAAAGATAGGTAACTATGCCTCTGCACAGTCTATCCAGGCAGACAGGTACAGAGTTTGTGGGCGTTAGCACCAGGGCACTGACCTTTGGCTCCAGCCTGCGCCTGCAGTGGGTCGGAACCGGCGCTCTGGAACGCTCCCTGGCAGGGTCCGCAGCCTCGGCCTCGGACTGGAGCCCCGCATCCCTGGCTGACGCCTGCCCGCCCCCACTCTTCGCTTTAAGTGTGACTCTCCCCGCACCCTCACGCCAGGCACACACAGGCCGGGCTCCTGCCTGCTGAGCGGGCCTGCCCTCTCCCGCTCCGGGGTCCGCTCTGCCTCGCCTTCCCTCTCCATCACCATGTGCTGAGTGGGCGCCCACTGTCTGCCAGGCCTGTAACAGCACCTTATCAACATCATCCCTCCTGCGCACAACCCTACAAGACAGATGTTGTCCCCACTTCGGAGCTGGAGGTACAGGGTGTGACCCGAGTCGGACACAAGTGGGGACTGAATCAGGTCATCTCTGCAAGTCCCTGTACGGGGAAAAGATCAACACCAGGGACTTTCTATGCCACGGGCTTACGGTGCTTGGGTTCCAGGGGAACACATCTGCCCTTGGAAGTGTGAACAGTGTCCTCATGGGGCCTCTGAAGGGCGGAGGAGCCTTCTTTGACCAGAGGCCTTATCACTACTACTAACCTGGATTGCAAATAGCTAAACACGGAAACTACTCCAGAGTTTGTGTTAACAAAACCCAGAAGAAAGTTATAAAAATATTTTATTTAAATGTTCAGGGAAGATTATACATACCTAAAAATCATTAAAAGCTCCTATGTTAGACATGCTAAAAACCCCGTAATTTACATGATAAAATCTAAAGTGAAGGGAATGCATACAATACGTTCTGCTGGTCCTCCCACCTGTCAAGGAAAAGTGTCAAGGAAAAGATTATAAAAATGGGATCTAAGGGAACTGCTGAAGTTGGGTCAAAGGCACATGGACACGTCGTCATCCTCCGCAACGAACGGCTGCTCCTGCAACGAGTGAGCAAGCCACCTACGGTATCGGGGGCACATGATGCACCTGTCGTGAGCCTTCGTTTAAATTTTTACACCAGTCCTTTCTCCAATGATTCAAACAGATTAACATTGCAAATCAGCCATTCCTATTTTGAAGAGAATATTCTTATGCTGAATCTGAAAAATTCAATAATCACTTGACTTTAAGAATGTGCAAATGAAACAATTTACTCTGATTTCAATCACAGTTCGATGAAGTGACAATTTTTCCCAGAAAACCACTCACTTCAAGATGCAAAAACACACTGTGGCCTTTTCACGTTTGGGATGCACTTTCGGCCGGCTGGATGCTTGATCACCCCACTTTACACCTCCCTGCCGTTGCACCTAAAAGAGAGCCAGCATTTACGCCCCGAGTGAGACAATTCGCACTGTGCCGTCGGATGCAATGTCAGAACGCAGGGCTCAGCGTACAAGCCTACGGCACTGGCTGGCTCGCCCTCACTAACCACAAATTCACGTGGGCAGTAAGCCGGAAGCTCCCCAGCGCATGTGGAAACTCAACACTGAGCAAAGACGTCCAGCCAGGAGAGCGGGGGAAGCAGGAGACACGGCCGCTGAGGGCCTGCTCCTGCGGTGGCACACAGCCGCCGGGGTAAAGGGCGCCCCGGGTCCCCGGGACCCCTCGCAGGCCCTTGTGTGGAGGGGCTCCGCACATCAGCACAGCCGTGGACGGGCCAGCGATTCTTTTCAGCCTGGGAACACCCAGGTGACGTCCGTTTCCTCTTTTGTGGCTGCAGTGACTTTCCTTAAAGACTCCAGAGGGAGAGCGTGCTGTCCGTTAGCTGAAAGGTCAGGTTTCCTTAGCCCCAGTAATTTTCTTATTGTATTAATTTTTACTGCTCTGGACGCAGTTTTCATCCTGTGACTTAACATATGAAGTAACTTCCTCCAAGTTCTGTTGCTAGTGGCACGAAGGGAGAGACTATCTCTGTTTTTCACCGTGTCCCTAAGCACATACGGTGAGCGCTCTCGATCCACACGCCATTAACAGATGAGCTACGTGGCGCCCACACACAGACCGCCGAGTCGGGCAGCGGGCCCTGGGGGCGCCGCAGGCGTCTGTGGGGAGGCCGGGACTCCATGAATAACCCGAGGGAAAGGTCACGTGTCAGCCAGCAGATTTTTATGGGGGAGCCAGAATAGTTAGAAAATGACAGAATTTTTCCCCCCCAAATGGGTAACATTGTTCATTTTCTCCAAATTTCCAATCCTTAAGAACAATCTAGCCAACATTCACTTGTATGTAAGTGGATGTCAATTAAAAAAAAATGGCCTACTGCATGAACTCGTTTACATCAGACGGTGCACGTGCTGTCTCCACAAGGTCTCTGCAGGGCAGGGCGCCCTCTCTCAGGGCTAGTCAGGACTAAAGCAGACGGAAGGGAGGGGGCTCAGGCCCTTTCACCTGAGTTCAGTGGGTGAACAGCTGCCGGGTGAACACAACTGAAATGAGCAACAAGCCGTCCATTACTGTTGCATCGCCTGAAAATTGCCCTGGAAGGCGTGTCTCGGGTGGGGTTAGTATTAGCAACACCATCCTGGAGAGCTTACCGTTAGGAATCATCCCAGGAGGGAGATGAACATTACAACTCCCATAAACTGGGTAAACAACAGCAGCGGAGTGAAAAATGACCACACAGGCCATAAAGCAATGTTGAAGCTGAAAGAAAAAGACAAAAACACATGGTTGACAACTCTAGGTATATTTTACACAAATACGAGGGCAGACCAAAAAAAAAACCCCGAATTATTTTCTGGAGGGTGGGCCCCTTGTAGTACACGCTTCCCCCGCTACGTGAGTGTTCTAGGAACCCATCTGTATCAATGTGCCAGCTGGCACTGTTGTGAGAGGCTGCTGCATTCGGCTTCGGTGAATTTTTTTTTGAAGACTCTTTCAACAGGTTTGCCCGTTTCCTGATGGGGATTTATGAGCGCACCTCTCTACACCGCACTGAGTAATCAGCAGTTTCTGACCTAACTCCCGTGCCCTACCCTCCCTATTCACCTGGGCTCGCCCTAAGCGAGTTTTTTTTCTTTTTTGCTTCCCAGATGAAAAAAGTCCTCAAAGGGAAACATTTTACTGGTGTGGAAGAGGTGAAATAAAAAATGGCAGAAGCACTAAAAGGCATCAAAACTGACAAGTTCAAAACCTGTTTTTGGCCCTGGCTCAGTAGATTGGGCGCTGGCCTGTGAACCAAAGAGTCACTGGTTCAATTCCCAGTCAGGGCACATACCTGGGTTGCGGACCAGGTCCCCAGTGGGGGACACAAGAGGCAACCACATATTGCTATTTCTTTCTCTTTCTCTCTCCCTTCCCTTCTGAATTAAAAAAATCCCCCCCCCCCATGCATATTCTACTATAGAATCCAGATTTAAAGAACTCACTTTTTTCCTCAGTTTGGGAAAGTTCACTCAGCCAGCAACATTATATGTTTTTTTTTCCCCTCAGAGATGTGATTTAGGAAATATTGGAAATGTCACAACCTCTGCTAAGAGTACTTGGAACTGGAATCACTAAAGGTCCTCTGCTGAAAGCTGGCATGGCCCCATAGGAACTTAAGTCTCTGAGCGCTAGTGTCTCCAGTGGGACATGCACCCAAGCGGCCGCAGCTGGCTCTCACGATCTCGCACACTATTGAATGACTATGGTAAAAAGATGGTTAAAAGCTTTTACGGTTAGAAACAGAATGAAAAAAATAACCATTTATTACTTTCTATTTAATGTTCCACTGAGAAAAACACTATTCCCATTACCAAGGGAAGAATAAAACACTTTCTAGGTGCAACTGATTTTTGCGGACTGAACTTAGAGAAGCAGAAGTTAAAGAGGGAAAACTATAGTTAATTCAATCCTTCAGAGAGTAACTGATTTTAATATACAAGGTTTTAGTAAGTAGAACTTTAAAATAACTATAATTATGCTGTTCTGAAAAATAACTTTTCTGAGGGTGATAGGAGCCTTACAAGAAAATGTAAATTAACACACCTATTTACCTATATTACTGAAGAGTTAGTAACAGCCATGTCGCAATGTAATATGTTAAATACCCTTAAACTTCAACAATGGAAAATAATTTAAAAAATAGATTTAAAATGAATAGGTACAAAAGTATATTTTTCCAAAATCTAAATTCATTTAATATCAAGAAAGGAAAAAACCTACAGGGCTATCCACAATCAACGGCAGTTCCTTGAATAACATCATTTCATTAGGAATCTAACTCTTGTTTATATCTACTAGCCTGTGGAAAAACTGGTTCCGTTACATATTGTTTCACATAAAGTCGCAGAACCTAAGGACGATGTTAAGTGAGAACTTTCTGTACATACAGTAGCTTTTCTCCCTGACTGGCAGGATCATGGGATTTATTTCCTTTGTGTTTCCTGTAATTAACAGATTTTTTCTTCAGTGAGCAAGTGTACTTTTATAAATATTTCACTGAGTGCCTATTAATAAAGGGGGATACTGATTTTGGTATTTTTAAATTACAGCAGTGAAAGAATAAAAACAACCGTAAGCCCAACAACGGGGAGCTGGTTAAATAAACCATGGGATGTCCATGTGGTGATAACTATGTAACTACTAAAAACAGTGAGGTACCCCTACGCGCGCCGATACGGAAGAACTACAAACTATTCAGGGCTCATTACCAAAAAAAAAAAAAAAAAAAAAAATCTCGTAAAACAGTCTGGCATTATTTGCAGAAGCTGGAGGTATGCACATCCTGTGAGCCAAAAATTTCACTCCTAGAGGTAAGTATATACGCGCGCGCATGCGTGTGTATAGAACAGGAACGTGCAGCGATGCATGAGACATATCCTACAATGTTCTTGATAACATCATTAACGCCACCGCCAGGCTGGAAACAATCCAAGTGCTGTCAACAGTAGGAAAAATAACCTGGGATTCGGCTAGAGGCTGGACTTTTAAACCGTGGTAAGTAATTGTCATGCACAAGATGGAAAAATCATACATAACGTATCAGAAAAAGCAAACGTAAAGAATATGTAAGAATACATTTTTATAAAGTTCAAAAACAGACAAAACAAAAATGGAGTATTGAAGAGATGCAAAAGGAAGCGGTGAGCGTAAAGACCAGACACATTCCCGGGCAGGCCAGCATGTGGTGTGTGGCATGTGGCATGTGGCGTGCGTGGCGTGCGTGGCGTGTGGCGACCGCAGGAGGCGAGGGAGGGCTTGGCCGGCGCAGCTGGTCCCCTTCTGGTCCTGGGCGGGGCTCCCCGCAGCGCTCCCTCCCTGATTCGCTCAGCTGCGCGATTTCGTCTTTTCTACTTTCTGTATGTATTATGCCTCACAGTGAAAATGATTTAAAAAGAAAACTGCAGAGTCGGGGAGTATATAGCTTGTCAGCATTTGTGTTTTAAATAAATACATAAAGAAAGATACTGCTGGAAAGGGAACTGGAGACTAGAAATGACAGGGAGACTATTTTCCTGTTATTCCTTTTTCTCCTCTGAAATTTGTAAGATGTACAACAGTCCTGATCAGGAAAATTTTTACTCCTATCAGTCATTTCAAAGCTAACTTACCAAACCCCCGCCACAATAAAGGTGGCAGTTGTAATGGGTATCAAGGCTGGGTACTTGACGTCGTAGTCTCCAATCCCGCGATACCACTCCAGGTAGAGAATGCAGTAGAACGCAATGGCCAAGCTGGTAAGCAACAAGGCGCCGCCAGAGAGAAACCAGCTGCAGAGACAAAAACGATGCCAGGGTGGACAGCACTTAGCAATTAGCAGACACCTTAAAAGCCTTCAGTGACAGCCCAAACCTCTGTTTCAGTGAGAACACTGACCGTAAAAGGAACGCAGAGGGACCCACCGTTACTCCGTCCCAGGTCTCAGAGAGTCTCCATCCCCTGGGAGCAGGGGCAGGAAGGGATGAGCCTGGGATCCATGGCGGACGAGAAAGTACGACTTTAAATACACGCACGCACATGTGCTTTCATAAGCTACCCAACCAAAAAAGACCCCTGGTTACGGCAACACACTTCCTGCGAAAGTAGAGGACAGAGAGCAGCTTTCTGTTCGCTCCTAAAGCGCTGAGTGTGAGAGCGGTAAACAGGGCGCCCTTGACCCCCCCAAGCAGGCTCTCTTAGAGCGCTGAAAACCAGTGTGGAGGATGGTTAGTTCCTGTTGTCTCTCACAAAATATTTCTGAATAAACCCTCGCATTATTAGAAGATCTCCGATGCCCCTCCAAGAGGCAATGTCTTTTTTCCTCACTCCTAATTGAACCTAACCTGACTCTGTGTGTGTGAACCCACCGACGCCTTCCTTCCGGCCCCTGCTGGTCATGGGAGGGGACCAGGTTTGGGGAACAAAGTCCCTTTCCCAGTCCCCCAACCCAACCCGACACCCGTGTCGTTTGCTTCTCCACGGGGAGAAGACTGGGACCCCACGTAGAAGACGGGGAACAGGGCCTGGAACCGTCAAGCTCACAGCCACTGAGCGGACTCCCAACGACGGCAACGCTCCGGATTCCTGTGATGACGACTCTGGGGTTCACAGCTGCGAGCGGCGGAGGGCAGCGGTCAGGGGCACGGCTTCGAAATCCGAGTCCGACCTCAGCCCTCGCGTGACCCGCTTTGTGACTCCGGGCCGAGCAGGTCACCTCGGCGTGCTTCAGCAGTAGTGACGCTGCTTATGCACAGAGCAGCCGCGACGACGAGATCGCGTTCAGAAAAGGGCCTGAACCCCCAGCGGGGGTCCCTGTTGTGCCCTGACGCTCTTCCTCTCTGCGGAAAATGCTTCTGTGCCCCTTTGGAGGGGCCCCAAAGACTCTCTCCTGCCGGCCTGTGCATTCTCAGCAGGCGCGCTACCGCCTCCAAAGCGAGGCGCGCACTCGATTTTGTACATATAAAGCACAGATATTCATGTAGTATGGAAGGGAATGATTAGGGGAAAAATGTCTTTAAAAAGCCTCCGTAGGAGGAGCTGGTAGAGAAGGGCTGAGGACACAGGGCTCGAGTCACGGTGCGCTCCTCACTTCGTCAGAGGCCTTCCTCTCTTCCTCTCAGCTTTTCCTCTGCACACGGATCCTATGTGGCTACTACGTCCACATACGGTAAAGACTATACGAAATTAAAAACCGGCCCAAACAAAACGAACCTGTACGTCGCAGGCCCTCCGCCCTGGCTGTGCGTCAGCCGCCTCGCAGCTTTCTCAGGGAAGCGATCTTGCGCCCGTTTCTGTAGCTGATGGGGCGCGGGGCGGGGGGCGTTGGTTCTGAGGAAGGCCCTGAGCATCTGGGATGGTCAGTTGTTTTTTCCTTTATTTCCTAAGCTGATTTTGACATGCACAACCAGGATTTTTTTTGTTAAATTTTGACTTCCAAAGCATCCGATATTTTGGCTTTGTTTTTAATGCCGACTTGTCCCTCCTGACTTCGAATATACGATTTTATACCCTGGCACAGATTCAGAGAATCTTACTGCCTCGCCAGGCTTCTGAACTTGAGCTAAGAGCAGGGCAGAAAAAGAAATCACCTCGGGTGTCAGGGGACCGAACCGTCTGCGAGAAGGCAGAGGCACCTTCAGCGGCTTTCGGGCCTTGCTCTTCAGGCCCCCACGCCCACAGAGGCCTCGGCCTCTGTGCCCGCATTCACCATTTCTTCTAGGGGTGACATGTACCTGAGGCCAGGCCTGCGACTTCTACTTCTTTGCCCTGCTCCATGATCCCAGAGGCCGAGTCCCGGCTCTTCCCACAACGGCAGTGGCGGTGCGCTCGCTGTGCTACGGCTGCAGGCGCCCGGCTCCTTACACGTGTCGCTACCTACTCTTTTTCTCACCATCTCATGAAAGAACGTGAACATAAAAACGCGAATACATAAATCCTCTCATCTCTTCTAACCTCAAAAAGGCCCACAGCTGGAGGCTGGCACGGACTAGGCGTCCTTTCCAGGTGCTCACACAGCATCCTGTGCGCACACTTACGTGCGCGCCCCACGTGACCTGTCCACCTGGCTGGCTGGGCCCAGAAGGAGCAGCCGGGCCTCCTTTATCTCCCCACCAGAGCCGAACCCATCTCAGGCTCTCGTGAAGTATTTGCTGAATGATGGGGCAGCTGCTACTGGCGGGGTTTGAAGTAACTATTCCTTTTCCTGGCCCGAGTTCTAAACCAACCGAGGGACACAGGAGTCAGGCTAATGAAGATCAGCTGCCAGCGTCTGCACAGAGCTGTGGGAACATGGCTCTGGGGAACAAAGACAAAGAGCCTCCTAACATTGACACCCAGAAACAGACAAACTCACCCACCAGCTTCCAAGATGCAGTGGAAACCTAGCGACCACCCCATGCTGGGGCTGCCCGACAAAAGGATGGCACAGAAAAGCAGGCTGGAATCCGTGCTTGGCTTGCAAGAGGGAGAAGGTGCTGAGCGGCACATGTCTCGTTCTTCATCACAGACCCAATCAGGAAGCCACACCACCTCCCGGGGAAGGAGCGAGTGAGGCAGAAGGGCAGAAGGTGGGGGTGTTCAGGGCAAGTTCCCGCTTGTAGAAATAAGGAAAGAGAGGAACCCGCTTCCTCCCTCCCGCAGTTTAAATAAACTCCCCTCGGCCTCCCTTCCCCTGGCTGCCTGCGCTCTCGCTCTCCCAGGCCGCCCCTCCCGCCGGCACTGCTCCTCCCGAAGGCCTCTGCAGAGCCACTGCAAGACAGGATCAAACGGCCCAGCCACGCCTCTCAAGCCTCCCTGGTCCCTCCAGAAATACTTGCACACGACACGATCAGACCCCCCCCAATGCCAGCTCTGAGGCTCGCCAACATCTCTTCCTCTGTCTTCTGTGACCTAGGGGCCTCTATTACACTCTCCAATGTTCAGAGGACTCTGGAACGACCCACAGCCTCCTCCTCCACGTGAACGCCTAAGATTAACTAGTGACCTTCACCTCGACAGTAACCCAGCCACTCCCTGTTGTTACCTTGTTAGTGGCACCTACGCCGTGAGCACAAGCCTTAAGGCCTTACTCTTACTCACCACAGCGCTCACTCCCTCCTCCTAGTGTTCCCGCGCTTTACCTTCACGAAGACCTACAGGCAGACTTTCTCCTTCTGTGACTTACAGATGGGTTAGGTCCTTCTCTAATATACCCCTTGCCCATCCTACAACACCCCTGTGCTGAAAGGCACGAGGAAACAACTTCTGTCTCACCCCGTCCGCTGCACACACGCAGAGCGTGCGCCCTCCGACTCACCCGGCTATCTCCCGCCCTCCCAACGCCATGCCTTGCAGAAACCAGGCCCCTGCTAAGCACTAGAAGGATTCAACAGACAAAAATAAAACATGAAGAATAAGACAAGAGTGTTTAACGTTTGCGCCAGCAAAGTTTTCTTACCTACTAGTGTGAAAGTTTTCTTTAATAGTTTTAAAGAAATCAGCATAATAGGTCACAACAATGGAGGCCAATATCCAGAATCCAGAATGGACATTAAGTCTTGGAAGAGGTTTCTGCTTTTTCTCAACAGCTGCAGAGGCTCCTGCAAATAAGGGAGATTTCAACTTATTAAATTACCATAAGTTCGTGTGGGGAAATTAACATCTTTTAAGCCAAATAAAAAAATTTCCTAGAGCTTTCTAAGAACCAGATTCTCTCCCAGCATAGAATGAAGTTCTTTTGTAAAACCAATATCGGTTTATATTTGCAGAAATAATTACTAGGAGCTCACTATAAAACATGTTCTACATAGTCACCTTTTTTCCTCTACATGAATTTTGAAATCAAATCTACATATTCAGTCTTTCAGAAAGAATGATGGCACTTGGTAATATAAGAATTTTAACATTATGTTTCATATTTCATTTAGGAAAGTAATTATCCTATTAAGGAAAATGCAAAGGGCAAACGTTAGAGCACGAAACAAACTTGTGATTTCCCAAAAATACTACTTGTAACTATGTTAAACAAGCACAACCTTTTAAGGCAGCTCAAAATTGGAAAGGGCACACTAGGTCTAGCCCTGGGACCCAGTATGAAAGAACAGGCAGCTCGGGTTGGATCTACTGAGTTATTTCTCACAAGTTCCCCAAGTGACTGACATCCACTGGTATACATCGGAGGTTGTCAACCTTTAGGATGTCTAAGAAACTTGTTCATAATACAAGTTCCGGAAGATAATACCCTCCAAATTTATAAGCCAGCATGCCTGGACATGATGCTTTCTGTTTATTTTTAGAAAATAATAAATGCAAATGGCTTATAACATACAGGACAAAAAGATCTAAAATGAAATCCATCTCTCCCAGTTCCCCTGGCCAGAAGCAACCACCAGTATCCACTTCCCGTGGATTCTTCTACACCCTCCGCATCTACAGGAAAGCACACACCGCCCGGCATCCCGTCTGTACCCAAGTGGTGGGTGGCACACCACTCAGTTCTGCGCCGCCCTTTGAAAACCACCCACGTTGGTAGACAAAAGTCTGCCTGCGAGTCTCCAACCAGCTCTCTGCTACTACAAGCAGTGCTGAGGTGTGACACTTCGCACACACGGCCTGGCGTACCGGTACGAGTATGTTTGGTTGATTCTTAGAACCGGTGGGTATTTTTAATGGTGTTAGATGATCATTCCGGGGGATCCTAAAGCGCAGCTTAGGAGGGAGACGCGCAGGACTCCGTGATCTCTAAGAATCTTTTAGGACACTAAATAACCTCCTTGAAAACTACTGCTAAACCTTGAGAAACTAAACCCGGCCCCTCCTGCCCGGGCAGGGCTGCGCGAGGCTCGCGAGGCCGGCCGTTTTCGGGCGTCTCAGCCCCGGGAACCCCGGCGCGCCTCGGAGTGCGTCCGGAAGAGCGCCTCACCCTGCCTGGCGTAGCCTTCGCCGTCCAGCGACGCCTCGGCGTCGGGGGGGAACAGGTATCGCCTCCGGAGCTGCTCCCGGGCCCGGAGAGCGTCCATCTTGGCGCCCCTAGTAACGCGATGGAAGTGACGTCAGACAGCCGGAACTTCCGGCATCGACTTCCGGGGTTAGGCGTCCTTTTCCGTGAGCGCTAGAGATCGTGATGTGTCTGGGTTTTAGTTGGTGAGAATCTAGCGGGGAGTTGGTTTCGCAGGCTACGCCTTCCAATCCTAAAATGATTTGAACTCAAAATGCGCATCCTCTCACGGTCGAAAACATCCCATTTTCTTCCGGAGGGCCGAGCTTACGGGTGCCGCAGAAGGAGGGACGGGCGGGGATGCGCGACGCCGCTCCGTTAGCCCTACGGTTCCGCGGGTGCCCCTGGCTCCAAAGCTGAGAAGTACCCTGGGGCAGGCCTCGGCTCTCAGTCCCCAGCCTCTTTCTCACTTCTCCCCAGCGGGAACTCGGGGGAGGAAAGGACCGCGGGCACCAGCTGTTGAGCCTCAGGCCTGGCATTGACCACTTGGGTGGACTTGGGCAAGAAGTAAACCTCTCTGGGCCTCTTTCCTCCTCTGCACCCCGGGATTATACCTGCCTCCTAGATTTGTTGTGAAGTTTAAATGCGAAGCCCCTGTATAGTGTTCATATTAATCCCCTTTTTCCAACATCTGAGAAATTTCACCGGCTGGGAATGTGGGACCTAAATTTATACTGTCCCAGAAAACTGCCATCTCCCATCACTCATGCGCTGTTAGGCACCATGCTAGACAATGCAGAGAAAGATGAATAAGACACGATGTTACACTTGAGGAGCTCCTGGGCCAAAGAGGAGCACAGAGTTGTACTACAGTACATTGCAGTGTTTGTAAACATACGGAAGCATTTCCTTAAGTCAACAGACATTTCCTGAGTAGCTACATCTGCTAAAATGCATAGGACAGAGGTGAGTTAGAATCTAGTGGAGGAGATGATTTCAATACAATGTCGTAATAGAAACATTGTACACAGGGGGTTACTCCCGCACAGAATAAAGGGCAGTGTGTTCTGCTGGGAGGTGCAGGGAGTACAGAGAGTGGCGTGAGGTGTGTCAGACACAGGGGTGGATAGCCCAGGAAGCCACCCAAGAAATAAAAGTTATTTGGCTGCCTTTTTATCCTCTATATGTCATGGGTATTTGCAGAAGAAATACAGTAAGAACATCAAGTTTCTACTGGTTTATTTCTTGTCATTTCTTCAGCCTTTCTAGCAAACCCATTGGAGCAAAGGATTTAACAGCTGGTTGGATCATATGGCCTTTCTACACAATACCTCCTTTTTCTTGTTTTGTTTTTTTTTCTTTTCAGACTCCGAAAGAACCAGGGTTCATCTCTGCAAAGCCAACTAGGGTCTTCACCCTCCTTTCTTCTCTCTCTTGTGTAGGGTTAGAAGCCTTGGTAACAGGAAGTGAGTCCCTCCTATCAAATAGTCTTCTGTTGGCCGTCTCCTCGCACAAAGGTCAGTGCTGGGTCTCCCTCATAACTGGATACTCCCGGAGCATTGCAGCAACCCCAGGGCCCCCATGTGCAGTGCAGGCAAGGCAGATCTGGTTTCCCCTGTGGCGGTTTCAGGGCCTTTGTATTTGGATCTGGACTCCTTCCAGCATTTTTTCCCCAGATATTTCAAATGGCGCTACTTGAACACCATAGTGATGATACTTAAAAGCAGACTGGAAAAAAGCCAATATCTAATGACTGTGTCTTAAAGTTCCTAAATGTGTGCTCTGTGCACCTTAAGGACAGATATATGATATCAGCACGCTACCAACCAAGACATTTTTATTTGCAATGTGGATTACTTGTGGGGGAAAATGAATTTGACTGTGACCTTTGCTGGCCTCCCCTTAGCAACATGATTAAGGCTAAGGCACTTGTAGACTATTCAATTCTGGCTCCATCACCGTGGGATCTTGGGCAAGTTATTCATTGTTCTAAGTATCCGTTTACTCATTTATGACACAGCAGGTACCAGAGTGAAGATAAATGCATACCAGCTGCTTAGCACAGTGCCTGGCATGTAGTATGTGTTCAAGCAGTGGTAGTTACACCTCATCAATACTTAACCGGGCCTTCCAGCTCGGGCTCCCGCTCGCCTCTCAATTAGTTATTCCCTCCTCCTCAGGCTCCAGTTACTCTCTGCTGCAGTTTTCCTTTTGCCGCTTCTCACCTTAGTTGACGGAGGCAACAGCCATGTCTCAGTAGCTCCCCAGCGCCTTGCAAACACCTGGCACGTAGCAGGAGCTCCATTGCCTGGTTTTCACTATGGCCCTTGATCACAATGAACTGGCCTTCAGTGTGGCCGTGCATGAGTCTGCCCAGCACCCCCGCCCTCTGCCCAAGAAACCACTTTTCCCGCTTTCTGCAGCAGTCCCGCGGAGGCCTCAGGAGGCGGGGAGGGCTCATGACCCCAACAGCATCTGTCAGCCCCCAGGCCTGGCGAGCTGTTGAAATGGTGTGAGGTCAGGGCGGGCTCGGGGCTGACCTCGTGGGGACACAGGGAGGGAGCCCACCTAGGAAGGAAGCTGTGGGATGCAAGACAAGCCAGGAGGTCTCGGCAGCATCGCCTCCGCTCCTAGGTCCAGCCGAGCCCTAGTTCACCTAGGTGAGGACGTGAGCTCTGGAGCCAGCCCGCCTGGTGGCTGTCATAGTGCTTCTGTCATTACTGGCTGTTTCAACCTCGGGACGGCCACTTACGCTCTCCTTTGCCTCAGTTTCCTCACTTGCAAAATGGGGTTAAGAATAGTACCTACCTCATAGGATCGGATCAAGAGTAAAAGTATTAATGCACGCAAAGTGCTAAGAACAGGTGCGGCCCATGGAAAGCCCTCAGGTAGTCTTTCCTGTTGTTATCCATGGTTGAGACTGCACAGATTTCTCAACCAAAAGAACAATGTTGTTTTTTTTAAAAGAAATCAATGCCAATTTGACTTGTTTTCTGTTACTTGCAACCCTGAGGCCAGACCAAGGCAGGCAGCCCTGTTCTCTCGTTGTGCCCTTAGCCAGCCCGTAGTTCCCAGCTGGGCTGCGTCCTTCCAGACGTGCGTTCACACGTGGAAAGCCCTTAGGAAAGCACCTGGCACATGGAAAGGGCTCGTAAATGTTAATGTTTCTCACTTGGGATACTGCCCTTTGTTCTAAGAAGAAAGCCTTTAATTATATAAACAATACAATGAAATATGTGTCTGTACACAACCCCACTTCACTGACAAAGCTGTAGAATTGGAATTGCTAGGTGAAAAGATCGGAACACTTGAAAGGCCTTGACTGCTATCTTGAAACCAGCTGCAGAACGAGGACACACGGTTCTCCCTGACAGCCCCTCCAGCAGTGGGCACATGCGCACCAACTACGGGCTCTAGCTTGTTGGTGAATTTATAATTTCAACTTATTTATCATGTTGGATAAAGCCATGAAAAGGGTTTTCTGATCACATGACCCATTGAGGACACTACTTGGAATCCTAGCCTTGGCCATTTTTTTAAAAAGCTTTACCTGGAATATCTTCATAATAATGGTCTATATCATCAGTACTAAGGAGAGGCAAGTAAAAACAAGGACGGGGGTCCTGACCAAAGGCCAAGAGAAAAAACCTAAGTTACCCAGGAGACACCAGAGTTCAAACCCCGATGCTGCTACTTACTGTGTGACCTGGGGCAGGTCACTTAAGCGCCCTGCACCTCGTGACCCATGAAGTGGCCCACTGACATCGCCCTCCTAGAGCTGCTCAGAGGGCTGGTGTGTATATGGAGAGGGCTCAGCACTGTGCCTGATACAGCGGAAGTGCCCCATAAACAGGAACTGCGATTACTGTTGTCGTTGGGGAAGCAGAGTCTCGGCAGCAGGTCGTAGCACTACAGGCTGGAGGGGCGAGGCCGGTGCCGGTGGAAGAGCTCGGGCTGTAGGAGGGCGGGGGCTGATGATGAGGAAACAAATGGCCGTCCTTTCTGGAGCACCTTGCACGCGGTAACTATTTAATCCTCATAGCAACCTTGTGAGGTTGTTAACTGTTGTGATTCCCATTTTGTATACGAGGAAACTGAGGCACAAATTTTTTTATGATGGCATCTGAGGAAGCTTTAATTTATTCCCTTGATGGGAGTGATTTAACTGGCTGTTTGGTAGTTTAATTTCTGAGCAAGTGCCAAGTGTTCTGGGAGTTGAAAGGTTCGTCATTACTCAGGTCTTTGCTCCTAACCTCACAGCTAGTGAAGTGGGAGCTGGGACTTGAACCCAGGTGGGCTTGGCGGGCTTGGCTTCAGGGCCTACCTCTGAGCCGCCATGCTACAAGCTGCCTCTGCTGAGGCACAGTCTTGCAGGCCTTAAGCCATGGAAGTGGAAAAATCTGAGTGCCTGGGCTCATTCTTGCTGAATGCTGGCTGCATGGTGCTGGGCCACCAATTCAGCTAGAAGCCAGGGAGGGACTATGTGGCAACTTAGTTTCCCCTCTTGGCCCTTTCCCACCCAGACCCAGGTAGACATTGCTAATCAATCACAGTACTTCCTCCTCCTCCTAAGAGGAACAATCCTGAAGAACAACCAGAAAATCATCACCCAGTGACTGGATCTGACAGGTCCGATAAAATCTATTCGCTGTCCCCAGCTTGAGGGCGCAGGGCAGGCCAGGCCACAGTACAGAAGTGTAAGCTGGGGGTTGCTTTCAGGCCAGGAAGAACCTGGGCGGCCTGCCTTAAACTCCTCAACACGTCGCTCATCTAGATGTCCGAAAAGTCACAGAGGTAGGCGTGCAAACACACTCAGCGTGAACGGAGCCCGTCGGGGGGCTCCCCTGCCAACCTTAGGGAAATCCAGGCACCACGGGGCCACTGGAAGGTGGAGCCAGCACGCAGAGGGTCACTTGGATTCCGAGCTGCCCTTGGACGTCATCCCCAGTACCACAGACACGACTCTCTAGGGAACCTATGGGCCCTGGAGCTGGAAAACAGCCAGGCGGGCGGACAAAGCCCTGTGACCTTTCAGGACTGGCACTGGCAGCGGGGAGCAGAGCGCCTGGCTGCGAGGGGAGAGCGGGCCGCCTGAAGGGCCACGGCGCCCGGGCTCCGGCAAGGCTGGAAGTCCTGGTGTCAGGGGCGCCCGGCGCTGGCGGAGAGCCGTCCGGACACAGTGGCGGCCATCGTGACAGCATTTTGAAACCGCCTCTCCTCACAGACAGACCCGTGATTCTCACACTTGGTCGGGTGGTAGAGCACCAGGCACTTCGGGGGAACGTCGCGAAATGTGGATAAATTAAGTGAACAAATAACCAAGTGCTATACAGGTTGATGCCAACTCTCAGCATCTAAATTAGAACTGTACAGTAGGCCCTGGCCAGGTGGCTCAGTTGGTTAGAGTGTCATCCTGCTACCCCAAGGTTGCGGGTTCCATCCCCGGTCCGGGCACGTACAAGGTACAAGCACCAACTAATGAATGCATAAGTAGTGGAACAACAAATTGATGGTTCTCTAGAAAAATATAACTAATTAATTAAAATTGTATGGTGACAAGTGCCAAGAGTTTTAAGAAATTTTATGCAGAAACCCCTTCACGTTAAGAAAATTCTATTACCTTAACTATTTTCTGAAATCTAGAGGAGAGAGTGCCGTTTCAATTTTAGCCACAAAATGCCCCGGTGCAGGATTGCCCCAGGCAAAGCACAGCTACCCCTGGTGCCCTGATGCGAACGTGCCAGCAGACCCCAAGAGCAGAGCTGCTGGAAACCACCCAGGAGAGGCTGAGTCCTTACTACCTTAGATCTACGGCGGGGAACCTCCGAGAGCCGTCGGCCGGGGTCACCCGGCGGGGGGAGCAGCAAAGGTAGGATTTCTGCAGCTCACAGTGAGGGCTCTGTGGCCAAACAAAGGCCTCCCCTTCCACGCAACGTCTGACCTCTCAACTTTGACAAACGTGTATTCACCATGCAATTACAATTTAAACTACCAAAAGGGCAGCATAATCACGTATATCAAAGGGAATAAATTAAAGTTTCCCTGGATCCCATAGCAAAGAAAGAGAAAAAGCTCAACTAGCCTCTGCACTGAAGACAAAGAAGCTGCTCTTTTTAGGGTGCATAGGGCTGTTTCTCAGAAACCTTCACTGTTTTGAAGCCAAGACAGAAGAGTGGTCCACGCCCGAGTTACAGAAGTGGAAAGATCTAATGATAAGTGAGCTGAACAAGATCTCGAGTTCCTTTAAATGTCAAAAGGACAGTGGTGGAGTATCTGAGAAGGTTCCTTTTGTTAAGCTGGGGAAGCGGCTACTCTTAGTTCTAGCATCACTTAAGACAGATTTGCTATGAAAACTTAGAGACGCTGTTTTCCAGCTTTATAATTGAGTGGTAAGCCCCAGTGAGTTCACTTCACAGCATCAAAAAACACAGCTATTTTGAGAAAAGAGATACAGAGATGGAAATCTGGGAAACATTTAATTTCAATGCATTTGGGGGCAAAATAAACCCCATCTAGCCTCACACACAGAGGGCAGCACTGGAAACAGGTCAAAGCGCTCTGGGAAACCGTTGTGACTGCGTTTATCAAAGCTGAAATGCACCCAAGGACGCAGCAGTTCAGCCCTAGGTCCACATGCAGCAGGAAGGAGAGTACAGGCACCAGGAGAAGGGCAGGAGACATTGATTTCATCAGAAATCCAGGCACCTTGGAAACAGCCCAGCATCTCTTCGACAGCAGAATGGGTAAGTACTGTACACATCAAGACGGCATCAAAGTAATACGGATGAATCTCAGGGAATGCTGAGAAAAAGAAGCCAGACGTAAAAGAGTCCATGTCTATGCACCCCATGACTCCACTTACAGGAAGTTCATAGCAGGCTACACCAAGTAAGACATGGTTTCCCTTGGGCTATAAATAGTCCATTTCCTTGATTTGGCGCAGGTATGTGCATTTTCCAAGTTGTCCATTTAGGTTTTTACACATTTCTGTATGTTTACAACAGAAAGTTTACATTAAAAATGACTGTATCTGTGTCCTGCAAAATGGTTACCTGTTGACTGTAAACTAGTGTCACCTCAGATTTGACGTGGATTTCTTCCTTAAACACGCAGTCATAGCGCCTGCCCAGTTTGGTTGCTATGGGTCCTCTGGGGGCAGCCCAGGCCCATGGAGACCATGTGCCAGACAAAGCGAGGTGCCCGGAGGGCAGGCCTCTCCCTGGAGCCAGTGCCTCAGTGGCAAATGCTGCGCAGTCTATGCACTCGGGCATGTGAAGAGGAAATATTTTCAGACACCTCCTACGTGCCAGATACCCGTCTATGTTATTTTAATTTCACTCTATTTTAGGAAGTCAGCAGGCAAACCCCTGAGATTCAGGGAGGTTACATACCCGAGAGAGGCCCTGGCTAAGCAGACACAGTCAGACCCCACGTCAAGCCTCGCTGTGGTGCGCGGAGCCCTGTTCGGAGCCTGCCTTCTCCGCTGCCGCCCACGTGGGTGGGGGTGGAAGTTCTCCCGTAAGAACACCCCTCTGCCATCAGCAGCTGCATTCCTGGACATCTGCCAGCAGCCCGCACCCGGCTGTCACAGCCGGGCGGAGGGAAGGCGGCCCAGGGCACACTCCTGCTTGGCCCCCCCGTCCTGAGCCCCCATAGGTAGCCTCATCGGACTGCAAAATGCCAGGCGTGCCTGACACGAAGGAGGGCCCCAGCCTGCGACAGTCGCGCACCTTCAGAGTTCGGAAGGCGCGGCACGGCCCATCCTCCTCAATCCTTCCCGTGAGCAGCAGCATGGAAAACGGCCAGGACGTAGTGACAGACGCCAGGGACGCCGGAACAGAAGGTAGCAGATTAAGAGAACCAAGGTGTCAAATGTGTCCCTGGCAGATCGGGGGATACTCAAGTGCCAGACCCATCAGATCTGTGTGGGGGGAGGCAGAACATGGGAGAATTCCACCTTACATTCGCCGTAGACAGATGAAGCTGTCAAGGCAGACTCGAATATCCTTGGACCAGGACATCCTTGGGGATACTCTAAACCCCCAGGGCTCCAACACTGAGTGTCCGAGCCAAGTCAGGCAGGCAGCTGCCAAAGCCGAAGGGCAGTCCCGGTGCGAGGACGCGGGGATGGCTGTGTCCTGCTCTGCAGCCAGGCCCCTGGGGCTCTTCCCGCCTCCAGCCGCCACGTCCCACGGACTGCCCCCTCCCCTGGCTGCCTCGTCCTCGGAGCTCGGGGGGACAGGAGGCTGCCGCCCCCGGCCCGCCGCATTTCTGCCCTGTGCTGCCGGCGGGTTCTAACCCTTGAGGACCATGGGGAACGGCTGGCAGGGATGACAGAAACGAGGACCCTCTCACAGTTTAAGTATACGTTTTAATTTTGCCAGATTTTGCCTTACATGCATCACAGTGGAACTGACAGAAAATCAAATCAACACGAACCTTGAAAAGCTAAGGTGTTGTACGTCACCGTGACTCTGAGGGAGCGGCTCTGCATACCAGCCACCGCCTGCCCCCTGCCACTGCGCACGGGCAGAGGAGCACGAGCGCAGAGCGCCTCCTGGACTGGCCTTGGGAGTCGCAGCAGGCGCTGCTTTTGTCCCCGATTACGTGATCTGGGTCAGGATTCACTTTACCGTGTTCTGGAATGTCTAAAGCTTCTCATGGCTCAAAAACTGTCACTGCAGACAGTGACAGCAGTGAGAGCAACCACTGAATGTGTCCCTGGCTAGGTTGTGGGTATGATGCCGTGTACTGTACACAAGTGAGTTCCTTCACTCACCCCCTGAGGGGACCTTTCTCCCACTGTCCAGATGTAAGTGAGGGCCAGAGAGATTACCTTGAGGGAGGGACCAAGCCAAGGCCTGACTGCAGACCTGATTTTAAGGCCTCGGTCCTCGTGTATCTGGACACAGTCCACCAAAGCCCACCCGTCACCTCCCAGCAGCACATCCCAAATCAGAGCTGACCACGGCGCTGCTCAGCTCAGCCGGCAAGTCCAGGGGAGCAGCTGGTTCCTCAGGCCCATCCCGAACGGCATCCGCCCTTCTGTCCCTCCCCTGCTAATCCCCCTCTTCCCAACCTGTCACCGTGTCCCAGTCTGCCTTTCCCCTGTCGGACGAGGTGCTGGCCACAAGTCAGCACTGCATAAAAGGCCGATTCCACTTTTCAGGGACTTGTGGCCAAAACCTGTTCAGATGCCGGAGGCGGCAGAGCGCAGCTCTCCAGCACAGCAAGCTAGGGCTTGAACAGCACTTCAGGAAGCATTTTGGCCCAGCAAGGGCGCTGGGACCACAGTGCCACACAACAGTGGGCTCCGGCACATGAGCTGTTCGCCAGCGCCTGGTCACGGGCCACACCCAAGTCTAGTTGCTGACAGATCTGTCTTTGGCTGAAGGGGGACGGGGTGGGCCGAAGTGTGGACATGCCATCCAGCGAAGTCCCCTCTAAGACTGGAGCTTCTGGCCAAGGAAGGGCCACCACACACACGACAGCTGTGAGCTCCGTGCCTGGAGGAACTACCGTAACTCGCATACGCAGTTTAACAGCACAAACAGACCCACAAATAACCTTGTGTAAAAAACTTGTAGTTAAGACAAATACTTTTAGTCTGACCAAAGGAGGAGTTATTTTTTGACTTGTGACACCTAAAAACACTTTCCACATAGGGGTATGTGTAATTATTTTCACTATCACAAATTTAGAATTTTGGACAATAGAGTTTATTTTCTCATAAAATTTCTACCAAAAATATATATTCTTCTTAACTTAAAAGTACAAGTTATGAAAGCAAAATGTGAGTTGTTATTATTCATGACATGTTTTACAAAGAGCACTGAAAGGAAGAAATCAACAGAATGGACTCAATTTATAAATATAAAAATGTTCATTTCAAAAGCTTGACCTTGTCCTTTAGTAACTTAAAGGCGGGGTTCTTGCTGACTTTCTTACTGAAGATGACCAGGAGTTCCTCTTCAGACCTGTGGTGTTCGTTTGTCACGGCATAATACTGAGCTAAAACCTTCACAAAGAAGAGCAACTGTCAAACAAGGGTCATTGTCCTGAAAATTTACCTAACACGCTCCCTCTTTAATCCAGAAGGTGGGCCACAGTAAGAAATTAAAAAAAAAAACAGAAAAACACCCAGGTGCCGGCTGCACAGGGTTATGCCTGTGACAATCCAGACGGTGGCACGTCTGAGATCACCTGGCCACATGGGGGCCACACATCGATAAAAAGTTAACAGAGAACAAACCATTGCTCTGGAAAAATCAAAAGATACCAAACTACCTAGAACAATTCCAAAATAACGCCTGCACTGCTCGGGCTGAGGAGGAGTAATGGGACTTGGCCCGTCGCTCTCCTCCAGCCCAGCGCGGTTCCCAGAGCAGCATGCAAGTCACTGAGGCGCGCACACAAATGTATGGTACATTAGGTATTTTTTTAAAAACTACATTTTAAAATAACGAACCGATTCCCCCCAGCTGATATACCTAGGTTCATGGGCCGTACCTTTTTCCTTAACTTCTTGATTGCTATTTCGTTGTCTGGGGCCTGCTTCAGAATTGCTTTAATGGTTCCCTTCCAGTTGAATTTACCTACAATACAAAGAATAACATGCAAAACATTTTGTTTTGTTGTACTACCAGAAGGGTAAAGAAATGATCTCTACATCATCTATTTGCTACCCAGGAAATAAGCCAATTCTGGATGGGAAGGACACCATAGTACTGTGTAGCGGGCACTGGACCTGTCCAATCCCACTGGCCTAGAAGCACCGGTTACCCTTCACCGTCCTTGTTCTCTGAGTGAGCAGGTTAACTAAGTATCGTAAAATGCCATCACCACTACAAATTCCTGTAAAAAGACAGAGTTGCACTGAATGACCTCAGCAAGATTAAGCATCACTAGGATCACGGGGCTATCTAAACAGAGTAAGCCAGACAGAGATGAGCAGAAGGAGCTTGTTAACTTGGAACTCAAGAGGACAGCCACAAACATTACTACACATGGGCTAAAAGACTCACTCTGCAACTTCCTGTGAATCTACAGTGACCTCAAAACAAACTTTTAAAGCCTCACATATAGAGTAAGTTGCAGGGTGGGCGCCAAGCTCAGAGATCTAACCCGACCTGGGCAGTCACTGACCCTCCATTAATAACGCCTCGATTCCCACCGAGTCCTTGGATCTCTTCTTAACTGGCAGGACCCCAGGGGCCCGTCAGGCCTGAGGGATGGAGCAGCTCTGTGGAGGAGGCAGCACTTAACGGGAACCTTAAAGGCCAGGGACTGGGTTCTGGTGAGTACACATTCCAGCTGAGGAAGCGGCGTGGCCACAGAGTTCCCAGCAAGGGGACACCAGGGACGGGCCCGGAGATAAGAAGGGGAACAGCCGGGTCTGGCTGGAAGGAAGGAAGGGAACCCCAGACAGCGGTGCCGGGTTCATTCTCAGTCCTGGAGATGGTAACTGTTCCCACTCCAGGCCGCTTTCCCCTTTATCCTCACAGCAAGGCAGGCCCTGTAGGGGCGACTCACACACTTCTCGGTGATTACTTTGGAGTCACACCTTAGTTTCAAACTCTTCCACACGCCTCTGGAGGGTACGATCTGCCAGAAGGCCCTGGTTCACCTCCTCCTCCCCCAATGCAAAGAGGGCAGAGCTTTCCAAGAGATGGAAGTGATGCCTTTTCTTTTGTTTTAATCCTCACCCGAAAGGAAGGGAGGGGTGGGGGGAGACGTGAGAGAGAGCACTGATCGGTTGCCTCCTGATGTGCCCTGGCTGGCGACTGAACCTGTAACCTAGATGTGTGCTGGGAGCAGGAACTGAACCCACAACCTTTTGGTGGATGGGACGCCACCCCAATGAACTGACCCACCAGGCCAGAGCTGGAAGTGATACCTTTGGCAGGAGCAGCTTCATGGTTTTCTGGTTCTCCGCCCTCGGAATGTCCTGGAACCTTCATCTTTTTCTTCTTAGAATCTGCTTCAGCTAAACAGAGATTTTTTAAAAAGAGAGCCGTTGGCATTGATGACATCAGCTACACCTCGGCCCGTCATCGCGCTCACTCCCAGGCACGCAGCACGGCCGTTCTCCTCTGGGTCAGAGCGGGGAGGTGAGGTCACTTACCCGGGCTGAGCCCAGGATGGCCTGCCCCCAAAGCTCATGTTCCTTGCCGTGCTTGGTTCAAAATGCAAGGTCTGACAGACTGCACATATCCCAAGTTCATAGCGTCAAGGACTTTTTTAACAAACCCCACAGCATAAGCTAACCACACACCTTCGGAGAGCTTCCGCTTTCTCTTTCCTGGACCGGCCTTTGTCTGTCCCTCGTCCGTGGCTCCATCCTCTCCCTGCTCCTCTGCAAGCTGGCCCTTGCTCTTCTTCCTCCGGCCCTTCTTCCCTTCAGGGCCAGTGGCCTGGGGGGCGTCCACGCCCCCAGCCTCCTGCTGGGCCTCCTGCCTCATTTTGCGCTTTTTAGACTTCTGACTTTTTGAATTCTCTTGGTGGTTTTCTAATTTTAGTTCCTTCTTTTCTTTTTTTCTATTCTTCTGCCGCTCTTCTTTCCTTTCCCTCTTATTTTTCTTCACCTCTACTTGTCCTTCCGTGGTGTCATTTGCTTTGGAAGGTGCCACCTTGGTGGAGATTTCTGCAGGTAGCTTTGCCACTTGGTTGAGTGGCTGTTGATCTTGCCCTTTACCAGCTGGGTCCTTATTATGAAGCAAAACCAAGAAACACGTAAGTGCTCATTCCAGAGACACCAGCTCGCTCACTGAGTGTATCCACTGAACACACTGTTCCCAGAAAAATGTCCTCACTACACACCGTTGTAGAACCGTGACCACCCCCACAGCTGAACGCAGCGGCAGGTACGCCGACAGAACTGCCCCCAGCCCACACCCCTCTCTGCATTAACAGACATTGCCGTTCCCCAGGAACAGCAAGGAGTCCTTAAGTCACTTCAGCCACGCCTTTAATTTTGGCTCACTATTCATCTTTCTTTTCAGTGAAAGGCGAGCTCTTATGTGTGGTAGAAGCTAGAAGATTTACGTGTCCGCAGACCTGGGTTCAAGTCCCAGCTATGCCAAGGACTAGCCAGGCCACTCGGGGCACGTTGTGTCTCTGCTCCAACCTGCCTCCTCACCTGTAACACGAAGGCAGCGACCCCCTTCTCGCACCCTCGACGTGCGATAAAACAGGAATCGTCCTGAGCCCCGTGCAGAGGCTGCTCAGTGCGCCAGGCCGACGGGCGCGAAGGGCTTCGTGAACGACCAAGTACCCGGCAGAAGCAAAGTCTAATCATCACTCCGACCAGACGGTGCCCTGGGAGGCTGCCAGGGTCACCCGGGCGGGCGAAGTGAAGCGCGGTGGGTAAGGGGGCGCGGAAACCGAGTAACTCCGCCCCCTGGTAAGGGGGACCGCCCACGCCGTGCGTGCACTGCCTTACTCAAAGCGGCACGTGCGCCCTGTTTTAAGAATGACTTCAGCAGAGCTCATCCCAATGCCTGCTGTACTCCCTGCCTTGGAACGTGCTGGAAACCTCTACACCAGTCCTGCTTGCGTGCTGGCGCAGAGCCGCCTGGGGAACTGCTGTGAGCCCAGAGGCGCCTGGTGGGCAGAGAGCGGGTCGGTGCCGGCAACAGCTCCGGGAAGTCACTCAACTGATGAGTCTGCAGACCTTGCCCAAGTTCCATCTCTGTAAGTTACCAGCCACCTGACTCAGACAAGTCACCTCCCATCTCCCCTGCGGAGAGTAGGTCACAAGAAGGGAGTTACTGCCCCCAAGTTGGATCAAATAAAGGAGGACTGGCTTTAACTCGAGGACCAGAACTCTGCGAAGTCACGCCTCGCTCTGACACCAGCCCTCACCCTCGGGCAGAAGGAGCAGCACTTGGGAAATGAAGGTCACACTAAGTTGCCAGGACTTTCCCAGTAGCAGTTCAGGGAAATAAAGTAGCCCATGCCCACAGGGGAGGGGCAGAGAGTGAGTTCAGAAACAGACTCATGAGGAAGAAGGGGGCGAAGAAGCTTCCCATCTATCCTGCAATTTTGTCCCTATTGTATGTTGGTTACTATTATAACCACCAAGGGCCACGGACCTCAGCCCACTGTCCACCCAGTTCAGACTAAGTCTCTGGCTGGTGCTTTGCCTCCACATCCAAACCACAGGCGGGAGGGAAGGGGGAGGGAGGCAGGGGACACACTTCTGCACCACCCAGCAGCCACTCAGCAGTGAGTGGCCAGTCCATTCCCCATCTCCCTTCTCCTTCGTTCCAGGCTCTCCTCCAATGCGGCCGCCTCAGCACCACCTTCGCTGACTCTTACCTAACAGAGCACCCCGCTTTGCTCTCTGCCCCTCCTGCCTTCTATCTCTTCCCGGTGCTGACTGTGACCTGGTGTCACAGCGCAAGCCCACACACATAGCTGTCTGTCTCCCGCACTAGGATATGGCTGCATGAGGGCAGGCCTTGGCTGGTCATGGCTGGGTCCAGGGACCAGGCGCAAGTCGTGCGTGGTGCAGAGAGTCTCACAGCAGAGCAGAGAAAGCCGCCCACTTAATGCCCAGCACAGAGCAGAGGGAGGGATACAACTGCACGCCCGTGCACACAGGGCCTCAGGACCTCTGCTCGGCCTGACGCTGGGGCGGGCTGTGGCGTTCACGGGGCAGAGGCAAGGCGGTGACAAGCTCACGGTCTGCGTGGGCTTTGCTGCTTGCTTTATTTAATTCTTCAAATATTCGGAGCCTCAAAAGGGAAACTGGAAAGAACTTTAAAAAAAAAAACAAAACCCTGTAGTTGAACTAAGTCATTTCAAATCTTTGATTCTTAGTAAATCAATGGAAATAACCTTTCAAAAATTGGTGCCACATAAAGGCCAATTAAACGAACGGTTATAAGGTTTCAAAGGCCCAAATTGTGTATTTTGAGACAAATGCTAGATAGACTGCCAAGATAGTTTCATTTTTATCTCGATTTGCTGTCTAAACCATTCTCTCTATATAAAGCAAATCAACTCCTAAGAATGTGGCCAGAATAAAAGACAGCCAGACCCACTGGTTTTTTTTAAACTATTAATGATGTAAGTCTCTGAATGGGATGTAAGATCCAAATAGGAAGAGAGTGCAACTGAATTAATGTGAAAAAATCAAATTAACCATGTAACCAACAATGTGGCCACACGATGTCACACCCAAACCCTCTGCATGTGCCTCCACATCTGGAAAGGCATATAGAGAACCGCTCTGACCGACAGGTAGTTGACAGCATTAACTCCGCGGAACTCTCCCTCCACCAGGAGGGAAGAGGCGCTGGGCGAGTGCCGACTGAAAGCTGGGTGCCCGGTGGAACACGTCTGCAGTCCCGTCTATTTTAAAGCTAGAGCGTGTAAGGGGCCACTATCACCATGTGAGGTATTTTACAGTTTTGATCACGTCCTGGCACAGATCAGGCACTCCCTAAATACCGAATGAATGAATGAACGAATGAACACGATCTACTTTTTAAAGAACAGGAAGCTGAGGCTCAGAGAAGTTAATTAACATGCCCAAGATCAATCACTCGGCAGAGAGCAACAGGGATTCAATCCAGGTCTGCCAGACGCCCAAAGCTCCCGCTCTTTCCAACGTGCCCGCGGCCTGACTTCTAGGCAAATCACTGCGTGTTAGCTGCCGCCATGACCAACCGTTGGGATTAAGCACTTTTCTGTGCACAATAAAGAACTCTTCTCTGCAAGGCCCTCAGGTTACCCCCTCCCACAAATGAAGGCCCACAGGGGCTCTCTGGAAAAGAAGGCTGCCTTGACCTCCAAACTGTGACATTCCCACTGCTCACTACTGCTCATCCGGCCACACTAGGAATCTGAAATTAGACCGGACTTACGTTGCTGGAAGCCTCGGAAAAGATACTCCACACCTGGTCCAGAATCGATTCATTATGAACTTTTAAACTGTTCTTCATCCAATTCTATAAGGAACAAAAAGAAAAAAAACAAACACATTTATCCCATTTGACAGGAACCCACAAGCTGTCACTGATGGACCAACAGCCCTTCCGTCAGGAAAGTCCTATCAAATACATACCTGAAATTTTGCCTTTTTCCTGGGAATGTTGTCAAAACCACTAATTTGCTCTAAAAGTTCTCTCACTTTGGGGCTGACATTGGGTCTTTTTATTAATTCATTAATTTTCTGGAAAAAAAGGAAGATAAAAGCAATAAACTGACACATGAGTTTCTTGTAGCCATGGCTACAGAATTCATATTTCAAGTCCAGATTCTGTATTAATGTTCAAGCTTACAAATTCCACATATTAGTACTGGAAGTCCTAGCCAGACCAATCATGTAAGAAAAAGAAATAAAAGGCATCCAAATTGGAAAGAAGTAAAATGATCTCTGTTCACAGCCCACATGGTCTTTCCTGTATGTGGAACACCCTACAGATTCCACCAGAAGAACCTTTAGACCCAATAAACAAAGTCAGTAGAGTTGCAGAGTTGACACTCAACAATCAAGAGCATTTCTATAAACTAACAATCTGAAAAAGAACTTAAGAAATAATTCCATTTATAGTAGCATGGAAAAGAATAAACTACTCAGGCATAAACTTAACCAAGGAGTTTATGAAAGACTTATCTATTTAAAACTACAAACACTGCTGGAAAAAAGACAAAAATAAATGGAAATGTTCATGGATTGGAAGACTTACTAAGATGTCAGCACCACCCAAGTGATCTACAGATTCAAACGTAATCCTTGTCAACATCCAAGTGACTTTTTTTTCTTTCCCAGAAATAGAAAACTCTATACTAATATTCACATGGGACTCTAGAGGGACACCAAATGGCCAAAACAATCTTGAAAAAAAGAACAGAGCTGGAGGCCTCACATTTTGATTTCAAAGCTTATCACACAAAGCTAGAATAATCAACAGTATGGAACTGGCATGAAGATAGATGTACAGACCAACGAACAGAGAGCCCAGAAATAAACCCTTGCACATATGGTCAAATGATTTTTGAGAAGGGCGTCAATATCATTCAATTAGGAAAGGACAACAAATGGTGAAGTACTTAATTGGAGACTTAAAAATGGTCAAAATGCTAAATTTTATATCATGTATAATTCACTACCATTTTTAAAAACTGGAAAAAAAAGGACGTGAACAAACCAAAAGTGAGCCAAAGAATCAGACAAAATGGATACTGCAAAGTACAGGCAAAAAGGACTGGGCAATAAATTGAGGACCAAGACAAAAGCATTAACATCTAATAAATAAATCTGAAAACAACAAGAACAGACCAGAAATGAAGACTAAATTCATGTCCTAGAGAAAATGCTCATGGCGATCACAGGGAAGGCCGAGAAAAAAGGTAATTATGGAGGGTCGGAAACGAGAGCGTAGAGAAAAGACAGTCACCAGAGCGCCCGATTCCGTAAGAGGCCCGACAGCACAGATCTCAGGCATCACAGGCCGGCAGTTTCTGTCCTGACTGCTCTTCTGCAAGGCTTAGTTGCTCAGCCTTAGTCTATCTTAAGACACACTGTTTCTAGCTCTAGTCTGCATGGATGATGCCTTTATTCTCACTTTCTTAGGCTTTCAAAAAAAGTGGAAGGTGTCAGAGGAAGCTAGACCTTACCTGAATCCACGCCTGCTGTTTAATATCGCCTTTGTGAGTTTTACCTTCAAAACCTTTGCCGCCATACTTCTGATCTTCACTTATGCATTTCACGTGGTTTTTGTAGTCATCGCCCCTGTGAAGCAACAGAGGGTTCCCCCGTTAGACTGATGCTCTCCGGTCAGCCCTGGTTACTTCCTGCTGGCCCCCTGCCCAAGCGCCCCACCTAGTTCCCTCGCTCTGCTCGCGACCTGCTCACAACCATGTCCTGCTTCCTCCAAACCAGCCAATATGAACCCACCACCAAACTTTCCACACACATTTTTATATCCGAATGACTTAAACCAAATTGATAAGCAGTATTTGTTTTTAGTCATAAGTGACTATGCATGAATAAAAACAATTCTTTGCAACAGGTGGCTTTATCTTAAATTACAAGACCTGTAAGATTTCTTGGGAACATGATTTGGAGTGTAAGTTAAAAGCTGGTGTAAAATTGTGGTATCAGAACTAACGCAATGTTACACATCAATACACCTCAAAAAAATAAGTAACAAATTAGGCTGAAGACTTGTGCGGGACTAACGTGCAGCACGGTGACTAGATTAACACTGTGCTCCACACCTGAAAGGGGCTAAGGGTCAGATCTTAAGTCCCCGTCCCAAGGGAAAAAACTTCTTGTAACCATATATGGGGACGTATGTTAACTAGACTTACTGTGATCATTTTTGCAATATATAGATATTGAATCCTAACATACACATGAAACTAATATAATGTATGTCGATTATACCGCAATAAAAATATTTTTTAAAAAAATGGTGTTAGATCACTAAAAAGTTCTGGATCTCAGAGTCTTGGGAAAAAAGAAACTCAATTCTGTCTCCATCCTTTGGAGGTTGTATGGGGAAATGTGTGGGGCAAGATCAGGTGCACAACCCCTAATGACAGAGAACCCAATTTCACCTGTTTTATATATCAAGCTTCCTCCTAGGATTAGGTATGAACATGGACTTTAGTAGTTTTCAAAATTTTTTTAGATATCACTACTCTAGAATAAAATTAAAATGCACTGTTGGCAAATATCGTCCAACTGCCACAGAGAGCAGTCGGCAGGCACAGCAAAGCCGCCTCTTCCCTGGACCCTCCGAGGCTGGAGGGGAGAAGAAGACGGAGGAAGCGGGCCAGCGCCAGACGCCCCTCCTGCGGCCGCCGTGGACAGGCACTCGGGACCGTCCTCCCTCGTCCAGTGGGCGCGCCGGACTCACGGGGGAGCAGGAGCTTCACCCTGCCCCGACCCCGACTCGGGGGCAGGACCTGGCCCCTTCTCTCGGGCACCCCTCACTGTGAGTCAGTGCCTTCCTTTCCTGGTTTAAAAACCCAGCTCTTCAGTGTGAGCCGCACTCCAGCCCCTGCAACCTCGCTCCGTGGTCGCCACCCGGGGTCTCGCGAGGCGGCAGCGAGGCGGCCGCGAGGGCCCCTGGCTGAGCAGACGCTTGCGTCGCTGCAGTTCCCCTTCCTTCTGTCTTCCCTTTAAATCGTCCATACAGCACAAATGGTCCTGTGACCCATTTTAATTTTTTTTCACAATCTCCTTCCTCAAATATGCCTCTTATTTTTCAAAGCTCTGCAGAAACAGTACTCCCAAAACTGGCCTGGACCTTTAGTCTGGGTCCACGTGAATTACTGGGAACTTACCAGAAATCTTTACCGCAGTCGATGCACGAGAGGCACTCGCAGTCCCTGCAGACGGCCACGTGCTTTTCCACCTGTACTTTCTTCACTGACTCACCGCATGCATTGCATGTAAAAAATACCATTTTTAGCTAAATGATGTAATATTCTCTATCCAAGAGAGACTATAAGTCTTGTCCTAAAAAAAAAAAAAAAATCAAAAATAAAGGAAGAAAAGATTAGCGTTCTACACACAACTCTACCATCAGGTAAGCAAAATTATAAATAACAGAGATACTAATGACTGAGAGTTGCTGAGCGCTTGCTTACCGTGGGCCAGGCCCCTAAGAGCTTTACACTCATCCACGTTAACCTTCACGGCAACCTGATGAGGGAGAGACTGATGTTCACAATTCACACGAGCTACTGAAGCGCAGAGAGACTGAGTAACCTGCCCGAAATCACACAGCAGCAGAACCAGGGTTTAACTTAGGAGGCTCGCTCTAAAGATGACGAGTTTGGGGGGCATTAAGTGAAATACCTTACCTTTTCTAATAACTTTCTCTCCCCTCCTGCCCCCTGCGCCTCTCTCTCACCCTTAGGTGTGCACTGCAGACTATTTCAGGTCCCCAAATATTGATACAGTAAGGGCATCATGAGGGGGGAGCTGAGGGAGCCTTAGAAAGTAGCGAAGAGACCTACGAACAATTCCTAGAAGCACAAAAGACACTCAGGTGGGCATTACTATGCATCTTCCGGCATTAATACAGGAGGATCGCCCTCAGGCTTGCAGACGGGAACAGGTGAGGCGTCTCCTTCGTGTGGCTTCCTGTCGGCTCAGTAAAGAGGGAACCGCCGCGGCCATCCTCACCGCTGGGCACGGAACTACTGGAGGGCGCGCAGACCCACTGCCCCCAGCACTGGGTCAACACCACACACATCTGCACAGATACATGACCGCCCTTTACAACTCACGGAGCTGCTCCTCTGCTCCAAAAAACACAGGTTTATCTCAAGTGTGACAGAAGTCCCGGTAATTTTTCCATGCTCATATAATGCTTTAACCACTAGATTCTTAAAGAGTATTGTTGTTTTAGAGTATAAGTCAATGTCGCAGCAAAGCCACCAAAAACTGTTTAACCCGACACCTGTTTGCTCATTGAGAAAATGAGGGTAGATCATGTAAACCGGTGCCGCTTGCTTCAGGGGACGACCAGCCCCAAATCCTGCAGCCCTAGCGAGCAGCTCCCGGTGCCCAGTCACACTCACGCCCAGTCACTCCCTCCCCCACCGCCCTGTGCTGGGCCCCTGCTGGGGAGGTCACGCCTAAGCCGAGACCGGGGCGGCTCCTGGCCACTCAGCCCCGAATGGAAATGCACGTCCTGGCCGCAGCTCTGGGGCTGACAAAGGCCCGGCTGATCTCGCGTGGGGGCCCCTGGCTCTTCGGGACGTTGCTGGACATGAGCTTGCCCGGCAGGCTGTGTACACACACAGGCCCCGGCCCAGGGTCCCGCCTCAGTCCCCACCAAGGTAGGTGGGCAAGGGAGGGCACGCGGTCAGCCACAGCCTTGCACGGAACGCAGAGGGGGGCAGCATGACTGTCTGTCCCGGGATGGGCAGCAGCCGTGCCACCTTCTCATCGGGCTACAGTGAGGACATGTGGAATGGTCACAAGTCCTGGGGAGCTGGCATCATGGGGACTCTGACCCAGCTCCCTCCAAACTGGCATTCTGCCCGTGGCAGGAGGACGTTCAGTAACGACAGGCAACAAGGACAGTGGCCGCCCTGCCTCTCGGGGGAACGAAGGCCAGAACAAGAGCCAGCACCGTGTTATCAAATAGTCAGTGGGGGCACTTCAGCGCAAGAACAAGAGCAAACCACGAGCTCGGCAGCAAGAAACAGAGGGCCGTCGTACACCCAAGGCGGAAGCAGCCGCGGTAAGTCCAGTTATCTGCTGAAAAACGTGTGCGTGCTTCCCTAATGAAATTCATTAATGAAAAGTACCCCCTCAGAGTTAAGCAAGGCCTAGGCATTGTGGCCTCGGTGGGGGTGTCCAACCTTTTGGTGTCTCTGGGTCACCCTGGAAGAAGAAAAGATGTGGGCCACACATTAAATACATTGCAACACGTAATCCCCCAAAAATCTCATCATGTTTTGAGTAAATTCACAATTGTGTTTTGGGCCACATTCACAGCCATCCTGGCTGCACGCGGCCCACGGCCGCAGCTGGGACACGCCTGGGCCTAGAGCTCTCCGACCTTCCTTGTTGAAGTCTCTTCTGTCTCCCGGCTGAGAGGGAAGGGGGAGGCGGTACAGCTTCGGCAAACTGAGAGCCCCTCGGGAGACTCGGCTCGTCATGGGCGGTGCGCAACTGAAGGCCCGGGAAGGACCGGTGGAAACAGAACGTATGGGCTGGCAGAAGCCGGTGATGCCGACGAAAAAGATGCTGGGAGTATCTGTGCGAAACATGTCATCCGTCCAGGGATCAGCCACGCAGAGTGTAAACACCGGTTCAGGAGACGGCTGGAACTGGATCAAGCGTGCGCAGGAAAAGTATCAGCAGCCGTCCATTCAGTCTTGCACGGCAGGTGCTCGTGTTTAATCTGTGCGTTGTCGTTTACAGGCAGGATGGGCAGCCTGCACAGTGAGGCCGGACTCAGGCTCTTTGTGCCTTCCTTGCGGTTTTTACAGCCTTCGCTGCATTTTTACCCTCCGCGAGAAACGCAACACTGTGGCGGCCTGCTTGCTAATGAGATCAATCAGGCCTGTCAGGAGCTTGCTCCCCATGTATTCAGAGCCCAGAGGATACCCCAGCACCTGCCGAGGGCCACCCTGACTGGGCCTCACGCCTGACCTAGTCCCCTGGGGAAACACCAGTCACTTTTGCAGGAAACACCGGCGTGTGTGCGCGCGCGCACGCGCATGTATGAGGGATCGGTCGCAAAGAACAGCAAGCTGAAAACCATCCTAACTGCACAGCAGGCAGCTGGCAGCTGTCCCACGTCCTCATGCAGGCTCAACGACTTCAGAAGCGCAAATGTGACAAACTTACAAAAACGCACTGTGTGAAGTCAGTCCCTCTGACTGAAGATAGCAAGCATTTAATGAGTTTAAAAAATTAAACTTATTAAAATTTCACAAGACTAAGTATGAAAGAAATTTAAGTAATTAAACTTTCAAATGACGTGTTTGGTAAATCTGTAACATTTCTGCTTTGGAAAATTAGGGCAGCTGAAAGCATGCCACACGAAGACCTAGGATACTGCTGGGCTCAGATGTCATACAGTGTCTGGCCCCAGGTGTAAAAGGATGGCATTCTTCACAGGACTGAACCTAAATAAGGGTCCCCTTTCCCTTCCCTGGCTCCTCTCTCTCTGTGCCCAAGGCAGGGTCCCTATCAGCCACAGAGATTCTGTGTGTCCTTCCTTGTAGAGATGTGGGTACGCAATAGCAGAGAACGGCCAGCAAAAAAAGCAATGTTTCTGGACTGGCTAAGAGCACATGCGGGTTCCAGTCCCAGGTAAGTCACTGAGATTCAATTCAGTAGGCGCTGACAAAATGCCAAGTGTGCACTGGGGTCTATACAGACCCGGGTGCCTCCCCCAAAGTAAACCAGGCCCTCTGTGAGCTTCCGCCTGCCTGTTCGTCTGTCTGGCCAGTTTGCTGAGTTCTCACCACATGCCATGACCCGAGCAAAGGGTGAGGAATGACAGAACAGGACCTCTAGCTCTCCATGAAGCCACTTCACACGTAGGGTCAGACGGCACCGACACGTCCAAAGAGGCCTGATCGCGCCAGCACCCAGACGCAGAGGTTAAGCGACTGGCTGGAGGCACGCTACACGGCAGGGGCAGCCAGGCGGCCGGGCGATGCGCCGGAGTCCCGCCCTGCCTCTCCATCTTGACTTGTCCTGTCCTTGGCCATCACTTGGCATCTAGGATCTTGAGACCCTCATCCAAAAAAGCTCAAAGACTCTACAAATGACCTCCCATTTCAAAATACGAGGGCCCAAGCCTTAACTAATTTCCAAGGCCAGGCCACACTGTGCAAAACCACCTGTGTCCCAGTGGAGGATGTCAGGTACGGAACAGTGATGCTGCACGGAGGGCAGAGACGGCGTCAGGAAGGGGCTGGGAACTGTGAGGCGCTTATCAAGACGAAAGCCCTGTCCCGCTGAGCTGGATGTGGTGGACGGAGGGCCAGGGGAGCTGAGCTGGAGCCCACATCTGCCAACTGCAAAGCAAATGACCTCAGGTACCCTAACTCGAGCCTGTTTGCCTATAAAATGAGCTTTCGAGCATTGTGCACAAAGTTAAATAAGATACCTGACGTGGAAGGTTCAGCCCTACCCAACGGTACAGCTTCCTGTGCCCTGTAATTTTGCACATCAATGCTATGACACCCGGTCCCCGCCTAACCCCATGCTTCTTTAAACAGGACCTTCAATCCACCCATTGATCTTCATAAAATCACTTCAGTCTCCTCTGGCTCCCTATCCCACAGGTGCTACTCTACCACCATGTTCCCTGAAAACATGACCTCAGGTTTAGTTCTGGGATTGGGATTTGGAGTGATTTTTTTTTTTTTACCTTCCTCCCTCTATGTTTTTGATCCCCCCCCCAAAAAAAAACTACATTCACTATTCTTAAAACATTCTCACACACATATACACACAGACCTAAACCCCATCACCACCACGACCACCAAAAGAGCCCATCTGACCGACCAGGCTGGCAACTCAGGCCCAGTCCCCAGTGAGCACTCCCAGCTCAAGCTAGTCACTGTCCCTGCTGAACCTCAGGTTCTCCCCTCTGAGAAACAAGGAGTCAGGCCAACTGGACCAGCCCTGAGCCTCTTTCAGGGGTACAGTTTCAAGAAACCAGGGGTTGTGCAGGGAAGAACACACAAGTCTGCACGGTCCACCATCCCGCCTAACCCTGGTGTGTGGGGTGGGGCCTCCACGTGCATTGACACAGGGCCTCTCTCTCCCTTGGGCTCTGCAAAAACCCGAGAAGGTAGTACACCTATCTCCACTTAACAGACGAGCAAACTGAGGCTGGGAGAAGTGAACTCAACCTCATCCGCTACATCGTCACCAGTATTGTTTCCAACAGCACCCTTTCGCTGGTGTCATAACGCTCTGTGGAGGCAGGACACCTGTCAGGTTCTCTGCTAGAGGCCGGGGACGGGGGTGCTGTGTGAACCAGTGCCAAGCGGGGCCTCTCTGCAGGAAAGTCGGCCTTGCAAACACAGCTCACCTCCTTCCCCTACCTGCCTCCTCAGACATACGAGCTGCAGAAAACCCTGATATTTACAGAGCACCTACTATGTGCCAAGCCCCGTCCTGGGTGGTCAGCCCGTTCGTGCTAATGTAACCCTCACGACAGTCCTGAGTTAGGCTCTGTATCGTTCCCCTCGGACAGTCGAGGAAACTGAGGCACAAAGCGCTTAAGGTGGCCACACGTCCAGTTGGTGGCAAACATGGACTCGCACGTGGCCCTGAGTCCGTGCTCTCAACGCTCGTGCTCTGATGCCTCCTCCTCGCAGACCGAGCTCCCCATGTCTCAGAGAAGACAAAAGCCCTGTCCCCAGCACGCAGCCCGGCGGTGACCCACCGTCCTGCTTCGCCCAGGACAGAGGGGGTTTCCCCGCACAAGAACCTTTCCGTTTTAAAACCGAAAAGCAATGGGCATTCTAAGTCCGGACTCCCTCCACCTCCCTAGGGCACAAATAGATCAGGAATGGATCTATTCCTCCTCCCATGCGTGTAAAGCAGAGGGACCCGCTCGGTGGGGCTGCAGACAGCGGCCACGCCGCCCTCCCCTCCTCAGGCTCTGAGCCCAGCCTCCTAGGTCGGACCTCCGAGCCACCGCTCCTCACCTCTAGCCGGCGTCCGCCAACGGCTGCAACGGGCCGCGGGGAGCACGTGGAGTCGCGGCGGCCGCCGGCCCAGCGCAGCTACCACCTACCTGCACAGCTTCGCGGCGCAGAATTCGTTTCGGAGCCCCGCGCGCGTGCGCCCCGCGGCCGCACAGCGCCCCGGCGGAAGTGACGGTAAGGAAGCCGTAGGGCGGGCCGGCCCGGCCCGCCGAGGGGGCGTTGTCCCGATGGTTCCGCAGCCCGGGGACCTCCGTGAGCCGCGCTGAGGGCGGCCCGTGACGAGGCGGCGGCGGGTCAGGGAGTGGCGTCCGAAGGTAAGGTGGCCACCGAGCCGGGGGCCGGCCTCGCCAGGGCGTGTGGGTCCCGCGGGGCGGGAGCGACCCGTAAAGGAGGCCGGCGCCTGAGGGCCGGACGGGGCTTGGACCCGCCACCGCCCCCGCCTCCCGGGGCTCCCCGAGGGTGGCGGAGCGCTGCCGGGTCGTACGGGGCTAACCTGCGACGGCGCCGGGCTCTGGCTCGGGGACACAAAGGCCCGATCCCGCCCCTGCAGCGGGGCCTTCGCCCTCGCTCAGCTCCCCCGGCCTGGAAACCCCCTCCGGCCTCCTACTCGGGCCCCGCCGCTCTGCGCTCCCGGCTCGCGGGTCCCGTCTACCTGTCTCCCTGTAGCTGAGCGCGGCGCCCCGCTCAGCCCGTGACCCTGTGAACCCCGGCGCCCGTCCCTTCCGTGGGCGAGGACAGTAGCGCACCTGCCTCGTCGGGTGCTCGGAGGGGTGGCGGAAGGCAGGCACCCGGCCCGGGGCCTGCCGCCGAGCGCCTGCGCTGCCTTCTCTGCCTTAGCCAGCCTGGCCGACCGCGGCGGGCACCCGGCGTTGGTGGCGTGGGTGAGTGACCCGCAGTCGCACGGGACGTGAGCGGCGCACGGCGCAGGGCTTCGCTCGGGGGAGCCGTGCCCGGCCGGGAACGGGCGGTGTGTGCGCGCCTCTGCTCGGCTGCTCTAAGTAGACACCGCGCACCGGGCGGCTTACACCACAGGCACTTGTTTGCTCCCGGCTCTGGGAGGGCGAAGTTCGAGACCGAGGGGTCGGCGGCGTGGGCTCCTGCCAGGCGGCCCTTCCTGGCGCGGGGGCGCCACCTCCCCGCGGCGTCTTCACCGGGCCTCTGCGCTGTGCGTGAGCGCCCCTGGGGTCTCGGCGTCCCATTTCCTCTTCTCGGAGGGGCGTCGTCCAGCTGGGCTAGCGTGGTAACGTCATTTCATTGGGTCTTAATCACCCCTTTAAAGGCCCCATCTTCAGACAGTCACGTTCTGAGGTCCTGGGGCTAGGGAGTCAACATAGGAATTTGGGGGCCACAGTTCAGCCCATCACAGGAGCTCACTGGAATGGACCAGGAGGGGTCAGTCCCCCACAGAAGTGACAGGGTGGCCTCGTTCTTGTCTGCGCCCCGCTGCAGTTTTCATTCGCGTCCCCTGAAAACTCAGGGTGCGCTCTCGCCACTCCTCTGGCAGGCTCGGTTCCAGGTTCCAGCGTGATGCCTCCTCTCGGGAGCTTCCCCAACCCTCCGCCCCCAAGTTAACTTTGTATTTCCTCTATGTGGCATCTCCCGGAGAGATCTGTGCCTGCCCGTCCCGCTGGACTGGCACTTCCCAAAGGGTTGATGGCGGGGACTGAGCTGTTCCCCACTGTCCCCCCAGTCCCTGGCACAGAGTGGACATTTTGTGAAGATAAGGGAGCGACGTGAACAGAGACACAGCCTGTGGAGGGCCAGGAGCGGACCCGTGCAGTCTGTCAGCCTTGTGTCCTCACGCAGTGTCTTGCACGTAGTGGGCCCACACACCGGTTTAACTGAATTGGCCTGGACGGCATCGTGGAGTCAGTGAGCGCTAGGACAGCAATCCAGGCGGGTGGGCTTGGAGTCGGGGTGTTTGCCAGTGCGGCGGGGCGGGGCGGGGGTGGAGGGTGGGGGATAAGCCATCGGAAAAGCACCGCGGGCCGCAGGGGAAGCCCGGGCACCGCGAGGCAAGCCCGGTGCGCAGGTGCGTGGGCGGCGGGCCCCGGGGAAGCTCTCTGGGCCCCAGTGACCGACCCTCCACAGGTCCGTCTGTCTGGGGCCGGCCGGTGGGTAAACTGTCCTACGAACGGAGGGGCCTTTGCTCCAGGGGCCGCCTGCGCAGGACGAAGCTCCGTGCTGACTCTTTCCCTGTAGAAGCGCCCTGTTTACATCTGCCTAAGGTTTTCTCTGTGCTTTTCTTGTTCTCTTTTTTGATATTTCCCTTTTCTTTTTTCTTTCTTTCTGTTTTCCCTCCCTTCTTTCTTTCATTTAGTTATTTAGCTATTTTATTTATTTTTGGTGCCATTCAGTTCATCTTCCCCTATCACGTTCTTGGCATAGATTTTTAGCATTCAGGACAGGAAGAAACTTTTGAGATTAACCCACTGGGGGACCCCTTCATTTTTCTAGAAGAATAAACTGAAGCCTACACATCAATCCAGAAACTGTGTGTTGAGCATCTGCTGTGTCCAGGGCACTCTTCTGGGTACGAGAGATACACCGATCAATAAGACAGGTGTCCATGTGTTCACCAAAGGAGAGTCTGCTCCTTGTCACAAAGTGGTTTAGCTGCAAAGGCGGGAGAGGGTGCCGTGCTCCGGCGTCTCAGCGCAGCGCCCGGTATTGCCTGCGTGCGTCCTCACATGCGGTGCTTGTCTGTGGGGTGTCCCGCACACTCTGGCATTGCAGTGGACTGAAGAGCAACTGATTGATCCAGGGAAGGCCCCTGATCCGTCACATATCTCTTGGAGTAGGGGTTCAGCTGTGGGCTTTCAAGTCATATTTCCTGGGCTTAAATTACAGCTCTGCCCCTTATTGATTACCTATTACTTACTAACTTTGCGACCACCTGCTCTGTACCTGGGCAGATTGTCTATCGCTGTGCAGCAAATTACCTGAAACTTAGTGACTTAAAACGGTCTTGTCTTATCCCGCATTTGTGTGGGTCGGGAATTCAGGCAGGGCCCTGCTGGGCAGCTCTTCGGCCCCCTGTGACGTCAGCTGGGAGTGGTGTTGGCTTGTGCTGGGGCTGGTCTGGAGAGTTTCCTGTGGCTGCGCTGCGTGTCTGGCCCCAGGGAAGGGTGGCTGATAGGCTGCGCTCAGCTGCGCCTTTCCCCGACCTCGTGCTTTCTCTGCACGGGCATCGTACAGCCCTGCTGCCGCCTGGGCCTCCCGGACCTGTGTTCCCAAAGGTGGAAGGCAGGGGCTGCCAGCTCCCAGGGCCCGGGCCCGGGGATGAGCCCAGACCTACGCCCTTCCCCCGCTGTTCTGGTGATTTCGGCGGAGGCGGCTCAGATCCAAGGGCACACGGCAGGTCCCGCTTCCCTTTGGGGGGGGTGTCAAAGAAGCTGTGGCCATCTGCCTTCTGCCAGGCGCTCTGTTGCCCTCATCTAGAAAATGAGGTTGACAGTAGTTCCTATCTTACCGTTATTCTGATAAGTAAGGGAGTTAACATGTAAAAGACTTGGAGTAGTGCCTGGTAGCATATGGGAAACATTTTATAAATATTTGTTACTGTTACTTTTATTACTTAGAGTTGTTATGCATGGGACACATAAGAAACGTAAACTACCAATTCTTTTTCTAGAGGTTTTTTTTTTTTTTTTTATAAGGGATTTACAGGATTAACATCATGAAGCAATTAGAGAATAACACTAAATAATATAGATTAGTTATACTTTTTATTGTCAAAGGAAACTATGGAATGATTCATAACTTCGCATATCATCATAACTCTAAGGGTCATTCCAAAGAATTTTCCCCTTTATCACTTTACATACCTAGAAAATGTTTAATGCAGATTTAGAACATTTGCTGCATTTTACCACTTAAGTCTGTGGAGGAAGGTTTTGTGTTGTGTTTTCCAGCATTACTTTTCTCATGGGAGAGAGCACAGACTCTCAGGGGAGTCTAAGAGCACAGACAGCAGGGTTTAGGATCCAGGATTTATTTAATCCTGGCTTTGGAATATAAGTTTTATGATCATGGGCAAGCTGCTTAAACTCCCCATTTCTCCTTTGTTTTTTTATTTTAAGATTTTATTTCTTTGTTTCTAGAGAGAGGGAAAGGGCAGGAGAAAGAGAGACACATCAATGTGTGAAAGAAATTTTGACTGGTTACCTCGCGCACGTCTCCATCTGGGGACCTGGCCTGCAACTCAGGTGGGTGCGCTGACAGGGAATCGGACTGGTGGCCTTCCGGCCCAGAGGCCGGCGCCCAGTCCACTGGGCCACACCAGCCAGTAAGCTCCCCAATTCTTAATTGCCTTGTAAAATGGTGATAGGAAGGTTCTTGTGGCATTATAACGTGTATAACCCACTTAGCACAGTGCCCAGCCTGTAGTGCGCAGTCTGTGAATGATAGCTGGCGATAATAACCAAGAAGCCCTTTCTTTTCAGGCAGCCCAGGAGGGAGGGGCAGGGAACTGATTGCTCGGGCATTTGACTGTTTAGTCCCCGCGAGGATTCAGCTCTGGGGACAGTGCCCCACCGCCTGACCGAGTGCTGCCCTCTCTGAGTTCTCGTTTCGGGTGATATTATGAACTCCTGGTGCTGTGATCTTTCTCTTTATAGGTGATGTTACCTCGAATCCCACCCTGATCTCGGACCAGGAGATCACGCCATTACCCCAAACCCCGCACACCCGGAACTAAGCTTTCCGTACAGAAACGAGTGGCGCTGACAGTGAGGTGGCTGGGGATAAGTTTTGGAGATTCTTCGTGGAGGAGTCATACAGTTAGAGATGTTCTGCAGAAAGTTGGACATTTGGAACTGGTGTTTGAAGCTAAAGTTTCAAATTTAGGACTTGTCTGCTTAGAACAGATGGCAGGAACAGTTGTGATTGTCAAGGGAAAGAGACGAGAGCTCAGGTGCGGGGTGTTAAGGACATTAACCGCGGGGCGTCTTGCGGAGGGAGAAGCACAGTGGGTCAGGGCCGCGGGCAGAGGAGCAGAGGTGAGCTCGGGGCGGAGGGCTCCCAAGGCGGAGGCAGGCAGGCTGCGCTCGTGCACGTCGCTGCAAAGCCGAAGCGGACGCTGCGGAGGACAGAGCGTGGCGGGCAAGCCTGCCTCGCCCAGCGCGGACGGCAGCGAGGGTGCAAGGCCAGAGGAAGGGTCCTCAGCAAAGCAGTGTGTGGGGGTTGCTATTTTGAAAGTGTGTGAGAGGCTTCCTGACCGGTGTGGCTCAGGTGGGTGGGCGTTGTACCGCACACCGAAGGGCTGCTGGTTCGATTCCCAGTCAGGGCACGTGCCTGGGTTGCAGGTTCGGTCCCCAGTGAGGGCGCATACAGAAGGCAACCAATCAATGTTTCTCTCTCACATCCATGTTTCTTTCCCTCTCTCTCTTCCCCTCCCTTCCTCCCTCTATTAAAAATACACTGTATGAGAGCCTGAGGTGACTAGACGTACCTAGTAGGAGAGCTTTGTAGTCCTGGTTTGTTTTGTTTCCACACGGCGTGATCTGGGTATGTTTGTAAGAACTGGTGAACCAGTGCAGGACAGAGCGAAGCAAGGAGAAGGCTGAGGAGGGGGTGACGCGAAGCCCTGGCGGAGGCGGGAGGGGGTGGGGCCAAGGGGAGGGGGAAGGTTGCTTTGGAAAGAAGGAGGCGCACCTCACCCCCTGAAGCTGAAGGGCTTGAGGGAGGGGAGGCGGGACTATAGAACTGAGAAAAGAAATTAGAGACACTCAGGTTATGTCAAGTTACCCATCACCTCAGCCTTCTTAGTGAAGTCGGGGTCCCAGGCATTTCTGTGAATGTCGGAGACAGGCGGGGTGAGAATGAAGAGAATGCAGAGGACTTAGGAACGCTCTTCTGGGGAACGCAGAGGGGATCAAAGAGACATGGATGGAAGCGTCGCGGCCGTCCCTCGCTGTCAGCAGCGGCTGCCAGCATGAATTTTCGTGGCCGAGTGTCTGCTTTGTGCCAGGCAAAGAGGAGTAAGATGTACTCTCAGAGCCCACGGCAGAGTTGGAGACACAAGTGACAGAACATAGTGACAAGCGACCTTACGGAAGTGCGTTCGGGGTGCTGTGAGATCCCAGGGAAGTGTCCAGAGTCAGACTCGAGGAGGAGCAGTGGGGGAGAGGGGATAGGTTATGAAAGGCAGAAAAGGCTTCCCGGAGTCGGTGGCAGCCCAGCTGAGCCCTCGTGGGGGAGGTGGGAGAGTCAGAAGTAAACAGAGTTCTCCCAGGACAGGGATTACCAGAACCAGAGCCTTTTGGGAGAGAGAGCAAGGCAGAGGTCCCAGGCCACCTGCCCCCGATCCCCCGGCGCTTACGGTGCTAATGCCTGCGCCCCAGGCTACACCAGACCGGAACCCTGGGGCAGTGTCCGGGAGTCCGCCTTCTTTAACAGGCTCCCCGGGCGTCCCTTTCAGACAACATTTGTGAGTACTTTCACCTGCCAGTTGCTATTCTGAATGGTCACATGGGTTCTCACACTTATCTCAGTAACCTGTGAGGTGGGATGAGGAAAGCTGGACGCGGAGAAGCCATTTGCGCAGAGTCGCAGGGCAAGCGAGAGTGGGCTGGGCCCCAGCGCTGGCCAGGACCACGGCCTGTTGCTTTTGGCTGGCACGTCTGGGAGTCACAGGCGGTAAGGCAATAATAGTAAAAAGAAAGAGAAAAGGGGCCATGTTGAAAAGCTTCGATTTTGACCCCTTGGTTTAGTGACTGTTTCCAGTAATGCTTTTGCGCTGAGAATGAAAGCAGATAAAGCAGGTAGTGACTTTTTAGGTTTTTAGTGTATCAGACACACTGCCATGTCAGCCTCCACAGTTTACCCCAACCTGACTTCGTTTCTCCCCGCTGCAGGCACACCTCGGAGCTATTGTGGGTTCGGTTCCAGGCCCCCGCAATAAAGTGAGTATCACAACAAAGTGAGTAGTCTTTTTGCTGGTGAAGAGGGCCTTGCCTTCAAGTTGTAGAAAATGCAGCGTCTGTGGAGTACAAGATAGTGACGCCCGATGAAACAAGGTACGCCCGTATTCCTCTTCCGGAAGTCATCTCTTACTAGACTGCGCCCCTGGACACACAGCCCATGCCTTAACTCGTCTGTATTCACGTGTCGTCAGGTGCCCCGTGCAGACTGTTTTGTGTAGTTGGGTGTCATGTACTTGTGTGTGTGTTCGCTTCCCCATAATTGAAGCTTGACGAGGGTGGGGAGTCGGCGTGCTTCATTCATTGCTGTAGCCCTAGAACCTGGCACAAGTAGTCAGTCAGTAAATAGACGGTGAATGTGACACTTTCTGCATCCACACGATGACTCCCCATTTCACTCAGAGGCAGAGACAGGGCTCTTAAAAGCCGCGCCAGGCCCTACACGGCCCTCTTCGCTCCCTCGTCCCTCTCTACCTCCACGCTGCGGGCTCTCCCCAACTTCCAACGCAGTGCCCCTTATACAAGTGCTCAGGAAATACTGATTTGACCTTTTCCAGTTGGCTTTTATCTACCCTTAGAAGCGTTTATATATGGGACCGTTTAAGCATAAATTAAATTAAGTTAAAGGTTCAGTTCCTAGGTCATACTAGCCACATTTCAAGCGCTCAGTGGCCACATGTGGCTAACAGCGCGGGTAGGGGACGTTTTCATCATTGTAGGCGGTTCTTTTGAACACCACTGGTCAAGATGCTTAAGAAACTGTGTTTTTTGTTTGCTTGTTTGTTTTTAAACTGCTGCGCCAGGGAACCCTGGCAGCGAACCACAGGTCCGCCCCTGGGTCCCGGTGCCCTTTCGGCCCCGCCTTGTCATCGGGACCACTGTTCTGTCTCGCCCTTTCCTGCAGGTCTCCTGCACCCGAGCATGGACCCGGTGGCGGCACACGGCTGCCACCTGCTGCAGCAGCTGCACGAGCAGCGCATCCAGGGCCTGCTCTGCGACTGCACGCTGGTGGTGCGGGGCGTCTGCTTCAAAGCGCACAAGAACGTCCTGGCCGCCTTCAGCCAGCGCTTCAGGTGCGGCCGCGGCCTCCGAGCTCCGCGCCGCGCACCGAGGGCCGCGTGGAGCGGGGGAGTGCTGTCTCTCCGCTTTGTTGGCTCCTTGGATTTCACTCTACTTTTCTTTTGTAGTGCATCGTGGGGTTTTCTTAATTGAATTTATTGGGGGGGACACTGATTAATAAAATGACACAGGTTGCAGGTGTACAGTTCCATAATACGTAATCCGTATATTGTATTGTGTGTTCACCATACAACATTGTGGGTTCTTTGCTTTTGTATTTACAGTAACCTGAGAGCAAAAGAGCCTTTGAATGAAAATACATGTATTTGGGGTGATTGAAAGCATTTTGGTACTTTAATTTTAATCATCCTAATTAATGTCAGTCTTTTATGTATACTTTTTATCCTTTTAGGATAAGAAGGTTGAGAAATAAAATTTCTGGTAAAAACATTTCTCTGATAAGGAATCAGAGAAGAGAAACAGCCTTTATGCTGGGTTTGTTTGTGTTTTAATTAAAACATTTTACTTTTGTTTCTCATTTGACTATCTAAGAAAACAGGTTTGGGGGGGGGGGGGGGGGGGGGGGGGTTTTTTTTTTTTTTTTTTTTTTTTCTTTTCCTTCCCCTTCTTTTTTTTTTTTTTTTTTTTTTTTTTTTTTTTTTTTTTTTTTTTTTTTTTTTTTTTTTTTTTTTTTTTTTTTTTTTTTTTGAAAACTCAGTTCACTTTCCCCTGTAATCACTTTTGCCTTAGATGAAAGATTTACTCGTAAATTGTAACATCAAGCAACAGGGTTTCGTTTATGTTTAACATTAGAGTTACGTGTCCTCCGTACACGTGCTCATGACCTGGGTTTGGCCCTGTAAGCAGCGAGGCTTTTTTTCCAGTACCTTTTGTTCCTAGCACGCACCCGCCCTGCCAACAGCTCATGGAACAGGGGTTCGCCTTTCCTGAGGAACCCCGGACCGGCAGGGCTCACCTCGGCCGCCGTAGGCGCTGTGCGTGCATGTTGCATTGCGGTAGGCAGCGCACGTTGTCCTTCTGCAGAACGGCCCGGGTTCAGGCTCTGCCTTTTCTTCTGTCTTCCCCAGGCAGCGGGGTTTAGATGTTGTGATACATTGACTGGTATTTTTCCCACCCCGCTTCTAATTTGGACTTTCTTTAAGAAAAACAAGCTGGGGGAAGCAGGTGACTGCATCTGATAAAATGTCTTCAACAACGTTGCCAGACAATTTACCTGACTCAGCTTGGTGTTTCACACAACACCGATTCTGTCACTGGCGGGTTTGCCTTGTGCCCAGAGTAGAGCGTGGGCTTTATGGGCGTGTGCCTTTCCCCGCATCAGCTCCTGGGGCTTTTCTCACTGTGGATTTACAGACCACTGGGGTGGCTCAAAAACAACCTCTGACAGCTAGATAAGTTACCGCGGACAAAGTAAGTATGTGTCAGGGCTCTAGAGCAGTCACCTTCCTAGAGACAGAAGGTACCATGGCGGCTGCCAGGGGCGGGGTAGGGGGAGAGGAGGAGTGAGCGTCTGATGGGGGTGGGGACTCTGGGATGATGGGAAGTTTCCAGACATGGATAGAGGTGATGGTTGCACATGTACTTAGTTGTTTAATTGAACATTATGAATATATTGTCACAAGTAAAATTTGAGATTAAAAAATGAGTGTATATCAAGGGTTGGTTCATTATAGCCATTTTTATTTTTAGACTTTTTAAGGCACTTAGATGGGGAAATAATTTTACATGTGTTTTATGGCCTAAAATACATGATTTGTCAGACTAAACATGAAATAGTTAAAAATGTGTGTCCTTTAGTTTTCCCTACTCTATGGGTAATTAATAATACGTACGGGTAATCACATTTGACAAAAAGAGCCATGAGTATGTTGCAAAATTTTACTTTGATATCTACTTGGATATCTGCTTTGGTCTTCTTTGATATCTACTTTGGATCTTTGACACACTAATTTCATTTATCTGAATTACTTTATTGGATGCCTTGCCAAATTTTTTAAAAGGTTAAAGCATACTTAATTTTAAAATCATGGCCTTTATAAAAGGCTAGTAATTGTGGATATTAACATGAGTGTTGTTTATAAGAAAAAGTTATCAGCATGTATGAATTGTTATCAGTGTAAACAGATGTCCTTTCTTTTATCAGGAGCCTCTTCCAGAATTCTTCAGGCCAGAAGAATGATGTTTTTCACTTGGATATTAAAAACGTAAGCGGCATTGGGCAGATCCTGGACTTCATGTACACGTCTCATCTAGAGCTTAACCAGGACAATGTACAGGTGATGCTGGACATAGCGCAGTGTTTGCAAGTTCAAAACGTTCTGAATCTGTGTCACACGTTTTTAAAATCAGCCACTGCGGAACAGCCCCCGGGCCTGCCGTGCAGCAGTGCATTCTCCCTGCAGAGCGCCCCGACTCCGGACGCCAGCTGTGTTGTCAGTGAAAGCTACTCCCCTCACGTCCTGCCAGAGTGCGTGGCGGATGCCCAGCACAGTAAGGCCTCGGGCGCGCCGCACTCGCGGGCTGCACCGTCCATTCCCCCTCACCGCCCCGCCGGTGAGACGTCGAAACAAGCCCCCGAGACCTTAGACAGCGGCTGCGCAGAACTGCCGTTCAAACAGCCAAATTACTACTACAAGCTCAGAAACTTGTACAGTAAGCAGTACTACAAACAAGCCACTTGTCCCAGTCACGAGAGAATAGTCGAGCAGCCTTTCGCCGTCGGCCCGTCCACAGACCTGACAGCTGCGGAAAGCCAGCCTTGTGTGGCCGGTCATTCCGAATGCGCCCTGCCGGCCGCGGAGCGCTTACCTCCCAACCTCCTGGCCCAGCCTCTGAGCGAGCCTGCCCCAGACCCCGAGTCGGACGACACGTGCCAGCAACCTACCAAACAGATGAGGCTCAAAAAGGCCATTCACCTGAAGAAGCTCAATTTCCTGAAGTCACAGAAATGTGCAGAGCAAACTTCTGCACCTAAGTCGGATGAGGGCTTAACAAAGAGGATGGACTCTGCTAGTGAAAACAGCGCAGAGAAAGCCAGCAGTCGAAGTGCCGAAGACAAAGGCAGGGAAGAGCCGGTCGGTTCTGGGGATTTTAATTGTGTTAATGACACGGAGAGGCCTGAGGAGCTTGTGGCACTAGAAGACCAGTCCCAGATGCTGCAGTCCCAGAGACAGTACGCATGCGAATTGTGTGGAAAGCCTTTTAAACACCCGAGCAATCTGGAGCTTCACAAGCGGTCTCATACAGGTACACTGATTCAGTACCCGCAGGCGGAAGGGAAGGAAATGGTGCAGGCGACCACACGCCATGGCCTGCCCCTCTTTTTTGTAAGAAGTTTTGTTATTGCTTGATGATGCCATTGACATTTGCCCAAAAGGAAAAAAAAAAAAAAAAGCATTAGCTACTTTTTCATTTCTATTTTTGGTGCTGCCTCTTAAGGAATAATTTTAAAGTTCAATAGATGGTTTTATAAGAACCAGTTTTAAAAGATGTCATGCTTTTCATTTTTATTTTAATTACATTACTTTTTAAAAGATTTTATTTATTTATTTTAGAGAAAGGGGAATGGGAAAAAGTTCAGGAAGGGAGGGAGAAAGAGGGAGAGAAACAGCGATCGGTTGCCTGTCGTGGTTGCCTCTCACATGTGCCCCGACTGGGGACCAAACCTGCAGGTCCGGCACGTGCCCTGACCAGGAGTCGGACCAGCGACCTTTGCGGGACGCCACCCGACCAGCCGAGCCGCACCAGTCAGGGCTAATTGTGTTCATATGATAAACTTTCCATCTCTAAAGAAGTATAGTAAATTATTTTGATGCATTGAAAATTTCAAGTTGTAAAACAGATAAGCTATGGTTAGTTGTCTCTAGAATTCAGTTAAGTTTATTCCTTTACTTTAAGTTTATTCTTTAAAAAGATACTATAGATTAATTCAGACTAAAATAGTTTGAGTAATTCTAAAAGTTCTCTGGAAAGTAAATTGAATATCAGATTTTAAAAAGTGTGATTTTTGGGAGGTAAACTTTTTAATAAGGATCAGCTTTTAACCATTTGATATTTTCAAATGAAAGTTCTTCCATTTTGAACTTTGAGTTTTCAGTTTTATTTCCTTAATTCATACCTCCTCCCCTTTCCAAAAATATTTATTTTTTTCCTAAAAGCTTTCTAAAAAGTGTTATGCAGCATGTATATATTACATTATACAATATGTATAACTTTTCTCCCTACACTTAAACATGATGACTAATACATATTACAAATGAAAGACAGTCTTGTAGGCATGAGAAGTAATAGGCTGCAAGATGCTTCCAAAATAACTGCTTTTAAGGTGCTTGTGTAATCGCAGTTATTGACGTGACATTGTGTTACCGCTGTGGTTGCTGGCGGCCTCGGTGTCCACTACGTCCGTGCATTGCTGAGAGACTTAATCAGCATTCATGAAAGCCCTTCATAGTGTGTTTGAGTATAAAGTGCCGCCATTATTAGTGCTGGTAGTTCACAAGCACACGCCATATGAAGGCAGTATCACTGACTCAATTTTGCCCTGGAAAAAACTTAATTTAGGTCATTCTGTTTGCTTAAATTTCCTAGAACCTAACGACCACTATACTTTTTGTTTGAGAGGCTCTTTTAGTTTGGAAGGAAATAAAAATTAAGTTATTTATTGTGTGAGAACATCTCGTGAGCAACAGTAGCCACACATCACAGCGAAGGTACTCCCTTGGACATAAGGCCTCCGTTGCGAGGGCAGCAGCCCGGGGGTGAGGGTCTCGGACCCCCTCCCAGGACTCGGTGAGGCCAGAGCTGCCCCCACCCCAGTGGAGGGCGCTGCCCGCCTTTTCCCCCTCCTCCCACGCGGGGTCAGCGGGGTCGGCGCAGGCTGCTGTCGCTCTGGTGGCCCAGGAGACGTCCGGTCGTGCGTGTTCACCGCTGCCCCCCTCCCCTTCCAGGGTGGACCACGCTGACAGATGCAGCCCGCACAGGCCAGGGCTCCTCAGGGTCCTCCCCGTGCGAAGGAGCAGAACGCGTGACAACCCTGGAGTGGGGTGATTCCTTCTGGTCACGTAGGAGTCTTAGTGGTCGGTGGCCTCATTTTTCAAACTCCCAGATCTCATAATGGGGGCTTTAACTTAGTGTCATCTGTTATCCCCATTTTTTCAGACATAAACGTTGCCCCAAATTAATATGATTATAGTTCATCAGAGTCAAAATCTTTGTGCCCACCCCATCCTTGACAAAGCCATTAAACTGTTTCAGGAGAAAAATCAAAGTTGGCCAAGATATGTGTGTGTGTGTTTGTTTTCCTACGATGGCTCTAGCAGTGCTTAGTTGTCTTTAACTTCATTTGAAACAATTTCATTAGATTGTGTTGTGACAGCTGTCATATCAGCGTGCATTTAACAGAAACCTATCAAATTGGTGAATTTTTGTGTAGCCATTTTAATATTGAAGAGGGAAGAAAATACACTTTTTTGTCATATTATGCTTTATTATTTCAAGAAAGGTAAAAAAGCCACTGAAATGCAAAAAAAGTGATTTCTTCAGTGTATGGAGAAGATGCTGGGACTGATCAAATGCATTAAAAGTGGTTTGCGAAGTTTTTTGGTACTATGAACATTTTGGCCAAATAATTCTTTGCTGTGGGGCTGTCCTATGCACCGGGCAACGTTTAGCAACACCCCAGCCTCTGCCCGCCAGAAGCCAATAGCGGGAGATGGCCGACTCATCCAAAATGAAGTTATTGGTGAAAATGAAAAATGTGTCTTTTACCAAAAAAAATGCAATGGACTTTTTGGCCAACCCAATAAAAGTATCTTGGGAGGAGCCCAGAAATTTGCAAGCCCCAGCAATGCAGAAGGAAGGCGTAGGTGGTTATTGTTTAAAGAGAATCTTAATGAAGCCACTTGTCTGAGGGGAAAGGGGAAGTGGAAGGCTCTTGGTCCTCCAAGTGTATTTACTAGAGTTAGCCAGCTTGAAGGCGGTACCTTGAAGTATACTTTTAAACCGATCATTTTCTAGAGACTGTATTCAGAACTGTTGTGATTTCTTTGTAGTAGAGTTCCCATCCTCTACAATCTATTCTATATGAAAAGGCAGTTACTCAGAGTTACTGACAGCAGAGGTGGCTCCCACAGTGTTATCTCATCTCCCCCGTTAGCGGGTTCAGCCCAGGCTAAAAGGCAGGGGGCTGGGGCTTTTCCTTGTCCCTCTGGCAGGAGGTCCCTCTCTGTGGGGCTGTCCCGTGCCCACACCGCACGTGGTGAGAGCGAGGCCCTGGCTCTGTGAGGAATCGGTGGTCACGTGCGGGAGTCAGGCTGGAGGGCCCTGTCCTCCAGCCCGAAAGCTCACATTTGATTTTCAGCTGAAGGGAAAGACTCTCCAAAACCTAGGCAGGGTTTGAATGGCAAATAAGTAAGTTTGCCTTCCACAGAAGTCAAATACAGGTTTATATTTGGAGAACAATCTGATGTTGTAGCGATCAGTAGTCGTGGATTTCACTCTGTCATCTCTGCTCACTACCATCTAAGGACGAGAGACCAGGAGGAGGGTGCGGAGACGCGGTTTTCCCACTGATGGGGAGTCTCTACTTTGTAACCTCGGCTGTGAATGGCGGCCCAGGTGAAACACTGTATGCAAAACTACTGTGCAAATGCCATGACTGATTTTACAAGTTATTGTTCTGTTTTGTTTTAGGTGAGAAACCTTTTGAATGTAACATTTGTGGGAAACATTTCTCTCAGGTGGGAATACTTTTATTTATTGTTAATAATTGGAAACCTGTGAAACCCAGTGTTAATGTTAATTACAAACAAGACATACTTTGGGGATTGTAAGAGAAGCCTCTGAGGCTATCTGTACCTTTAAGGACTTTAGACTGTATCAAGAGAAAATGATTTTAAGAAAACAAATTTCTGGGGGAAATTAGTTCACTGCGGGGGAAAGAGCGTTTTTTGTGCGTGTGAGAGCTCTCACAGCTGCCGCCCACCCCGCCCCACAGCGGCTCCGGTCCCGGCGTGCTCTCTCGTGCGTAAAATAGACCGTGTTGGGCTCATTTCTGGAGGCTGCAAATTATGCTGGGCTACATTAAGACAAATGTCTTCTTCTTCTTCTTGGGACTGTAGATGTTGGCATTTTGGAAACAGACCAAACAATTCTCATTCCCTGCTTTTGCCACCTTTAGCCAACCTCTGTGGAGACAACATGCGTTGATTCTCTCATTCAGCCAACGTTTGGCGTGTCCTCCGGTGGGCTTTGCGCTGAGCTGGGCATTAGACCTCAAGGAGCCGGGAGATGTAATGTTGTAGAGAAAATTTTGCATCAGGCTTGTGGGAACCTCTTTTCCTTCTGAGTCAGAAGGAAACTGTCCATCGCCCCACACGGGGCCCCAGCGTCCGTGTCCAGAGGTGGCCGAGGCAGAGGCCGCGGGCGGGCCCAGGCGCGCAGTCCTGCCGGGGCCCGGTCACCGCACCGCTGTTTGGACACGCGGTGTGGTGAACCCTGTAGCAGCAGCGCCTGCGGGGCTGTTTCACGGGGGGAAGGATTTCGGGCGGGGCCTGGATCGGGAGTAGAGACGGCCCGTCTGGGGAGAGCGGGGAGGGAGGCCCTGCCGCGCCGAGGAAACAGCCAGGGCAGCGCCGTCTCCTCCGCGCCCCCACGCGCCCGGGCCTGCAGCCCTGATGGCTTCCACTCTGCCTGTGCCCTGCGCGCGGCGATTCAGCAAGTTCCTTCATCTCCCTTCGGGTTATTGGTCGGAGCGGGGCCACGTCTCTGTGTCATCCAGGAGCGTGCCGAGCGCCCACGAAGCGTGTGGTGTCCGGTGCCTGGACCAAGCGATCGTTCCTCTGGTTGCCTTTCTAGCCAGGGCTCCGGAGCCAGACGGTCCGCATCCGAATCCCGCCAGTGGCTTACTGCTCTGCGACCTCGGGCGAGCTACCCAACCTCTTGGCACTTCAGTTTCCTCACCTGTAAAACCAGGACGGACCCCGATAGTGCGTGAGGAGTGAATGCGTTGATAAGATTAAGTGCTTAGAACTTGGCACGTACTCAGGACGCGGGAAACAGCATTTGCTGTCCTGCTGCCGGCACCTCCTTTCCCTTCTGTTCAGCCCTCGCTGCTTTGGCAGCCCCCCGCCGCCCTGTCCCCCCACACACCGTTTCCATCTCACAGCTTCGGTGTCGTGGGAAAGCTAAGACCGGGCGAATGACCAGTAATTCTTAGCCATCACAGCTTCTTTGGGCCTCATTTAAATAATTCTTAAAATGAGGATAATACAATGGCAGGGGAATATGATTAGGATTAAATGAAAATACGAACTAGAAAACCCTGTATTCATTTATGTTAATTTAATATTAAGTTAAATTATAATTTTAGTTCTGCCTCCTTCCTTGGACCCCTTCCACGACACTTCATTGCGAACCAAGTAGGTCATGAAAGCAGACCTCCAGGCACCTCGCGGTCTGCCTTCAGCCTCCTCCCCCGCCCCATGCGGGCCGCCCTCAGACGCTCTGACTCCGCTCCCTCGGGGCGGCGTCTGCTGCGGGCATGGATTTAATTCAGCAGCTCCGATGTGCAGCTAAGGTGGAGGACCACGTCAGACCTCGCCTGCCTTTCCCTCTCGAGTCCTTCCCCGGGCAGCCCTGTCTGGTGGACACTACAGAAGTCCCCCTTTTCTCTCCCGGTGTCTATAGTTTTGTCAGATTTTTATGAATGCAGAGTTACATATAGTTACAGTTTTCAGGTGTATAGTTTTATTTCATAGTGAAATGATGAAGTTTTTGTGAACCAAGACTCTGTAAAAACTTCATTCCGTACGTGTTTGTTGCAAGCCTCCAGTGAGTGCCCTGGGAGCTCTGCAGGGGACAGAGATGAGGGAAAGATGAGCCCAGCATAGAGGGAGAAACAGACGTGTAAAGCATACGGCACAACGGCACTTCAGAAGTGCTGAGGCGGGAGTCCCCACAGGGAAGAGTGTGTGGAGGAAAGAGTGGTGCTTTCTCCGTGAACGCCGTGTGTGCGGTGGGGACGTGAGGCGAATAGAGAGCCTGCTTATATAGGGGGCCCTCAGGACGGGGAGACAGTGGGTAAGCCTGAAGGTCCGACCTGGTCGGCCCTCCTGGGGCGGTCCCGCCATCCGCCCGGAGATGCGTAGGAAGGCCCGCCCCCCGCCCGTCCCGGCCTCGCGCCGGCGTTGTTTCTCACACTGAACCCGAATGAATGCCCGTGGTTGCAGTGGATCGGAATGGCCCCGTGCAGCCGGCACAGTGCTTGCTTGGGTAGAAGTGAGTTTGCAATTATTTTCCCTTCTGGAAGATTTGAAAGTCAGATAATAGATTTACCAGCGAGAATTGATCTTTTATGCTGTTTGCTCCATTTAGTATTTAGTAGGGTTAGTTTTTTTAAAAAAGTCAACCACAATCTTAATGAATGAACAAGCAGAATGAGACATGGGCTTTAAGAAGCTACTATAATCCTAGGGTGGGCCACAGAATATACCTGTGTGTTAATAAATTCTGGACACCATCTGCCCAGGTCTCAAGGAGTAAGAGTCCTGCTTTAGAGTAAGAAAGAGCCTCCTGTGTGGAGAGGAAGCTGGACCGTTGGGCACAGCCAGAGAAGAAAACCAAGGTGGTGAAAGTGACAGGCACAGAACACCTGTCTCATGAGAAGTGGGGGAGGAGCCCTGGGGACCTGGCTGGCTGTGCGGGGAGGAGCGAGTGGCTTGTCTCTCCCAGGAAGCAGAAGGGAACTCGGGGCCGCGGTGCTGGGGCGGGTTGTGGAGGCAGCAGGGTCCCTGCGAGGTGGGAGGGACGCGGCCGTCGGTGGGAGGCTGCCTAGATGCGTGGTCCCCAGGCACGGATGTGGCCTCAAGCCAGAGGTGACAAAGTGCATCCCATCCACAGAGAAAACACAGAAATAAGGAGTTTAATGAACTTTCCCCAAGTTACTAAATTTTCGACTCTTGAGGTGATGGTTCCCACACTTCCGGTGTTAAATGTGCTTTTATCAGTGTAATGATTGTTTTTGTTTTGGCAATATTTCTGTGTTAATCACCAGATTTTTCCCCTTTTAATTTTATTACTTTGTGAAACTGAAGTCTTAAAACTGAACCCGGTGACCTGTAAGATCTGAGACCCCTTTTATCTCTAAAATTTTATGATTTCCTGACTTTTTTTGTGTAAACAATCAGCTGCCGTTAGAAAGGCACTCTGGTAGGGAATAAATAACATGCTTGGTTGGTTCATGTTCAAAAACTGATGTTCCAGTACTTATTAGAAAGAGTTCAGAGCATTTTAAAAATCACTCAACAAATCAGATATTCTTTCCTACAGTGGAGTGTTTCTGTTCAAAATTCTGACAACTGCATCCTGATTTAAAACCGTTGTTGCTTAGGAAAAGTACCCCTTCCTGGCTGTTGACCTTCCCTAGCGCAGCTACCCGGCATGGCCCGCAGCCGGGCTGCGCTGCCCGCGGGCGCCCCGCGGTGAGTGTGCGGCCCACGGCGCGAGGCTGGCCCCCCGGGGGCTGCCTGTGCGTAACATGTGAGGGCACCGCTGTGTAAGGGTGTCGCGATGATTGAGCGAGGTGCTGCTGGCGACCGCTCAGCACAGTGCCTCCTTCACAGCAACGTCGTAGGGCCTGACGGCCCCTATTATTTGTGCCACTCGCTAGAGTTTTCCGTAGCGCCAACTGCAGGTGATTTCGAAGGCATGATCTATGAACTTAGCCTATAATTAGAGCAGAGCAAAGTCTACTGTAACTAAAAACACAACTGAAGGTCACACAGTCTGGGCCCCAGCTTGTCATGTAATTTGGTGCATTATTGGACTTTTTTGCCAGAATTTTTTCATTATTTAATCTACTTTTATATCATAGACTAATACGTGCTCATAGATCAGACTAATACGTGCTCCTTTATGTGGGGAAGGACCAGTATTCTCATTATTCATGCCCATTATTAAATAGTTACAGAAACACTTTGTAAAGTATTTTACTATTTCTTATTGTAATATTGAGTGGAAGACTGACCATATTGCCTGGAAAACAAGCAAGGCTTGTGCTTTCCGTAAAAAGGAGAAATGCAGCATCATGAAGAATCGATTCAGAGGCTGAAATCTGGTCTCAAAACACAGTTTGCAACATAACTCGGAACAAGTGATCTGATTTAACAGTTGAGCAGGTGGTGGGGTTTGAATTGTTAGACGACCGATGCGCTTTCCTGGAATTTGGAAGTGGCTGGTCTAAAACAGCCAGTGGCGCGTTACCGTAATTCCGGCCCTTTCCTGATGGCAGCGTGCCTCGTCACGCTGACACGCGGCACGAGCTGGTTTACGCACAGAGACGTGCGCGTCCTCAGGGTCAGACTCACACAAGCCAAAATTATTAACTCCTGGCCCAACCGCGTAACTGGAGCAGCCACTTTGTCTGAGCCTCAGTTTTTCATCTAGAAAATAGAGATGTTGATCCCCGTTACTAAGGGTAAGTCGGTAATGCGGGTAAAGGCCGTAGACCACATACATGTTGCTATTGACGGCTGTTGCTTTATTCTTGTGATTCATAGTTATTTCATTAAAATATTTCCCAATATTTTGCCAAGTTCTTTCTTTTTGGTTACCTAAAATAAACCTGAGGTTTTTTTTGTCTAAACCATATGCAGTGTAAGGCTTGCTTGAGTGTGGTTGGTAGAGTAATAATGTGGGTATAATAATTTATAGTTTTAATTTGAACATTTCACCTAAAATGTCACATGGTGTGCTGGAGCGTGATATTGTCATGTTACATACAGAATTACATGCTTAGGGTGTAATAAAAGATTTTGTAATGAACAGGGGCGTTATTTGCGCTGGACCCGTATGTCACACCCTAAATGGTGGTGTTGAACGCAGTGTTTCCCGGGGTCTGACAGACACAAAGAATCTTCCACGTCGTAACAGAAAAATCCAGACCACACTTTTTATTCCTGTGCATTTCCACCCACACGTGGACTTCAGACCTATCTTCAAACAGAACCATGAACGATGCTTGCATTTTATTTAAAATATAATTTGCAAATTTACAAAGCCAGGTGTTAGTTGGGGATTGCTGGTCATTCTCCCTTTGTGGCTTATTTTGTGCATAATGCCTGTGCGTTGTTACCCTTGGGTGTATTTGCTCAACTCAAGTGTTTTTTTTTAACAGAACACTATAAAAAATCAAGTGGGTGTGACAGCTTGAGACCGTCACCGTACAGCAGGGGACGATTTCGCCTCCAAACCCTAACACGAAGCACGAGCCAGGAGCAGTTTTAGTATCTGAGGCATTTGCAGCCTCAACTTCACTGTAGTGTAGGCAACTTAAGATTGATTTTCTATTGATTAGGACTTGGAAGTCCATTTTGTGACCTCCATTTAAATGAGTTACCCTTTGTAAAGTCCCGCTAGTGTCAGGAATTAGGAACATAAAGTCCCTGCCGCTGAGGACTCTTGTGACTCTCCTGCTACGCGTTTTTGCACACAGAGCAAAATCGCAAACCAAAGTGTCAGGCAGAACAGCTGTACTGCAGAGGGAATACTGTCAGAAATGTCTTGTCTTTATGAACAAAAGCATGTTTTTAGGGAGAAACAATTAATTTGAAATAGCCATGTGCAAGTGCTACTTTTTTCCCAAGTGATACTTGCATGTAGATGGCCCAACTTTAAAAATACATGAAGTAATACATCAGGGTCTGTTTAAAACACAAGCTCAGCGACCTCCACATTTAAGAAAGAAGCAGCACAGGGCAGGCCTGTGGTGGGGCCGGGCTCCCGTGCAGCCTCGGCCCGGCCCAGGAGGCGCGGCCCGCCAGGCCCACAGACGCTGGTCCTTCCTCCTGCACGTGGCTCCTCCTGGGTTGTGCGTGACTAGTCTTCCTCTGGAAGTCGGACGGGACCCTGGCCGGATCTGTCAGTTTTCCCTTTGAATGTATATAACTTTTTTATAAGCCCTTTCATTATCCGTATGCTCTTCTTCTCCTTTTTTGCAGGCAGGTAACTTGCAGACTCACTTACGCCGGCATTCCGGGGAAAAACCGTACATCTGCGAAGTCTGCGGCAAGAGGTCAGTGCGGGCCGGCCCCTCACCCGTGGGGAGCCTCTGGGCCGGGTCCCTGGAGAGCAGCGCGCTCTGACCGCTGGTGCGCGAGCCCCCGGCGGTGCCCCGCCCGCCCTCCGCAGAGCCTGCGGGCGACCCATGAGAGTAACAGGGAAAGGTGTGAATTCGAAGAAAGAATCTAGGGCATTTTACATGAAACAATTGTTTTATACTAAAATTTCCATTTGTTCTAACAATGGCTAAGAACATAGACAAACGCCCCACGCAGGTGAGTGTCCAGCGTGGAGTGTGAGACTTGCAGCCTGAGTGCCCAGGCGGCAGGACAGGGTGGCGGGAAGAGCCCCGCTGTGGGCCCCGTGGGGTTCCGCCTCGGGACGCGAGCGGGGGCTCGCCCGTGCTGTGGACCGGGCCGGCGGAGCCAGCCCTCCCTCCCCCTCCCCGGGCCATTTACGGGAGGCCACGTGCTCTTGCCTAACGGTCACGTGGACACAGCAGGCGTCGGCCAGGGCTGTACTGGTCATGGGCCCTACAGTCATTGAACCACGCGTTCCTTCAGCTTTCGTGAGCCGCCTGCTGCTGGGTGTCAGTGCTGGGATAGGAACGTACAAATAAACAGTACCAGTTCTCTGCCCCTGACAAGTTCATCCTCGGGTCTGGGAGGGAGGGACGCCCACGGGGACGGGTCCGAGTCCCCTGGAGCAGGACGCTGTGCTCCCTGCGGGAACGCCGGGCGCAGGGGCTGCTCCTGACCTGGTCCCAGGAAAGCAGTCGTCGCTGCGGTGGGTAGAAAACAAAGGCCTCACACCCTTCCGCTGGCACAGCCCGGTGCTCCTTGCTCCTCTGTCAGGTGTGGCGGAAGGGGAGGGGCCTGGCTCTCCACGCCCAGGAGCTGCTGCGAGCCGGTGGCGGCCTCTCAGAGGGAGGAAGGTGAATGCAACTAGGTAGAAAAAAATGTCAGCAGTGTTTTCTACTTGCCTTTAAAAAGAAGGAGACAGTAAAGATTTTTTCAACACACACTCCAGGTGAAACGGGGCCGTTCCCTGCTCCCGCTCGGCGGCCCCCAGCTGTGAAGACGGGCGGACCGTGGAAAGGCTCTAAACTGCGTCTCCAAATTGCGTTGCAGGTTTGCAGCCTCTGGTGACGTCCAGCGTCACATTATTATTCACTCGGGGGAGAAGCCGCACTTGTGTGACATCTGTGGCCGAGGTATGGCTGCGTGCTTTCCCTTTCCTTTGAGGATCGCGGGTTGAAATGTTCCCGGCCCTTCACCTGAACACCTGCTTCGGCCTCCCCAGGGTTTAGCAACTTCAGCAACCTGAAGGAGCATAAGAAGACACACACGGCCGACAAGGTGTTCACTTGTGACGAGTGCGGGAAGTCTTTCAACATGCAGAGGAAGTTGGTAAAGCACCGGATCCGGCACACGGGGGAGCGGCCCTACAGCTGTTCGGCCTGTGGTGAGCGTCAGACGGTCGCAGACCAGGCGGTTCCTGGTCCTCCCCGGTGTGGGGAGGCTGCCAGTCTCCCTTCCGCTCCGCTCTTGGCTGTGTTGGTGTCTCGGATAAGTCATCCCTTTTTCGTGGGTAAAATGGCAGCCACACTGTTTCTCTAGCAGCTCACACGGTCTTCCTCATTCACTTCTGGGTTCATGTATCAGACGTTTGCTGAGTGTCTTTGGGGTGTCCAGAATGATGGTAAGATGCCCCAGGTTCCAGGGTGACTGAGACAGAGTCCCAAGGAGGGGCTTCCGGCCCCGGTCCGTGGGGCGCAGACCGCGGGAGGCGCGGGAGAGCGTGGCGGGCGGCAGCAGGGTGCGGGGTGGCCAGCGCGTCCGCCCTCTGAGTACCGGAGCTCGCGCTGGGGTCGGGAGGGAGGGCTTCGTGGGGTCCTGCGCTATGAAGCCAGGGTCACTGCCACGGGCATTTGGCACATCAGTGAAGTCGCCGAGGAAGGAGAGGGAAGGCTGCCGGCCCTCGTTGCTGAGGCACTGATTGTGCGGACCCGGAGACGGGGACCCCGACCCGAGTCGCCTGGCGCCTGTGATCGCAGCGCGTTCCAGCCTCTGACGAACTGGAGCTGTGTGTGCGTGTGTGTGCGTGTGTGTGCGCATACCTGTGACAGGAAGTAGTTGACAGTGTGAATGGAACAAGTGGGGGAGACGCCCCGAGCCCAGCTGTGGGAAGCTCATTCATTCTAACTGTAACTGGAATCTAAAGTAGGGCAGGACCTCAGATGCAACCGGAAGACCACTTTGTTTTTAATTCCACTTCAGTGACATGCAGATCTCCTGGGTACAGATTTAGGCAGCTCCCTGACTATTCTGATCACTGTTGGAAAGCAGAGTCATGTCGCTCTCTGTCACGAATGCAGCCTCTAATCCCCGATGACAGAGTCGGTTCCGAACCGTTCCTACCGCCATCCACTTGACTTAAGGCCCCTTTTCCCCTCGCTGCCCGGCAGGGACCCGCTGCTGGCTGAGCCCCTGCAGGAGGGAGCAAAGCAGGGCCTCTTCCCGCCGCGCCCCGCGGGGGGAGGGGAGCGAGGGTGTTCTTGAGCGGCAGGTCCAAACGCTAGGCACAGCTTTAGTGAAGTAAAAGCCCGGTGCCCTAAAATCCCCCCGTGTCAAGTGAGCGTTCAGAGGTTTTGTTCGCGTCGCGGAGCTGGGCAGTCTCCACCGCAGACTGTAGACCGTCTCACAGCTCCAGAGAAACTCCGCCCGTTCGCTGTCCCTCCCCAGTCTCACCCCCAGCCGTAGGCGACCGTCTGTCTCGTTCTGTCTCTGGGGATGTGCCGGTTCCAGACATTTCATGGGAAGGGAATCACACTGGGGGTTTGTAGCTGACGTCCTTCACTTAGCAAATCTGCTGTGAACACTCCTGTACAAGCTTCTGTGTGGGCATGTTTTCACCTCCTTAAATTCAAAAGACACCTTCTGTTTTAGGATGGCTTCACATTCTGGGCTCTGCATGTTTACAGCCTTTCTCTCCTCCCCCCGCCCCCCGCTCCCCAGTGCTGTGCTGCACTTTCTAAGATGTGGGCATCTGTTTTCCTCCACCCCTCGGTGTTGTCGCAGGTTCGTCTGAGACCCTGTTTGTTGGGGTCTCGGTGGCCCCTCTGGGCGGTCCTCTGACGCTGGATGTGAAGGGGCTCCAGGTCCATTCTCTTGCCACCACGTCCCCGGTCCCGGCAGAAACACTCCCGTCTGTGCTCCGGGGACTGCGGGCCCACACGTGGGCATTGACGTCTAGTTTGTTCAAAGGCTGGGTTTTTTAAAGAATTTATTTATTTATTTTTAGAGAGAAGGGAAGGGAGGGAGAAAGAGAGAGAGAGAAACATCAGTGTGTGGTTTCCTCTCGCTCACCCCCCACTGGGGACCTGGCCCACAACCCAGGCAAAAGCCCTGACTGGGGATCGAACCGCCGACCCTTTGGTTCACAGGCAAGTGCTCGATTCACTGAGCCATACCAGCCAGAGCAGGCTGGGTTTTTTTTTGTTTGGTTTTTTGTTTTGGTTTTTTTTTTGTTTGGTTTTCTTTTCAGAAAGTCCACCATTCTTGACCAGGGCTGGAGAGCCGAGGATTCAAATGAGTTACATACAATAAGGGAGGAGTGAAATATATGGGCACATACACCGTGCCGCTCTCACCGCTTTGTGAACACGTGACGACGTGTGTAAGGGCATCGATGGATTCTCCTCCTCTGATCCCCTTACCTCTCTCATCACGGAAGCGTCCCCTGCTTTCCTCACATACACAGGGAAGGGAAATTGAACCAGGAGAAATATGTGTAAAATTATGTCCAAAGCTGACTACACAAATTCCTTTAGAAAAGCTGTTTCTACATTGTAGGTTGGCTGTGCTAGATTCACAAAAATTTAAATGAAACTGACAAGATTTCCCAGCACCCAGAGTTGGCGGGGGTGGGCAGCCTGGCCTACCCAGCGAGGCGCCCCTGTGCAGGGGACAGAGTCCCACAGAGGTACCCCGAACCAAGAGGCTACAGGCGGTGGGAGGACTTCCAGAGGGAGCAGGTGGTGGCAGGCTCGACTCCGCCCCGTTCACGCAAGCTCTTCCACGTTCTGGAAGGAGTGGGGGTACTCCCAGTGCCCACTTCTGAAAAGATCCCTCTTCCTTTATCCAGGAAAATGCTTCGGGGGATCCGGGGACCTCCGCAGGCACGTCCGCACGCACACCGGGGAGAAGCCGTACACGTGTGAGATCTGCGACAAGTGCTTCACCCGCTCGGCGGTGCTGCGGCGGCACCGGCGGATGCACTGCCCGGCCGACGACGAGGGCCGGGACGCCCTGCAGGAGCTCGCGCACGCCTTCGAGGCCTCCGACCTGGACAGGGCCCAGCTCTCGGATTCGTTTTCCCAAGACGTGTCTGTACCTGTGGTGCCCGCGTCTGCTAAGCTCCCCGGCCCCCCGGGGGAAGAGTCGATGGCAGAGCTGGACGGCCACCCCGCCGGCTCCTACTGTAAATTCCGGCCTGCGGCTCAGCCGCATGGAGTCGGCGACCAGGAGAAGCTAACTTTGGATCCCGGCAAACTTGCCAAGGCCCCGGGGCAGCATGCGCAGCATCAGGCCTTTGCTTACTCGGCCGCAGACGCCTCCACCAGCGACGGGCCGCTGCCGGCCGACGGCATGGCCACCATCCGCTCCTCTCTGGCCACTTTGGACAATCACTGCGGCGACCCCCTGGGTGGCCGGGTGTCGGCCACAGCCTACAGGAACTCAGAAGGCCAGTTCTTCTCCAGCATGACGCTGTGGGGGCTGGCGATGAAGACGCTGCAGAACGAAAATGAGCTGGAGCAGTGACGCCGACGCCCGTGCCCCTCGGCGCCCGGGGCCGGCTCAGTTCAGCAGGCCCGTGTCCAGGGCAGCGCCGCTCCCGGCAGCGCCCTCTCTGACCAGCCCAGGCCCGGCTGGATCGTTCCCCTCCCCGCGCCCCCCCCCCATGTGGCTTAGCTGGAAGCCTTGTGAGCTCAGGGCTTGGGAGGAAAGGCCGCGGGCTCACGGGGAAGCAGACGCGCGCGTGGGATTGGGTACCAACAGGGGCCAGAGGCTGGAGGAGCCACTCGCTCACTGTGGCCGACATGATAGCGTTAGATGGCACCAACTACTGTACCGTATGGTCATGCTAAAGGGGAAAATATATGTAATACAAATATTTCTGCATTTTTATATGATTGAAATTTGTCGCATTTTGTATTTTTATTTACACAGATTTTATTTGTATAAGAAACTCATACTATAATTTAATTTGAATAAATGAAACTTGCCTTCCTATATAACGTGTGTTTCCTCCAGCATTTCTCCTACTCTAAAGACCGCAATGGTATAAACATAATGGGCTCCCTGTCCAGGACAGGCCCCGGGCTCGGCTTGGCTACCCTGCGCCAGCGGCTTCAGCAGCCGCGGGAGCCGGGCCCGGACCCTGGCTGCCACTTGCGGATGGGCCGCGGGCAAGCTGCCGGCCGCAGGCCCCTCTCGGGGCGGGCTTGCCCTTCTAGCCCGAGGTGAGTTGCTCTGCACTCCGCCAACGCTCCCACTCCCGCTGTCCTCTGCACATGCCCTGCCCCCCTGCCTGCGGGGGCCCAGCGGCTCGATGGCCCCCAGGTGCGCATTTCCTCCCCACCTGCCCAGCAGGCCTGTGTGAAACAACGAATCGTGTCCACGGGGCTGTAAGATCGAACTAAGTGGGGTCAGGCACGTGAAGATGTGGTTTCCTGGGGGCACGACAGAAGGTTTTTGCCTGTGAAATGGCGCAGAGGACCAGAATGTGAGAAAGCACCCGTACGCACCATTATTATCAGCGCTCGCTCAGAATCATCAAAGCAAGACAACCAACGAGGGAAACGTGGTCAGTGGGGATTGCCAGGGAAAACAGCACAGTTGCAGGTGAGAGAATCAAGGTTCGATTCCTGCTTCTCCCAGTCATGCACTGCACCCAGCGCTGCAAGGCTGGTGCAGCAAGAGCCTGAGCTCCTGTGGGCGTGGCAACTTGCGTGAAAACAGGCAGCCGGTGCGGGCGAGAGCCGAGGCCCCAGGTGTGGGCCTGACGCACAGCAGCTGCACGTGAAGGGTCATCTCCCTCCTTCCTCCCTCCCGCCCCTTTCCCATGCCCCACTGCCTTCCGCATGCCAGGCGCTGGGTTTGCCCCAGACTCAAAAGTACCACCTGCCAGGCTCCTGAAATACGTCTGCTTGACAAGGACAATAGTTTGTTGTTGTAGAAGAAAACCTTAGGAAAATAATTTAAACCAAAGCTCTTTTAATTCGTGTTTCCCACCTCTTCCCTTTCTCCCCTTACGAGTCTGCCCCAAAGCCTTAACCTAAATAACGGAAAACTTAGAAGGGGTGGGAAGGCTTGGAGGCGGGGACGCAGCTCGGGCAGCAAACCATCGGGTGCCGCCCAGGCGTGCTCTCATTTAGACCCTTCGGCACCGCGGGAGCTGCTGCCCTCTGACTTCTCAGTATTTCCTTCCAGACGTTTTCCTCTGCAATCACATACAAATAAATTCACCACTTCAACGTTTTTCAATCAGCTCATGCCACACATACTTCTTTGCCTTTTCACATTATCATAAACATCTTCCCTCGTCAAGAAAACGGGTGTTGACATCGCCGCTCAGAGCCCCCGCGTGCATTCCCATTGCTCCCTTCGGCTTGAGGGGGTTTGCGAAGGGCCCAGCTCGGTTCTGGGCAGGTAGGGGCGCTCCACAAAAACGTCCTCTTTTCCTTGACTTTGCAAGGAAGCCTACGGGCCTGCGGCGGTCTGGTGTCGAGCTCCCTGCAGCCACCAGGTGGCGGTATAGCCCTTCACAGTAAATCGCAAAGCGCAATCGCCCACCTGAACCAGCTCAAGCTTCCCAGGAAACCTGCTGGCCAGGTAGCATTCTTTCCCCAGTTTGGAGGAATGTGTCCTGAGAAGAGACATCACTGTTGATTTATTTTTCAGCCCGTGTTGGGTGCTGACAATACCCCAGCCTCCACTGTTCCCGCAGGAGGTGTCCCGGTGGAGCCATAGCCCAGGCCTCTGCCCTTGAAGCTCCAAGAGGAGGCTCCACGCACAGCCTCCCGAACTCAGCACCCTTCCTGCTGCTCCCTGTGTCTCCTCTGTACAAAGCGGCTTAAAAAATAGCTCCAAGTCACGGGTATCCCTGAAAATGTGACGTTAAGCGAAAGAAGCCAGATGCAAACAGTCACCCGTTGTAGGATTCCATTTATATGAAGTGTCCACAGTAGGCAAGTCCACAGTGAGACCAAGCAGATTAGTGGTTGCCAGGGTCTGGGAGGCGGGTAATGGGTAGTGACTGCTAATGAGTTCGGGGTTTCCCCCTGGGGAAAGAGCATACCTGCTAAGGCCTGAGTTCATAATGAGTCTAGCAGCCTTCGTTCTTGGGGTGGGGGAGGGAGCTTTCAGCACACTGCGCATCAGGAGGGAGCTGGGGAAGGAGTGGCCAGGCCTCCCGAACCGTGTTCCTGGGTGCTGCTGCCTGAGCCCCACCCTCGTAAAGGAGTTCCTGGAGTCATATTTCCACCAATGAGCTGATACCAGCCCTGCCCAATCAGAGCTGCACAGCATCTTTACAAACCAATCGGAGTGGCTCAATCAGAGTGGCTCCAAAATGACAAATCAGGACAGTGCTTTTTGGGCCAATTAAACTGTGCATTTGGAGTCCTGATTTGCATATAAATGGACCCATCAGGGACCTAGGGCCAGAACTTTTCTCTCTATATAAGCCAGATTCCTCTCTGTCTTGCTGTATAGATGGCTGTCTTCTCCCTGTGTCCTCATGTGGTCGTCCCTCTGTGCGTGCCTGTGTCCTAATTTCTTCTTACAAGGACACCAGTGATCTCATTTTACCTTACTCATCTCTTTCAAGACTCTGTGTTCAATGACATCCTGCTCTACCACCTTGCAGAGGTGGCATCAGCCCCTCTCCTGGGGGATGGGGCAACCGTGCTGACCTCCTAGGCTGTCCCGAGGTTTCCCAGGAAGAAGTGCCCCGCCCCCCGGGGCAGTGTCTGCAACCCAGGAAACCCCCATTGGAGGCTGGTTCCCCTCCTGGCGTCAGGGGTCGGAGGAAGCACCCCTTCCTGCCGCGGAGGCGTGCTGATGGTGGCATCGAGGACACTGTGGCATGCTGAGGGTTTCCTTCCCAGCCAGCAGTCTCCCTGGCCTGGGCGCTCCCAGGCACCCGGCTGAAAGGTGATTTAATTATTCAGGAAAGCTCCAGAGATGAGAGCTAAGAAGTAATCCATCCCCGAATGGCTTCAGAAGGAGCAGATAATGGGACAATAAAATTAGTCTTGTAGAAAAACACAATCAGCGGTCTCATTTATAAATCTCATCGCCTTCCCCCTGGGGTGAAGCAGGGAGCGGCCACGCACAGCCCGGTCCCCCATTTCCCACGAGCGGATGCATCTTTTGCTGGGAAAACATTTTCATTTCACATTCAAGAGTCATTTTTAGAAGCTTAGAAACAATCTGTGGAAGCCGGGATGACAGAGAGAACAATCTAGATGTCATGGCTGCCCATCCCCCACCCCCATTTCTTGCCTATTTCAAGTCACATCAGTGCAACTGAAGCACCGTTTATGGAGAATCTATTTCACAGAAGCCCCTTGCTAGGGCTGGGGGCCAACGATGGAGACCCTGTTTCTGTCCTCCCAGAGTTCACAGGCCACAGGGCGTCACAGAGGAGTGGGCAGTTGGGCTGAGCCGCCCACCCAAACCCAACTGCCCGCCCCCACCTCCCGGCTGTTTGACCTTGAGCAAAGACTTCACCTTGGTATGGCTGTTTCCTTGCAGGTAGTGCGCAGCTAATAATGTTGCTTCCCACACGCCCGCGGCTGGGCAAGGGTGTGGAGCTTAGAGAGAAATCTGAAGAGCCCCTTGCACTGGACTGGCCCACGGCAACCTCGAGGACTGGGGGCTGGGTGACACCCACGGTGGGGCGTGTCATTGATGCAGCACACACTAGGCAGCGGGTGCTGTCAGAGGCAGAAAACGTGAGGGCGTCTTAACGGGCTCTCCTTCTGACTCTCCTTGTTCAGAGGAGGAAGCTGGTCTGAAAGGCAAAAGGAACTGCAGCTGGAAAGGGACCAACTCCGGGTTTGAACCCGGGCCTGCCTGGCGCGGAAGCCCAAGCTGTTTTCTGAAGCGTTATCCTATGGGAGTATCATGGGCTGAGTTGTGCCCCTGCCCCCACCGCCCCCAGGCCTCCTCTGTTGAAGCCCTAACCCCCAGGACTTCAGAATGGGACTGCATTTGGCGATAAGAGTTAATTAAGTTAAAATGAGGTCATACGGGTGGCCCTGTTCCAACGGGCCTGGTGTCTTTATACGAAGAGATTAGGACAGAGACTCACAGAGGGACGAGCGTGTGAGGACACGGGGAGGAGACGGCGGTCCCAGCGCCCGCGAGGGAGGCCTCAGCGGGGGCCGGCCCGCCCGCGGCTGGATCTCAGAGCCTGGCTCTGCTGGGTTAAGCCTGCGGTCTGCGGCCCTTTGCTACAGCGGGCGATCGGAGGGGCACAGGGGGCGCCCGGAAAGGGAGCGACGACTCTCGACCTGGGAGGGTGCGATTCCCGAGAGGAGCTGGGCCCAGGCCGATCCTGGAGCCCCCCGGGGGGACCGACCCCGGGAGGGCTGCTTCTGGCCCCAGCTCCTGCCCACCTGCGTCTGCTCACGTCGCCCGCCGGCAGGCGCAGGCTGGCTTCCTCTGGACCTTCCCCACTCTCAGGCCGGCTCCGCCCACCTGCAAGACCACCCAGCCCAGGCAGGAGACGGGGTGCCTCCCCGACAGGCCCTCAGGCTCCTCTCGTGGGTGTGCAAGACGCGCGCGCCCCCACACAAAATGTGCACACATAGACGTGCAGACACAACATATGCACAATGCAAACTCCCATGGGCGTGCACACACAATAAACATGTGTGCACACCCATGCATGCCAGGCACCTGGCCATGCCGCACAGGCTGGCTAACATGGAGGTGGAGCAGGGGACTCCCTGGGCTGGGGTCCCAGGCCTGCCGCTCCTCGGAACGCCCATCAAGAGCCCGTGCTGGGCGGGTGGGCCTCGCACACCCATTACGAGCCCAGCATTCGAGTAAGTTCACACACGTAAAGTCTTAACACAGAGCCCACCAGGCCAGTGCCATAAACGTGCCAGCAACGAGCACCACTACGCCTAAGCCTAAGGCACACTCTGTCCCTCTCCCCACCGCCACCCGGCTG